TGGGGAATCAAGCCCCGGAGGGAGAGCAGCAAGGAGACGGCGCAGCAGCACAGCCGAAAATGAAATCCGAAGAAATCGTCAAAGCGGAGGAAGAGCTCGCGAACTTGCGAAAAGAGGCAGAAAAGTTGTTGCAGGATAAGACGTATCCTGTGCAAAACTACCATACTTGGTATGAAGAATTCAAATTGCAGTCATGCGACCTGATATATAAAAAGTAGTCTCTTTCCAGAGCATTACAAATGCCATTTTTCACAAGTTCATTTTTTTTGATGCAATTTAGTAGCTTGAAGTATGACACTTTTGCCATGCATAGCACTCTCCCGGCGGAGGAAAGAAAGAAGAAGTGGCTGGAACTGATGGAGCACGAGATGGACGCGGAGAAGCACCTGGAAGCGGTGCAGGCGAAGGTAAAACTGCTGGAAGTACATATCCTATTTAAAAATGTCCCTACCCCATAGTTGTAATGCAAATCTGCATGCTGAAAATGTTTCTCATGCGGAGCCCCATGAGAACCATTCTCTAGTCGTGTTTTGAAATTTGTCATGCTCCAATCAGCATGGTATGCTAGATCTGTGATGCTGCTCAGCTAGCTCAAACAGCACTACACTACGAATCCAAATTTGTCATGCAAAACAGCCAAAACTTGTGGATTTGTCTAGCCGATTCCCCATCTTGCCTATGGTGTGGGGACGTTTTTACTCAGGATACTACACCAAGGGGGAGAGGACGGGGATCCGCACTCTTCCACAACAGATATGGAGAAAAAGATGCAGGATTTGGTGAACAAAGACGGACAGGAGCCAGAGATGAAAGAAGAATCTACCGGCGCCAGCCTGCAGGGGCTGATGACCGTTTTGGCCATGCGGGTGAAGCAGTCCGCGGCCGTCGCGAAGGCGGAGGAGGAGGCGAAAACTCAGCACGCGAAAGAGGTGAAAAAGTTCAACGAGAACCGGGTAATGTCGGCCCTCGCGGACTTCTCCAAGGCGAATAAGGGTGCGGCGGTGCTGCACGCGAAGGCGTTAGACGCACTTTCTAGTGCGGCTGACTATGGGAAAAATGACCGAATTGAGGTGCTGAAAGCCGTCACGACCATTAGTAAGCAAGAGGCGGAGGCGGTGAAGAAGTTTAAGTTGAAGGAAAGAATCAAATCCCTCTTGGTGCCAAAACGGGACCCGAATTACGTTGCGAAAGAAGGCGAAGGAACCGAAGCGCTAGAAGAGAAAGACGTGTTTTACCAGTTTATGACGGGGGAAACCGAGAAGAAAATCGCTGAAGCGTTGGCCGCGGAATCACTCACCGAGCACGTCGAGACCGATGTCGGCCGCCTGGCGAATTTGAAACTGAAAACGCAGGCGAAACTGGCGAAGTTGCGGAAAGAAATGAACGAAACCGCGAGGAGCAAGAAGGAAGACGAGGAACAGGCGAAACAGACCGCGGAGCAAGAGAAAAAAACCGCGGAGCAAGAGAAAAAAACCGCGGAAATACTGGAACACGCGAAACAAAGAACCCTGGAGCGCAGCAAAGGGAATCAGTTAGACATTGAAGAACAGAAAAACAACCTCGCGGCTTTTGCGATCTTGAAAGACCAAGAACACACAATCGAAATGATTTCCAAAGAAGCACAGCAGGTGACCACTGCTTTCGCGGGTTTCTTGTCCGATTGGACGGAGAAGGTGACCGACCTGTTTGAGGATGAGGAGGTGCTGAAGGAGAAGCAAAAGCGGATCGAGGAGGCGAAAAAGCGAGTATCGGAAAAAATCGACGACTTGGAAAAGCGCGAAGAGGAACTTGCCGCGGAAATTAAGAAACGAAAAGAGCAATCCACGGCGCAACTCCTCCTTTCCGTCCGGTCAGTGAAAGTGAAGAACGCGTTCCAGGAGATGATGAAAAAAAAGAAGCAGTCGATGAACGCGTCGGAGCAAGACGAACTGGAGAAGCACGGCGATTTTTTGTCAAAGGTCGCGAATCGAATGGCCTTATCCGGAGGAATTTCGGCAACGGATAAGAAAAAATCAATCGAAGACCAGAAGCGGAAGCAGGAGCTAAAGACCCTTCTGAAGACGAAACTTACCGCGGTCAAGGACGAAGTGAAGATCAAATCCATTTTCGGAAAGATGACGGGGCAGGATTCCAAAGTGCGATTTGAGGACGATGCGTTGTTCGACGAATCTTTCGAATTACAGACTAAATTAGACGAAGAACAGCGAGCGAAAATGTCGTACCAGCAGCTCGCCGACACGAAGGACGCGCTGAAAGCGCTCGCGTCGGAAGCAAGACGAATCGGTCTGATCCAGTTCCTACTTGCTTTGAAGCGCGGCTCGTTATTTTCCGCTTTGTGGGGGGAAGAGGAGTTAGAGTTGAAATACCCGAGGACCGGGAACCAGCGGGGCACGAAGCAAGCGGCGTTGCGAAACGCGGATCAATTGCAGGAGGTCGAGGCTGTGTTCAAAGTTCTCGTTAAGGAGATGGTGTTCCGGAAAAAGGAGAAGCAAAGCGTAAGGGGGAAGAAGCTCGCTAAGCTTGACACTGATTTGGAGTTGGCGAAGAGTGAGTTGAAGCAAGCGGAGGAGGATTTTGTCAAAGAGAAGGAAAAGCTACAACGGCAAGAATCTTCCGGGATGAACACGAGCAACAAACAACTCCAGGTCGAGGTGGCGGAGAAGCTGAATAAATTCGAAATCGAGTACAAAGCGAATACGACGAAGCTTCTCCGGAAACAGGGCCAGCTAATCAGTGAGAAGAAACAGATCAAGGGGGACCAATTCGCCGAAAGGTCCGAGAGGGAAGAGGTTCTGGACCACTTCTTAGACTACTTGCGAGCTGTTTTGTACCACTCTGGCGAGACGACCGGGCTGTTTCTAGCGACGTTTCAGAGCAAGAAGGAACTAGCGGAGTCGGAGTCGAAAATTGTAGAGGAAGATAGCGCGGCGGCCGGGGCTTTGAACGGCAACAAGGACAAGAGTTCCTCTGAAAACAGCAGTTCCTTTTACCAATCTGACGACTACAAAGCGGAAGCGGCTTTGGACCTGATCCTTCAATACTTGGAGGATTACTACGCCGATCTCATCGCAACGAAGGAACAGCTCGTGCCGAAGACGAAAAACTACTGGCGTGAGCAGGTGAAAAAGCAGAAAAGGTCCACGCTTTCCGAAAGGCTTCTGCGCAGAGACGTCGGACTGCGGGAAAACTTGTCGGGAGTGGGAAGTAGCAGTTCTTTCGGAGGGCAAGCGGTGGAGGAGGAGGTCAGGAAGTTGCTAGATTCGAACCGGAAGGAGAAGAAGGAGGTGATCCAAGAGGCGCTGGAGGTGTTCGATCAGAAGACGATCGAAAATCAGACGGGCGAGTTTGTGGAGAAGCCGTTTGTGACCTATTTGAATGTTCTGAGTCGGAACACTTCGGAGGAGCTCGTTGCGAAGCTCGCGTCCTCGTCGAGCGGTTCGTTTTTCTACAGCAGTAGGCAATTGTTCGAGCCGAATGTTGCGGAGTTACTGTCTTTAATCCTCCCCTTTTCCGCGGGGGAAAGACTGGAGTTCGATGCCGTCACCTTACATCAAGACTTGGAGCAAAAAGCGTACCAGATCTGCGTGAAAGTCTTCGAGGAAACAGACAGCGGGAAAACGGAGATCTTGCTTCTCTGCGACTTGTTTTCCCAGCTCCTCGGCAGGGAGAAGCAGTCCTGTCGGGAGCTGGCGCGGAAAGTCATCGTGCGGAAGATCCTGTTGTCTAACCCGCAAGAAGTGCTGGAACAGATAACGCCGGAGACTTTAGAAAATACTAACCAAAACAGCCCGGATGTTGACCTACAGGGGGATTTTGCCTACCTCGACCGAGTGACGCCGGATTTCACGAGTTCGAACGCGAATGGGGTCGGGGAAACCGCTGCAGGTGGATCTTCGTACATGCAAAAGCAGAATAGCCATCTGCACGAATCCTTCGGGCGGCTGGCGATGGCGTTGGTGTTTGGCCGTTACAGGACGTACGTGGAGGAGTTGCATTGGAAGAACGTGGACGATGTGATTGAAGAAGGTTCCGCTTTTCCAGAGGAGGAAATGAGTCGGGCAATGGTGAGACTGCGGGCTTTTGAGCAAGAATTTCTCATCCGGAAAACGCCCACCATGAAATTTGCGGATAATGGGCGGGGCGGGCAGAATGGCGGAGCTTCTGCGGATACGGATCATGTGAACGCGATGAACTCTCCGATGATGTACTACGGAGAGATGGAAGCGATCTCGTCGGGCAAACGAATGTTGAAAAAGAAGAAGCTGTCTAGCAATGACAGACTGGGATCATCATCGTCAGGATCCGCGCTTGGCAGTGGATTTGGAAATAGTGGTAAATCGAAAATGTTGAGTAAAAAGAAGCAAAAGAGCATGATTTTCTTCGGTCGTTCCGCGACGCTGGACCAACTCCCCGAGTACCCGACAGCGGTTGTCCCCGGGAGAGACGGCATGGATGACTTTGTTTTCCGAGACGTACTGGGTTTGGATACCAGCAAACAGGGTGGTTTAATATCCCTCGCGTCGGGTGACGAAACGAAGTACCTTCTGGATTCCCACAAATTGCTGATCGCGACGGTTGCGCGGATGATGCGGGCATTGGCATTTTCGCTGGAGTACACCACTTTTTTGAAGCACAAGTTCCTGGAAAACCCGGATTTGCTGTCCAGCAAAACGGCGTCCGGGGCCTCGGATTTGAAGCTGGCGCGGAAGCATTTTCGGTTCATCCAAGATTTTAAGCGCGGGATTTTGGAAAGAGTGAACACACTGCAGATCCGGCTGGCGTTCGAATTCTTCTTCAAGACAGACGTCGCGGACAAATACATCGACTTGGAGCGGAAATCGCTGGGCGAGCCGGTGCCGGTTTTCTCGGAAAATTACCCGAACGCGTACGAGTTTCAGGTCTTTGGATCGGGCGAGGCGCTGTTCTTCGCGAACCAATTTAGGAACGCTTTGCCGGTCATTTTGAACTGCGACGAGAACACTTCCAGATTGCGGAAGGCGAACAAAGCGGAGCAGGAAGGAATGCGGGCGCAGTACGGGGGAAGAGGTGCTGGTGGGGGCAAGAAAATGAAAGGCGCAGGAGGAGTTAGTGAAGTTGATGACCGAGGAGGGTCGAATAGTAGAGCGTCGGGGGATCAAACTTCTTCCTCCAAAACAGAACAGCACCAGCAAGACGGCACGTTGGCCACCGATCCAAATCAAGACTACGCCTCGATGTTTGCGGAGTTTGTCACGGCACAGGCGGAGGGGTTACGAAGGAACCACCTGATACTTCACGACAGCGACTATTTTGGCTACCTCCCGACAGACCGCGACAGCAAGAACAGCCACGAGCCCCTGTTTCAGGTTTCGGACCTCATGCCTTTCGTCGAAGCAGTGAATCAATTTTCTTTGCAGGCGGTGCAAGTCCAAGATCTGCTTGTCCTGTTGGCCCATGGCGGGGAGGAGTGGTCTTTGCGGCATCAGCAGAACATCAGTCATCAACAAACGGCGCAACAAGCAAGAACCTCCGACAGTACCGCGGCAGCGGAGTCACTCAAACAACTTTCGGACCAGATGCGGAACTCGAAATTTTTCGAATTCTTTCTGCACGAGACGGAGGTGGTGCGACTCCCGGAGGAAAGGTGGCGCGAGGCCGGGGACCCACTTTTAGAGACGGGGGAATTCGACTCAGATGGTTCGAGCTTCGAAGAAGTGGAAGTAGAAGCGAACAGTTCTCCCGGGATCAAGAAAACCAATGGTACGGCGGCCGCCCCGGTCTTGTTCATGAATGATGCTGATTATGGTCCGCCTGCGCCGGGCACGCAGCCGCAATCAACACGAGGTCGAGCAGGGCTAGCTGTTTTTTCTTCACGCGTAGGAGCTGGTCCGACAGCCAACACCGGAATTTTGAAACACGATGAAGATACAACTACAACAAACAGCGAGAAAAAGTTTCGCTTCCCACCGTCTTCTTCTGCAGCACGTAGTACCTCCCGTGCGAGGGATAGGTTAGCACATCCGGAGAGCACGATGAAGATGAAACAAACGCCAAGTTTTTGCGCGTCGCCCTTCTCCTTGCTTTTCTCAAGTCAGCAAGCTGCGACCACGCAGGCTGAAGTTCGTGAAGATGACGACGACTTGACAAGCGAAGTGCAAGCGCTCGATCATAATTCATCCGACGACGAAGGAACAAGTGGCCGCGAAGGAGTAGTAGACCTGTCCCCCGGCGATTCCCTAGTCTACGGCCTAGAGGACGATGTTGAGGCTGGGGACCATGATGACAGCAATGGTTTTCATCCGAAGTACGCCGAGCGGGTGGGGGCTGGAAGCTACAACTCCAGTCCCTACCGTCTCCTCTCCTCGAGCACAGGAGCTTTGCACTCTACATCGTCACTTCGACCGAATTTCCTCTTCTACAACGACAGCAACACGAGTACAACCGCCCAGAAAATCTTTTTCATCGACGAAAAGACCATTCCGAAACCGCCTTCCGAACCCGTCCCCTTCCTGTACGGCATGCTCAGCGCCAGTTTGTCTTCCAGCAAGTACCGGGAATTCGGGATTTCCGGTTGGGAGCAGCGGTCCATTGACAAAGATGTCGTACTGGCGGACGAGTCGGAGATATCCGGGACGGACAAAGTCCGACAATTATTCGGTATCAAACTGGACTGGCGGAAGTTTCCGATCGTTTTAGTTACCGAAGTGGACGAAAAAACGCCAGACGGGTCGGACAACTCCCGGGCGACGAAGGGAGGCATCGTGGTCGGGGATATGCTGGTGTTGATCAACGGCGAGCGAATCACCACCGTCGCGCAATTGCGGATCGATCCCGCCACCGAAAAGAAAAACGCCCATCCGGACAGCGTCTTGATTTCCATGGTGGCGAAGCGGGTGAAGGCGGAAAAGGCGACCATTTGCTCCTGGCTGTTCCTGCGGAAGAAATACCAGTGCCAACTGCGGCAAATTTCCTACAAACCGGGAACGGATGGGGAGTTCGGGATTACTAGGTTTCTCGACAACAGCTGCGAGATCTCGGAAGTATCGGATACCTCGAGCGAGCAAAATTGGGCGAAGAAAAACGAAGTCAAAGTGGGAGACTCGGTATTGTTTTTCGACGCAGATTTTTTGCTCAAGAGACCGGAAAAGCTCTCTCTACCCGCGACCACAGCGAAGAACTCGGTGGAAGTGCTGGTGTTTCGCAAAATGCCCGGCTTTGACAAAAGACTCAACGAATCCAACGTGGCGAGACCACTATCTCCGACGTGGGAGCAGCTGATCCAGAGATTCACGTCGAAGTGGGAGGTTGGAACAGGTACAAGTACTGGCGGTGGAAATGCAGCAGCCTCAGCAAGCTTCGCAGGAAACAAACCAGCGATCACTTCCTCTCTCGCGGCGTCCGCGTCTTCGTCCAGTTCCGTAGTTCCTTCTTCCCTCAAGCGGGTCTGCAACCGGTCCGCGCCTCCCTCCACGCAGTTCCTATACGCGATTCTCGCGGCGTCCATAAAAGCCGATAAGTACGCCGATTTCGGCATGTCGGGGTGGCAGCAATCCAGTGTCGATGAGCAAGTGCTCGACGACGAGCAGCTCACTTCTGACGAGAAGATGATGAAATTGTTCGGGATCACACTCGACTGGCTGAATTTCCCCGTTGTCACGGTTTCGAAACAAGAAGCGGCGAACGCAAACGGGGAAAAAACGCGGGCCGCGAGCGGGAACATTGTCGAGGGGGATATGCTTTTACTGTTGAACGGGGAACTATGGAAGCGTCAGGATTGAAATCGTCAAAGTTGAAATAATTTGTAATGCATAAAAAGCGACGCAAAAAGTGACTCTATTGCAGAGGACCCACGGGAGGCAGATTGTAGTCCTGGTAAGGGTCAAAAGTTGGACTGCTAACTACCATGACAGAAGGCAGCTCTTTTGCCCTAAACCGCATGACAGACTCGCTTTCAGGACAGGGAAAATCTGTCATGCGCCGACTACAAACTGTAGGTCTAACGTGTATGCGTTTTATGCATGACAAATTATTTCAACTTTGTCGATTTCAACTCTGACACATCCATAGGAACGAGTGACGACCATTGCGCAGCAGTCCTCCACGACTTTCCCAGACCCGAACGAGGCGGTGTTAAGTTTGGTCCGGAAGCTACGTATTGCAAAAGTATCGTACTAGTAGAAATCGCATTACAAATTCGGCCAGCATGACAAATGGAATCTGTAATTCGGGTTTAACTTGACAAAAAAATTTGTAATGCATAAATGCGATTGCTACGAGTACGATACTTTTGCACAGGATAGAAGCAGGTAGTCGAAAAGCAGAAGAAGGCCCAGTTCATCTTTTTCCGGAAGAAGTACCAATCTACTTTGATCCAATTGCAAGTGACGGAGGAGGACGCGAAAAATTTTACCACTTGGGGTATCACTGTCTCTGAAAAGGCGAAAGTGACGGAAATTGAGGAAGGGATAGAGGAGGAGACCTCTTTTGCGAAGTCCAACAGTTTGCAAGTGAACGATCAACTGATCATTATCGACTCCGATTTTGTCTTCGCGAAACCGGACAAGATGCAGGCGTATCTGGACAAGAATAACGGAGAGCCTGGCTCGGTCATGAAGGCGGGCACGCAAATTTTGGTGAAAAGACTGCCGCCAGGGTTTCCGGAAGCGTTGAGAATACGGGAGGCAAATGTGGAGCGGGCGTTGTCGAGTAAGTGGCAGAAGTGGGTCAACGAGAAAGCCGCGTCGAGTGGCGGACAAGTTCAGCTGCCGGGTGCTGCTGCTGCTACGACGGTTGCAGCTGATGCTCAGGAAAAAGAGCCGGCACCGGCACAGTCGATGACAAAGTCAATGTTGGTGGGAGGAGTCTCCATGAAGGGAGGGGAGGAGTCGATGACAAAGTCAACGAAGGAGAAGTCTCCATTTGCGTCCATGGCCGAGCCAGCGCCGTCGATGACGAAGTCGATGTTGATGGAAAAGGAAAAATCTCCGTTCGCCTCAATGGCCAAAGCGAAGGAAATTATGAAAAAGGAAGAAGAAAAGCCAAAGCCAGGTGTGCCTGCTGCAGGAGCGGAAAATACAGCTGAGAGGACAGCAGTAGCTCCAGCTGCTGCTGCCTCGTCACCTGGAGCTCCTGCCGCTTCATCCTCCGGTCATCTCTCTCGTCGTGTGAAAGACACGTCTTCCCCACCTACGACCCAATTCCTGTACGGGATTCTCGCTGCGAGTCTGTCCGGGAGCCAGTACGCAGACTTCGGGATTTCCGGCTGGCAGCAGTCGTCGATCGACGAAACTGTTTTGGACGACACAAATTTGACTGCGGATGAGAAAATGATGAAGCTGTTCGGCGTCCACCTGGACTGGATCGATTTCCCCATCGTGACCGTTTCGAAAATGCAGGAGAAAAACGAGAATGGCGAGCCAACTCGAGCGGCGAGCGGGAAAATTGCGGAGGGGGATTTGTTGTTACTGATCAACGGAGAACGGGTCACGACCGTCGCGCAACTGGAGAAGCCGGCGGACGGGAGCCCCCCGCCGGCACATCCGAACGACGCGGTGTTGGCCATGATAAAGAAACAGATCGTGACCAAGCAAAAGAAGGCACAACTCTTGTTTTTCCGAAAAAAATACCAAGACACGTGGTTTCAGTTCCAGGTGACCGACGAGGACAAAAAGAACCACGCGCACTGGGGCTTTCTCGCCGCGAACGGGAAGGTGAGTGAGATTTTGAACGCACCGACGGAGAACAAGAAGCACAATGACCCGGAGCACCCCTACCATTCTTGGGCCGCGAAGAACAAACTCGAGGTGAATGACAAGATCCTCTTCGTCGACGCCGACTTCATATTGAAAAAGCCGGAGAAATTGGACCAACTGCTGCTGGATCACCACCAGAACCCGGAGTACGACTTGCCCATGAAGCACAAAGCCGGGACGCAGGTCTTGGCCTTTCGGAAGCCACCCGGGTTCCCGGCTGCGCTCCGGGTCAGGGAAAGCGACGTGGAGCGGAAATTCGGGCGGAGGTGGGAAAAAGCGGTCGGGCGGGTGGAAAGCGACACAGTACAACATCAGCACAAGGAAGCCGTCAGCCCGGCGAGCGCTTCCGCTGTAGTGAAACCGGAGCCAGAATCCATGAAGTCGTCTACAGCAAAGACTTCTGCGGGTGAAAGTGCTGCGGCAGAGCCAGAAGTAAAAGCGGCCGCCAAGACGAGCGAGGCTGTAGAGAGAAAAGACGGAGACCAAGGAAAAGCTCCTTCCACAACGGCCACAATGAAGGCGGAGCTTGAAGAGGAGCCAGACGACGCTTTTTCCCTCCTCGCGAAAGACAAAGAAAAACTTTCAACCACCTATACTGGGTTGAAGTTGAAGGAAAAGCAAACCCCAACCCCGATCTTTCACTACGGTCTACTTGCGGCGAGTCTGTCGAGCAAACAGTACGGGGAGTACGGTTTCACGGGTTGGGACCAGAAGACGATTGACGAAAAAGTTTTGAGCGACGACAGCCTGTCCACAGAGGATAAAATGTTCAGGCTGTTCGGCCTGACCCTGGACTGGTCCGGTTTTCCCATTGTCCGCGTGAAGAAGCTGGATTCCGCGAACAAAACCGCGAGGGCGGTGAACGCGGGGGTGGATCTCGGTGCGATGTTGCTGCTCGTGAACGGGGAGAGAATCACTACAATCGCACAGCAGGTGAAGGAGTACCCGAAGTCGCCGGACCAAGCCATTCTCGGACTCTGCCAAAAACGGTTTGAAGCCGGGAAGCGGATGGCGTTTTTGTTCTTGCGGAAAAGGTATCAGGGGACGTTGGTACAGCTCCCGGCTGTAGTGGACGAGAAGGCGGAAGTGATGAAGATCAAGTTCGGATGCAGTATCGACGAAAAAACGATGGAGATCAAAGACCTCGAGGGCAAGCCGAAAACATTCGCGAGCGTGTACAAATTGGAGAAAACGGACACGATTTTGTTTATCGACCAGGATTTTCTCCTCGCGTCGCCGGCGAAATTGGAGAAGTACTTGACTGGTGGGTTGAAAAAGGGATCGCAGGTTTTGGTATGTAGAAAGAAAAAGCCGCCGAAGGTGGAGGGCGGGAACTACCTTGGATTTTCGCCTCACTTGAAGAAGTATTTCGAAGCGAATGTGAAGAGACCCATTGGGTCCGAGCTGTGGGAAAAGTTCGCACTGGAGTCCGGCGTCATTTCTGAAAGTCGTCCCGAAGGAGATGCAGCAGCATCGAGAGCAGTGGCCGCCAAAACAGATCTTCCGGAGAAGAAAAAAGAACCTATGGATGAAAGATCAATAAAAAAGGAGGAGGACACGCCGCCCAGAGCTTCTGCTGCGAAAAAAACTTCCGAGGACGCGAGTCAGAAGAAGCAAGACGGCGCTGCTAGTACGACGGAAAATCAACAAGCCGCCACTTGTGCCGCAATAGTCACCGCGAGACGACAGGGTCGACAAACTGGCGTCGCTCTCAGCAAAACTCCGGACACGAGTGAGCAAGACCGCCACCTCTTTCTGCAACAGCAAATGGCGTTACGAAAGGCGGCGAAAGCCAAACGCTTATCCTCCCGTCTGATCGATTCGGAATCCGCGGAAGCTTTTGAGCGGAGGCGGAAGCGACAGCGGAGGTTGCAGCGGATGTTTTTGGAACAACACGAAGTTCAGAATAGCGAATCTCTCGGGACCAAATTCCTCGCTGGGTTGAGTTCTCTCTTCGGAGTAGGAGAGACTGAGCACCAGCAACAGCCTACATTCAAGACATTAGAGCAAGCGAAGGCACTTGCCAAATCCAAAGACAAAGCAGAACGGCACAAACACCACACCCATCTGCAGTTCGGGCAGAACCAAGAATCCAGGGACCCCCTGGTGTTGGACGACAAGGGCTTCATCCTGGAACCTCCCGCCGGAAACCCGGAGCCGGTGCGCGTGTTGCCGCATTTGCTTTCCGAGGAGATGGCGTATTTGAAAATCGTGCTCGAGTGGATTGAATTGATCAAACAAACCACGATAAAACCCAGTAGCACTTTCAGCTTCAACGTCGGAGGATCTTCATCCGCGACGGCTTCATCCCTCAGCGACTACACGATCCCAAGACCCACCGCAGCGACCATGCTGGCGAATTTTGGCAGCTCCCTTCTGAACACCATCACGGGGCGCGAGGATTTGTCGCAGCACGAGGGTGTCAGTGCGAAATTCCTCGAGTTGGAGAAGATGAGCGACGTCGCGCTTGAAAAAAGATTGCAGCGAAATGTGGAGGAGAATGCAGATTTGGTTGGGGACACAGGAAGAGGTCAAAATGCAGAAGATAATCGGTTCGATGGTGTCACAACTTCTTCATCCACGTTCTCCACAAACTTTGCACTTTTGCAGAAGAAGTTTTTCCCTGAGTACGTGGAGTACACTAAGCGCATCGCGATGCAGAAGTACTTGCGGCTGGCGAAGATCCGCACCCAGTATTTGTCCACCCTCTCCTACACCTGTCGCAACACGATTTCCCACGAATTTGCGCTCGATGTTGAAGTTCATTTTCCGGAAACTGCGGAACTGGTGGAGATACAAACGCGGAAAAGGGTTTTGTCCGCATTGAAACTGATGGAAATCGAGTCCCACAACAGCCACTTGGCAACAGAATCTGCGCACCAGGCTGCAGTTGCACACGAAGAAGTTGCAGTCGACAATGAAGATGAAAATGGCGGAGAAGCAGGTGGAAAAGCCAAGCCCACCATCACGGCGTTTGCGATCGGCCTGCAATTGACCCGGATCAACGAAAAGGGAGAGCTAATCGACCCGGTGCAGCGCCGGCGTAGATTCGTGAAGAAGCGGTGGAAGAAAGCGTTTAAGAAGGTGGTCCTTCTACTGAAAGTCACCACCCAGTTCCGTTCCCTGATCCCAGTGTATGGTAAGCGCTCAACTGCTTTCCGGGTGAAGCAGCTGAGTCAGTTTCTGATGAAGAGCAGAGGTTTCATCGAGGATTTCTCCATGGGAGCAGGGACATCAACAACAATGCAGAACAACTATCAAAGGCATCAACTTCGCGACGAGCGGCAGATGGCGAAAGCGAGGCTGTTCGCCATTCGGGATTTTTTAGAACCATCCGTTGCCGTCGACGCGGAAAGACCACAAGAGGCAGCGCTGTTGTTTCCTGGCGACAGCAACAAACCGCAAACCGTCCGAGAAACAGCAGCAGAAACGAGGCGGAAAATCGCGTTTAAGCAGGGCCGGGGGCTGATTGAGCTGCGGCAGCTGGTACCACTGGTACCCTGGGACGATTCTATGGTCGCAGGGAAAACCAAACAAGAACCGAAGAAATTGTCCGGCCGACCGGTGAAGAAGCGAGATAGCAATGCTGCAAAGGAACAGCTTTCCGCTTTCACTTACGCGACTTTGTGGGAAGAAAGCACATCGGTAACTACAAGCGCAGGATCTACTTCTCGAGCTGGCGCGACGTCTCAGCAGCAGTTTAAAAACCACATAGCCTTGCTTCAACCTGGGCAGTTAGCGTACAAAGAGTTGGCCTACATCTTGCACGACCCGAGTTTGAATTCCTTAATTCTCCCGGTGAAAGCGCAAGTTGCGAAAACGGAGCTGCAAACTGCTTTGTTGGGTCCTGCTGGTGCTGCTCAAAATGGAGAAGACAGTCCCGATCTTATCGACAATCTGTCAAATAACAACTACACCAATCACCCCTACCGGAGACGCTTTCAGCAGAACATGCAGAAAAACCAGAATTTGCAGGCCCTCCAGCAGGCGGCGAAGTATCCAAGAAAAAAACTGTGTAACTGTAACTTCGCAGCAAGAACAGCATCACAAATTCGTTTTGCATTACAGGCAAAACCTGTCATGTGCAGCTAGTACATGGAAACACGTATGAAAGTTGCCTATCACGTACATCCAGCATAACAAGCGTATACGGTTTTGCATTTCCTGCATCACAGACTTACACTTACACAGTTTTTTTCTTGCATACGAAGCTGGAGGTTTTGAATATCAAGGAGGAGAACAAATTTCTAGAAAAGGTCCTCCACATATGGGAGTGTCAGGTTTGAAATCGACAAAGTTGAAATAATTTGTCATGCATAAAATGGATGCCAGTTAGACCTGCAGTCTGTAGTCGGTGCATGACAAATTTTCCCGGTCCTGGAAGCCAGTCTGTCATGCGGTTTAGGGCAAAAGAGCTGCCTTCTGTCATGCTAGTCAGCAGCCCAACTTTTGACCCTTACCAGGACTATCATCTGCCTCCCTTGCGTCCTCTGCAATAGAGTCACTTTTTGTATCGCATTTTATGCATTACAAGTTATTTCAACTTTGTCGATTTCAACTCTGACACATCCATACCACAGAGACCGAACGGAACTGCTGCTCGGCTGCACGAACGCGGATTTCGGCGGGGGAGCTGCATCCGGTTTGTCAGCACCTGTTCCGAGGATGATTTTACACGGAAATAATCCCAACAACGCGGAAATCTGGGGTAGCAACAACCCCTGGGTTTTGCAGCCGGTTTCCGCGGGAAGAAAGTTGTCTCGGTCGCCGAGCCCAATCGACTTTCAAACCCGGAACCGGCGCGGCAGCCGGAGTCCGTCGAACCACTTCGGGAGCAGAAGTCGGAGTCCTCCCGGCTTGGTCAGGTCGCCCAGAATAAATCACGATCGGTTGATCGGTAGTCGGAGTCGGTCGCCGAATTTGATGCTGTCCTCTCGGCGTGGTCAAGTCCTGGAGCACGTCCCAGACGATGTGTTGATTCCGCAGTTGAGTCGCGGGAATTCGCCATCCCCAGTGATCGGGCGGAGCAGGAGCGTCAGTCGCGGCGGCAGAAGTGCGTCGGCAGGTAAGCGAGTTCGGTTTAACCCGAGTGACGCTGCAGTCGAGCCGGACAAACTGCGGATTACGGTAAAGCAACCGACGGGGGAGAGATTCAACGAAAGAGCTTTTTTGAGGCACTTGCGGAAAAGCGCTCGAGGAGAAGCGGGGCCGGATGGAGAGGTTTTGTTTCACAATGTAAGAAGGATCTAGGGAAGGAGGAGGGACGCGGATTTGAGGGACGCGGATTTTTTTTCAACATGGAAATCAGACTGAAAATCTATTCCAAGAAGAACTTTCATATTACTACTCAACAACAAGAAAGACGTTTCGAGTTTTTACGTTTCGTCCGGCTGACAAGTCACGTTTCGAATTATTTCCACTATTGTTGCAGATGCATATGCATTGAGCAAATGCAAGGTCAACAAGATGACACCAGATTCAATAGGTTTCTGTTGCAAGAACGCATGGCGAATCGTCCGCGGAGGTAAAAACAAACAAAAAAATGAATTACAGCCAGCCTACAACTTGAATTTGAATTTGTTGTCGGTTCCAACGAAGGAACCTGCACCCCCTGGCAGATTTTGACCGTGCCTACTAGTGACTCACGACGGTCCAACATGTCCATTGCGAGCTGCTGGGCCCTGACATTCCTTGTCGTTCTCGGTTGGACGCATTACCAGAAATGTAATCGGTAGTTTGATAGACAACTTTTCGGCCACGGCGCAGGCCGCTCTGAGCACCGTCGTCCGCATCTCGATCAACAGCGAGAAATAACAAGTATTGTGCGCAGATTACTTGCTCGGTTCGTCAAGATTTACTGTTGTCGTTATTTTCGTTTACCATTTCGATTTCTCATATATCGGTCTTCTCGTCATCTATTCGGTTCATTTGTCGTCAACTGCACAACTCAAAGTAGAATCGGTTTTTTGACTGAGAGGCGTTCCGCCTTCGGTAACCTCGTCATTTCAGCCCACTATGGCCAGCGATTTTCGTCGTTGCTTTTAGTTGGTAGAAACACATCATACTTCGATAGCTTCCTCTACTCTCGTCCTTGCCACACCCATCTTCCAGGGATCTGTCGGCGAGAGAAGTTGTGGATTGTTGGGACCTAGGCCTCGCCAGTCTGCAGCGTCTTTCTCGCTTGAATCTGTTTCCTCCATCGACTGCTAATTTACTCCCCCTAATTTGAAGAATTTGAATTCGTTGCACATTTTACTCTTCCACTTTCAAAATGGCTCGACACCTTCTTGAACAATTGACCGTAAATGTACTACTTACGTGAGCTCTACCCCACCATTATTTACTTTCTTCCCTTTGTGTAGATCTACATTACATTTGCATTTCTGCTATTTTTTTACTTACATTGACGCGACACCCCTGGTTTTGCCCAACATGCCAGGCGGTTACGGCGAAAACTACATGGGTGATATCACGCGCAACAACACGGCCCCATCAACTCTGCCTTGCACTTATGCAGGAACATCATTTTCACGCGCAGAGTCAAACTCAAAGTCAACAAACACAAACACAAAGACAAGCCGGAACTAGTTCCGCGGTCTCGCAGGGTCTAGGTCATGCTGGTGGAATCCAGGAGTTCATCTTATTTGACTCATCATGCAACTGATTCCAGCACTACCATCAATATGACAAGCCTTTGCAAGAAATCAAAAAGGTAGTGTCGATAGTACGGTGTCGTGTTTGCATGTGATATCGCGTTCTTTCGGTGGCGGGGAGTCTTCTTTTGAGGAGGAGACCCGAGGGCTGCAACACGACGAAGAACTGGCCGACGAGGAGTTTTACGTTTCCAAGCCGAAATCCATGGTGCAGCACCCGCCGCAGCAGCAAACAAATTCCATGATGTACTCCGGAGAGGTATGGCATGAAGAATGAAGAAAGGTGACTCGTCTCTTTACAACTGCATTTGCATGCTTGGAAGAAATGAATATGTCCGGGCTATTAAGTATGCTTTCGTATCCAGATTCACGACTCCAAAGACTCCAGCTTGTAGTTAAGTCCATTAGTTGGTACCTCAACCCTGTGAACAAAAATAAGAGCACCTTTCTCGTCCCCTCGTTTCCATAGCCGAACCCCCAGTACCCGAGCAGCTCCCCCAGTTCCGGGCCCGCCCTGCAGTACATTCCGCAGAGTGATTTTCTGTCTGACTTCGACAAGATCGACTTCATCCTGGACGCGAAGACCGGGTGCGCGGGCTACCGCTTCCAAATCCTGGGGAGACCGACGAAGACGCAGCGCGTGCACGTGATGACGATGACAATGAGCCGGAACTGCTTCGACAACGGCGTGATGCGGCTGTACGAGGCGATGTACGACAAACCGCGAATTTCGCCCGGGAACTTTTCCGGTCTGCGCATGCGGTTCGGCGCCTACGACGATTTGATCGAGAACCTGGATTACGGCGACCGCCCGCCGCTCGGCGAGTACGCGCTACCCTATCTCATGGCCGTCCCGCCGAAGACCTCCATCTACACGGACTCCCGGGGCGTGTACCGGGAGGATGGAAATTGTTGTTGCGGGGCGTCGACCAACTGCAGCTGCTGCTACACGAACATCGACTACTCGGACAAGCAGAAGGACAGAATCCCGGCCGCGGCGTTGGAGCCCGTGCCCTGCTGCGAGGGCCCGGACTGCTCCGACCCGAAAAACAAAAATTGCTGCGCCTGTGGCTGCTTCGCGAAGAAGGACAAGCGCATTTGCTGCAACTACTGCGGCCCGAAGCCCGACGCGGTCGAGCTGTTTTCGCCGCAGGAGGAGCAGAGTGCGTGCATGCTCAACTGTTGCGGCTGCAAGCTGAACGCCTGCTGCTGCCCCTACGAGGCCGGGTGCTGCTATGGATGTGTCAGAGTTGAAATCGACAGTGTTGAAATGACTTGTAATGCATAAAATGCGATACAAAAAGTGACTCTATTGCAGAGGACGCAAGGGAGGCAGATTATAGTCCTGGTAAGGGTCAAGAGTTGGACTGCTGACTAGCATGACAGAAGGCAGCTCTTTTGCCCTAAACCGCATGACAGACTCGCTTCCAGGACCGGGGAAATTTGTCATGCGCCGACTACAAACTGCAGGCCTAACTGGCATCCATTTTATGCATGACAAATTATTTCAACTTTGTCGATTTCAAACCTGACACTCCCATAGCTGCGCGCACGGCCCGGTGGAGCACGAACTGGTGTACTACGAGCGCGTGCTATGCAATGCAAAAGCATCGTACTAGTATAAATTGCATCACAAATTTTGGCAAGAAGAAAAGTGGAATTTGTAATGCTGTTTTACCTTAGAAAAGAGATTTGTCATGCATATTTGCAATTAGTACGACTACGATACTTTTGCACAGGATACGTGCCCAACCACGGCAATCTGGAGCAGCCCGGGCCCTTTCACCTCCAGGCCGTCAAGATCGGGAAATGCATCAACACCTCCTCCGCGGTGGAAAAGTGCTTCGGCCACTGCTGCAATTTCTTCTGCAACCTGCCCCCGTGCTGCTGCTCGCAGACCGGCATGAGCGGCGAATACGAGTTGCGGGACATGAAGAACCGCCTGATTTTTACCATCGAGGCGGACGCCGGGCTCTGCCCGGGCAGCGACGCGGAGTTTCGCATCATGGAGCGGCGGGACGCCGGGAGGGCCCCCGTGCAGCGGGGGTCGATCAAGATGGAAATCCCGTTCTACGCTTGTGGGTGCGGGGCGTGCGACTCCTGCTACGGGAAGATTCGTCTAGACTTCGGCACCATCGAGGACGTGTACCAGCGGTTCCACGTCTTGGGCTTCGCCATGCAGCTCTGCGAGAAGATGGTGGGCGCGCGACGCGGAGTGGCGTGAAGGCGGCACGACCAGAAGCGGCAGAACTAAGTACAACATCTCTGCTGCCTTTATGGCTTTTTTTGTACGTTACGCATTTACAATTTTATCAGCATACATTTTGACATTTTTCGGGATTTTCATTCGTAAACTAGTTTAACATTTGCACATCACATGTATTTAATAATCTTTATCATACGCATACGGACCTATTTCGTTTTTTTGTTTGGTTTAGCATAAATTCACGACTTGACGCTAACTCTAACGCAGAATTTCATCACAACTGACCCGCTAGGGCTAAAGATCATCGTTGAGTCGGTCGCACAAATATCGTTCGGTTGTTCTCTGAGGTAAGTTGAAGAGCAGTTATTTTCCATGAGCAATAAAAATAAACATAGCGCATCCGTTCCACAGAGTAAAGTTTGAGTTCAATGGTATTCCTGTATTGTTTTTTGGCAGCCCGCGTCTTTCAGCCCAACACTAGGGTACTGCACCATACGTACGTACCTGGTCGTCACGAACTCTACAGGTTTTCTACGCTCCATGACTGGAACTATTTACAAAAACAGCATCAAATTCAAAGTTGATGATTCGAAAAGTAATCTAGTGGAACTACAACTAAGCTTTATTGATTAAAATGCGCCAACAAGAACAGTATCGAATTTCAATTTGTTGGTATAGAAGAAGAATCTAGTAAGATAAATCCTCGCTTTACTTGTGTTGTAGCAAAACCATTTTCATGAAGATTTTATGGCGGCTTCTTTTAGTGTTCCGGAGCTCTGACTTCTACGCGAGCAGAAGCACTGTCGTGAAGACAACTTGACGGTGTAGCTCTCGCTCCGTTTCCAGCAGCGCAACGTCGGTGTAGTTTGATGTGGTCGCCTGTTTTATTCTGCCGTGGTTTTGCCCTGGGACGAGCAACCTCGTAGCCTGCTGGAAGAACCAGGTCGGTTGATTTTTGTCGTGTGTCCTTGTGTCATTGAGTTTCAAATAAATTTGTAATTGAGGAATTTGTTCCTGCTCGTTCGCGACCGATCCTATAGCAGCATTCTCCACTTCTAGCAGTTGCTCTTTGGTCATCAAATGAACAGTATCGGTAATTTGAATTCCTTTACCAAACGTTTCAGGAGAAACATCAGCACCCTCGCATGTATTAGCGTTCGACTTCCCACACCCACAATATTTTTGTAGTTACTTGCTCAAAGTCTAAAGCTATTGGTGGTTTCTCTGACACGGTCCTTTTCACCCTCGCTCTTTTCTTTTCACCCTCGCGCGGCTTGACTAGTAAATCGAATTAAAGCAGCACCAAAATGAGATGAGTACGCATCTTTCGCAACCCCCAATTCTTGCGAGATTTTTGTGCAGGCACTTTTCGAAAGACGTTCGGGGAAGAAGTATAACGAGCACGCCCTCCTTTTTTGCGGTCGCAAGAGACCTTTCTCACAGCTGCAGCCTGCTACCACTCAACCCGCAACGAACAAGGACCATGTCTACCGCAGCGACGTTTTCGAATTTTCCGACCGAGCATGAGCGTTTTCTCTTCGACCTGAATGGATACCTGGTCCTGCGCAATGTCTTCACCGAGGCAGAAATCGCGGGCATGAACGCTGAGGTCGATGGGTGGAAAAAAGAAAACAAAGTGGTATACCGGGAAAATATGAAACTAAAAAACGCACCAACGACGACGTCGACGGAAACCCAGAAAAATGGCGATCAAACGGTCCCAAGTCCCATGAGTGGCTTGACCACGTCGGCCGAGCACTCCAGGGGCGATCTGGGGGGCATATTGTCCGCAAAAGCCTTTCGGAATGTGTTGACGCATCCAAAACTGGTCCCCTACTTCACGGCGTTGCTCGGGAGGGGCTACCGCATGGACCACCAACCCTTTGTGATTCTGCAGAACAAGGACTCCGAGGGATTCTCACTACACGGCGGACCGGTCGGGGGGAAAGACCATCGGTATTTTGTGTATCAATTGAAGGAAGTGAGGACTTTCACATATGATCTTCTGTTGCCTCGTTGAGTGTAGTCCTCACAACCACAAGAGTTCTTACGCTCTGTGTGTAACTATCGTGAACGTGATGTACTACATGATGTGCTAACATTGGTTCCTGTAGATGATTTTTGTCCTGTAGATGATTCATTAAATCCTCTTCCTATCAAACTCACAGCCCCATCCCGGAGCTTCAATACCATTGCCAGAATGGTTGGATCACGCAATCCCTGCTCGCCTGTTCTGTAGCGCTGCACGACGCGCCCGCCGGCGCCGGCGGCTACGTCGTGGTCCCGGGGTCGCACAAGCTGAATTTCTCCATGCCGCACGGGTTCGACGACGCGACGACCCTACCCGGCAAGGCTTTTTTCGAAGAACACGTGCAGCAGCCGGTGTTGAAGAAAGGGGACGTAGTATGCAAGAAAAAAACTGTGTAAGTGTAACTTTCTTTGAGAAACAACATTACAAATTTGCCCTACATGACAGAGAAAACCTCTCATGCGTGGCATGTAAGGGAAACGGAAAACACACATGAAAAGAGGACTTCGTGGCTGTCTGGCATGACAGGTGTAACTCTGTTGCATGTTCTGCAACACAAAGTTACACTTACGCAGTTTTTTTCTTGGATACGTAGTTCTCTTCTCCGAGGCGACCATCCACGGTGCCGTCACCTGGAAGGCGGACTTCGAGCGACGAGTCGCATTGTACTATGGCGTAGTTCTCAACTGTTACATTCTCAAGTGTTACATGGATTTGTCATGCAAGAATGGGACAAGTGAAAGGGGGGAGGTTGCATCTGTAGCATTACAAATTCCGAACAGATTTGGGTTCTGTTTAGCCATTCGCAAATTTGTCATGCGAAGCAGCTTGATCGTGTGGATCTTGGTGATCATTTTGCATGACAAATCATGTAACAGTTGAGAGTGTAACGTTTGAGAACGCCATATGTACCGGTTTGCGCCGGCGAATGTCGCATATGGAAGGATGTATCTCGGGGAGGAAACGAAAGGCCCATTTGGGCTGGATTTGAAAGAATTGACCGAAGAGGAAAAAGCGGTCTTGCTACCGCCGTATGCGGTGAGAACCGAAAGAATGTGTGTAGAAGTGGATAAGGAAGAAGGTGGCCGTGTGAAGGTAGGCTTTGACAAAAGGACCGCAGAGAAAAAAGAGCACGACTTTAAGGTGTTTGGGACGAAATGGTTTTAATATACTTCGAGCGGGATAAGATTCAACGGAAAGTTACGGCTAGATATCTGCCGAGTTTGCGAAGAGTTAGTCGACGAACTCAAATTTAATACATTTTTCCGCGCCAGAAGATCAAAAGAGTTGTGTTCAGTGCTAGTTCACTGTACTACAGCTGTCTAGGCCGTGGACATCGACCGACGAGAGGACAGAGAGATGCAAGCAGAATTAGTAGCCACAGCTGTCCCTTATCTATGTTTCGCCAGCAGGAGCAGGAGGTATTTTCTACAGCGAGAAGTGCTACGTATTGCTACTGTACTTGGGGGCAACAAAGAGGGATCACGATCTTTACTGAGCTGAGATGAGAAGAGCACGCACGTTGGAGAGGGTTGCTTCTTTTGTGAACTGCAAGATGTGGTTGTGCGGCCACTTTGCGTATATTATATTCGTATAAGAAGGTTTTTTCTTTTCGTGGTTGCCTGAGGCTGAGACCGAGCAAGAGTAGCATCAATGTGGTTTTGGGTCACATTCGGTAAAGAATACAGCAAAAGAAGCAAGTGCGGAGCAACAAAACAAAATAAGTGGCAAAAGAAGGGAAGGTACAATAAAACACTTCATTGTGCTGGCTCGTCGGTCCGAAAAATCGTCCCTCGTCTACTCAGAGAAGTAGAGACACAACAACATCATGTCGGCTGCTCCGCAGGTCTTATCCGACGCCACGCAGGAGGATCTGGCGATGGCCGTGGCGCACCTAAAGGAGAAAAATGACGAGGTGATTGCCGTGTGGCGTGTGAACAAGGAGAACCACACCCTGTTCGACAAGCAGGTGCTCCCCTACCTCTGCATCCCGTGCTTGTGGCCCGCGGCCATCCTCGGTTCGCCGTGCTGGTGAACCGTCCGCCAGACCACGGTCAACATTCTGGCGGGTACGGTCTTCATCCTGGGGAAGAAAAACCTGTACCGTGTCATCGACGTGAAGACCGGAAGCTGCCAGTGCGCGCTCAAATGCGTCCCCAAGACCTGGTCGCAGGAGGGTGTTTGCGAGGACCTATGAGAATGCTGCACAAATGCTCCCCCTGCTTGCAGCTCTGATTTGCAGGACGTGCACCATCGGAATGAAATAAAATATTATAAAAGGCGAGCAGATAGTGGGTTGGGGTTCTCGTTCTGCATGACAAACCAACGTCGATGAGTTTTGTCGTTTGTTGGGCTTGTTCCAGATTTTGTCACGCAGGCGCTGGCAAAGGGAAACGAAAGGAAAGGGATTAGATGTCTAATATACTTGGTGATATGTTGATCTTGCGGGTCGTCACGCAGTCGAAGTCGTCGCGCGGGAGCAGTTGTGCACTCTCATACGACCTGACAAAACTGGACAAGGTGGAGTTGATCGACAAGAAACTGTTCTGTTTTCCGCTGCACCTTATCGCTCTGTGAAAAAGTTGCATCGTGTCGCTTTTCTTTGCAGCTCGTTTCGAACTTCCAATTTCCATAAAGCTTTCGAAACCTCCTGAAATTGTGTGAGTACTGCCAGCACATGCGGTGGTTGCTAGTTTGTGTTTACACAACGGGACTTTTTTTCTTGCATACATGTCGAGATCAGCGCGCCGAGCCGTCTATGGAGCTTCTCGTCGCCCTTAATTGCGAAAGAGGAAGAGTGGGAAGGTGCGCGCTCAGAGCGAAGCTTCAGGCTTAATACCATATTGACCTGTAAGCACCTGCACCGCTGCACCGCCGACGCGCCGCCCTACAGAGCGGTCAAATGAATTCCTGAAAGCATAGCTGCCCTTTCGCAATTTTTTTGCGAACGCCAGCCGCAGCCTGACGCAGCCGCTTGATGATTTTGTTGAATTTTGCGCCCTAGTAGCATAGACTTGTTGTACTTGGACTGGCAACGCCAATAGATACAGATAGTAAAGATGAAACTTTATTTTTATGATACTACAACTTGGTCATGAACGAAAACGAATGCCGACCCGCTGCCATGAATACGTCTTCCTGCAGAAAGTTCTCTACGAGTTGTTTTCCCTCGATATACCAAAGGTCTTGCCGAAGCTGAAGCGTTTGGCAAGGAAATGGACGCGCAAACGTTTGAACGCCACACGCAGCAGTATGCAGTGCACAAGTATAATCGCACTAGCAGTACAACTAACTTCTTGTATGGCAACAAAATTTTTTGCCAAAATTGCGCAAATTATGCAGCTCGTGCTTATTTCGCAACAAGAAAGAAAACGAAAAAATAAAAACGGGAATACATCATTCGTCGCTCGTAGTACCGGTGATAACAGTAACACAAGTACGACTGCGATACTATTGCACGGGATACCTTCAAGGCAGACGCCAAAACGGCGATCCGCATTGGCATGCTGCGGAAAATGAAAAGGGTGAACTTTGGCCTTTTCGAAAACAACAATCAAGAATGGCAGGAACTGGAGGATATGCTGAAGAAAAAAATTGCGAACGAGATCAGCGAGGATGAGTTCTGGGAGCAGATGGAAAAGTTCAAGGAAAAGGACGACCAGCTGGCGGAGAAGGTCGCGGATTTGGAAAGGCAAATCGCGGAAAAGGATGAGAGACTCAACCTCGACAACACCTGTTGTTTGGTCTTGCTCGGCCCGCACATGAACTTCGAGGGTCTGACGGAGGGGAAAATGGGCCAGGGCGACTTCGACGCGGACCGCGAAAACTGGTGGGCCACCACCGGCATGGCCTGCACACTGTGCCGCACACCCAACGGCTACTGGTGCCGCGAGGAAGCCGAGGCGCTCGACTTCGAGGCGCATGTGTACGAATACCATCGCGACCAGTGCGATTCCTGGGCGACGGCCATAGAATGCGAAAAACATCACATGATCTCCTGAATTCTTGCGTGAGTACTGAGTAGCTCAAGTTTCGATTTTGAATAGCATTTCACCATGGTACGTAGTAGTAACTACTCTCCACAACTTCTTCCGGAGGCTCTGCTTAAGGACCTTTAACGTTTCGAATCGTTTATGATTATGTTCGCTGGTCGACCAACACGTATCCCTTTTGCTTCCTTCATACGAGAGTGACCATTCTGATCATGTTTTTACTACAAGTGATGTGAACTATTCTTTTGGTTTCGCTACCCCTACCCTTCTTAATAATCATAAAAGCTATGCGAACGCGATCTGGTCCGTCGTGGACAAACGCGCAGGACTTTCTGACAAGGTGAAAGGCACCAGCCTCCACGAGGAAAGATGGGGCTGGAGCTTTTCGAATGTATCTTGTCTGTGTCTCTACTTTTTCGAATCCCGCGATTTACATTCTCCCTACCGTCGCCGCTTTAATACGTTTCCGCGACGTGCTATGCTTTTGCCTTGGACCATGTACTTAAACTAACACGAAGAAACTGACTTCTTATGAAAATTTTCCTCCAGGAGCCTGTGCCCGTTGAGAGCAGAACCTGGCTCCTCGGGCCGAGCATGAGAATCGGCCTCTGCCTTTCGTGCAAATTTCCTCGTCAATGTCCTCACAACTTTATCGGTTATTTCCTTCTTCGGTCTCGTTCATGATGTCGGCGTCTTTTCACTGTCTCGGCTAGAAGTCAATTTCCTAGTCTGGCGGATGTTCTCATGTGTGCCAACAGTTATTCGTTCAAAGGCGGCGCCAGTGGAGTTCCTTAGTTTCTTCGTGCGATGTTTCCGCTTCGTCCGCATCGTTAGCACTGCTATACTAGCGTTCTACGTCAATCGTTTGCTCCGCTTCGTCCCCGTTGAAAAAAATCTAGCGTTGTCTACTTGATGTGCTGGTAACACGACGTACTTGCGAACAATGCGTTCTTCCGTGTAGTGTTTGCGAAATCTAATCGTTTATGGCACACATCTTTTCTTCAACTGGCCGTGATCAAATCCAATTTCTCTCTCCAGTCCTTTTCTTTGTTGAAGTTGCAACTATAGAAGTAGTTCCCTCCCCCCTTTAACTCTTCTTCTATTTGCTTTTTCTACTACGAAAAGTACACAAGACCACAAATCAACAAAAAAGTAACCCAAGGCCAGCACAAATATTGTATTCGTCAAGAGTTTTGTTTTTGAAGCCTAGAACCACGACCAGAATAAACGATCGACATAGAAGTGTAAAGGCGCGAAGGAGGCGACTCGCACGGCAAGAATCCATTCTTTGATACACAGGCAAACGACTCGACTGAATCGTTTGTGACCAGGACCTTGTGCTGGTGAAAAGTTGTAGTCCGGCGTTGCAACAAGGACACGCATAATTGTCAAACAAAAAATGCATTTGAACACGGATTATTTCCTGCACGATCCGGTGCAGGAGCTGGAAAGCGCGGCGTCAAAGCCCAGCGAAATGAGAAAAACCACACCCGAGGGCTACATAGAAATCCTGCCCAATCGGCTGTACTGGACTGCGGTGAATTCCACGCCGAGACCCACCTCCCAGTACCACTTTTTCTGCATCGACCAGGACTTGGTGTACGAGCCCTTCAACCAGGATTTTGGCCCGCTGAACCTCTCGTGCACCTTCAAATTCGCCCGCTTGGTGAAGAAACTGCTGGACGACCCGAGTTTGTCGAAGAAGAAGCTCGTCCACTACTGCAGCCTCTCGGAGAAAAAGCGGCCTAACGCGGCGTACCTGATGTGTTGCTTCCAGGTGATGTACCTGAACAAGCCCGCGGAACTAGCCTACAGGCCGTTTGAGAACATCCGACCCCAGTTTCAGCCCTTCCGGGACGCGACGGCCGGCATGTGCACCTACGCGTGCACGGTGCTGGACTGCGTCAAGGGGTTGGAGTACGTATCCACAGTAATTTTCCTGTACATGTACAAATGCGGTTTCTGCATGACAAAGCTTCCGTTTAATTCGATTCAGCATGAGAAGTGGCATGCTCCAAGTTGGTGAAATTTGTGATGCATTTTGTACATGTACAGGAAATTTGTATTGCATAGTACGCCATGAAAATAAACTGGTTTAACCCGGAGACGTTCAACGTGCAGGCCTACGATTACTACGAAAAGGTCGACAACGGCGACATCTCGTGGGTGATTCCGGAGAAATTTCTCGCGTTTTCCGGCCCCAGCGGGAACGGCATCGACACCTACGGCTACCCCGCCTTCACCCCCGAGGACTACGTGCCGATCTTCCGCAATGCGAACGTGTCCACCGTGGTGCGGCTGAACAAGGAACAGTACGATGCGGCGAGGTTCACGATGAACGGCATCAAGCACGTGGACATGTTTTTCCCGGACGGGAGCTGTCCCCCGAGAGACATTGTCAACCGATTTCTGCGCTTGGCGGAATCTGAACCTGCTGCGTTAGCGGTGCACTGCAAAGCGGGTCTGGGGCGGACGGGCACTTTGATCGGACTGTATGCGCAGAAGCACTACAAATTCCCGGGCCGGGCCTACATCGGGTGGAACCGGATCGCGCGACCGGGCGCGATCCTCGGACCACAGCAGCAGTATTTGTGCGATATGGAAAGGGAAATGATTGCTCTGGGCGAGCAGGAGCGCGCGACGAAGGGACTGAATGGTCGCAATTTGCCATCAGTGTCTGGTAGCGGAGCCTCAAACTCATTAAACGCAGGAGCAGCACTTCGCTCCCTCACCGCCGCTGAGAAGAAGGAAGACGTCGGCCAGGGCGAGCGTTTGGTCGCAGCTAAGGCGAAGCAAGGTGCAGGGGCTGGTGCTCTCACCGCGAAGTCCAGTATCAGTGCGAACCTGCAAGCGAAGTTGACTTCGAACGTCAGTGTGGGGGGAACAGGTTCGTACATCAACCGTTTAACCGGGAGCGAAATCTCCTTTTCGCGGTTCAGTCCGGGCCTCTCCTCGTCCAGTTCCCCGATGAAGCTCCTCGGACAGAAGCGCAGCGACAGTCGGCCAATCATGAAGGGAATGTTCGGGCCGCAGGGGCAACGCCCGGTGCGGTTGAGCTCGAATAACTGAGGGGCTTCCGAGGAAAAGGAGACTGCACTGCCACGCTCATCGTTTTCGAGACGGTCGACACGGCAGCCGTCTTTACTGTTCCCGAGACATCAGAGACATACTCCCCTAAACCTTTTGCGAAGTAGAAACTTTTTCAGTGCCGCTGCTTAAGCGACACAAGCGACGAAATATGCTTCAATTCAGGATTAATGGCTTCTGGCTTCATTATTTTTACACATTTTGCATTTTTCATTTTATTCCATTATCTTTTTTTTACTTCTTATTTCTTGCATATTTTTCTGTAGTTCAGTTTTTCACATTTTGCCACACCTTTTCATCGGCCTACTTCACATCGCATTCACAATCAAGTAAAAGCATCAGCACACTGTCGTCATCGTACTAACAAGCGTCGCACATGCACAGTCACAGTACCCCTGTGCCGAACGTGCTCGCGTGACGTTCTCTTCGTTGTCCCCACGATTTCTGCGCTTTTTCGCATGGCAAGGCTATTACCAATAGCACTGCGATGCAATCGATCTCACGGCAGTGCACGACCAGCCATCACTAGAATCAACCCAGCTGTAGTATTTCTAGTTAGTGTGTCCCGCGAAGAAAAGTGTGTCGTTTCCATTTTGTGCAGAAGTTGAGTTCAACTGAGATTTGGATTCGATTTCTTCTGAAGTACAAAGTAATAGGCCAGTAGTAGGTAGTCTTCCTGCCACTAGCATCTTCTGTTTGAGTTCTCCGCTGCTTTGTAGTACCCCTATTAATTTAGACAAGCGAACAGGACGGAGCACCCAAGCAGTTTTTAATTGAAATTTTTCAGATTAACCCAACCCCCCAAATTATTTCTGTACTACGGCGAGATCTGGCTCCCCTGATTTACCAAAGTGTCGTCTTCTTCCTCGATGCGATAAGTTACAAAAGTAACTGCGATCGCAAAAAGTAGCTTTGATAATTCAGGCTGCCACTCGTCTGAATATTGACCTGCGCAGCGCCTAAGGTTTTTTTCTGCTGTGGTAGCGCAAGACCGTGATTTTTTTGATCTTATTCATTCTGTAATGTCCTCGACCAACACGAAGACGAATCCCTTTTGCTTCCTTCATAGGAGAGTGACCATTCTGATCATGTTTTTACTACAAGTTAGTATGAGCTATTCTTTCAGTTTCGGTACCCGTACAGTTCTTGATAATCATAAAGGTCTGCGAACGCGATCTGATCGTAGACACGCGCGCGGGAATGTCTGATAAGTTGAAAGGCACCAGCCTCCATGAGGAAAGACGGGGCTGGAGCTTTTCGAATATATTATATCTGTGTCTCCTTTTCGTTTTCGAATCCCGCGATTCACATTTTCCCTACCCTCGCCGCTTTGATACGTTTCCGCGACGTGATATGCTTTTGCCCTGGACCAACATGTAAACACAAAGAAACTGACTTTTTATGAAAATTTTCTTCCAGGAGCCTGTCGTGCCCGTTGAGACCAGAACCTAGCTCCACCTCGGGCCGAGCATCAGAATCGCCCTCAGTTGTTCCTCTGCCTTTCGTGCAAACTTCGTCGTCAATGTCCTCACAACTTTATTGGTTAACTCCGTCTCCTCTCTCGTTCATGATTGCGGCGTCTCTTCACAGTCTCGGCTAGAAGTCAATTTCCAAGTCGGTCGGAATATCTCACGTGTGGGTGTGCCAACAGTCATTCGTTCTATCATCAAGAAAAGAAAGGTGGCGCCAGCGGAGTTCCTTAGTTTCTTCGTGCGATGTCTCTGCTTCGTCTTCATCGTTATCATTTTCATTGCTATACTTGCGTTCTACGTCAATCGTTTGCTGCTTTTCGTCCTCGTTGGAAAAAATATGGCGTTGTCTACTTGATGTGCTGGCAACCCGTGCTTACGAATACCGATGCGGTTTTTGTAGTGTTTGTGAAGGCTACTTCTTAGCGCAGACCTTTTCAGTAATTCGTCGTGATCATCAAATCCAATTACAATTTTTCTCGCCAGTCCTTTTCTTTGTTGAAGTTGCAAGTAGAAGTGCCCTCCCCCCTTTTCTTTAACTCTTCTATTTGACTTTTCTACTACGAAAAGTACACAAGCAACCACCACAAATCAACAAAAAAAGTAACCCAAGGCCAGCACAATCACAAATATTGTACTCGTCGTTAAGAATTTTGAAGTCTAGAACCGCGACCAGAAGAAACGATCGACGGACATAGAAGAAGTGTAAAGGCGCGAAGGAGGCGGCGCGCACGACACAAATCTATTCTCGATAAGAGGCAAACGATTCGACAATCGTTTGTGACCAGGACCTTGTGCTGGTGATAAGTTGTAGTTCGGCGTTGCAAGAAGCACACGCAGAATTCGAATTGTCAAACAAAAAATGCATTTGAACACGGACTATTTTCTGCACGATCCGGTGCAGGAGCTGGAAAGCGCGGCGTCAAAGCCCAGCGAAATGAGAAAAACCACACCCGAGGGCTACATAGAAATCCTGCCCAATCGGCTGTACTGGACCGCGGTGAATTCCACGCCGAGACCGACCTCGCAGTACCACTTTTTCTGCATCGACCAGGACTTGGTCTACGAGCCCTTCAACCAGGATTTTGGCCCGCTGAACCTCTCCTGCACCTATAAATTCGCCCGCTTGGTGAAAAAACTGCTGGACGACCCGAGTTTGTCGAAGAAGAAGCTCGTCCACTACTGCAGCCTCTCGGAAAAAAAGCGGCCGAACGCGGCGTACCTGATGTGCTGCTTTCAGGTGATGTACCTGAACAAACCCGCGGAACTAGCCTACAGGCCGTTTGAGAACATCCGACCCCAGTTTCAGCCCTTCCGGGACGCGACGGCCGGCATGTGCAACTACGCGTGCACGGTGCTGGACTGCGTCAAGGGGTTGGAGTACGCCATGAAAATAAACTGGTTTAACCCGGAGACGTTCAACGTGCAGGCGTACGATTACTACGAAAAGGTGGACAACGGCGACATCTCCTGGGTTATGCATTGCAAACATGTCTGGGTCTGGAAGGTTGCAACTTGTAATGCTGTCTCTGCATTTTAGGAAAATCTGTATTGCATGATCAGCAAGAGGGGTCCAGTTTGTGCTTCATGGAGAGGGCATTTATCATGCGGAATATGCATTAGGAAGCCCTCCAAAAATCTGTGATGCTAGGTGATGCATTACAGGCATCGTGGGCCATGAAAAATCTGCATGACAACTCTCGCAATCTTCCAGACCCAGACATTTTTGCATTTCACATGGGTGATCCCGGAGAAATTTCTCGCGTTTTCCGGGCCCAGCGGGAACGGTATTGACACCTACGGCTACCCCGCCTTCACCCCCGAGGACTACGTGCCGATCTTCCGCAATGCGAACGTGTCCACCGTGGTGCGGCTGAACAAGGAGCAGTACGATGCGGCGAGGTTCACGATGAACGGCATCAAGCACGTAGACATGTTTTTCCCGGACGGGAGCTGTCCGCCGAGGGACATTGTCAACCGGTTTCTGCGCTTGGCGGAATCCGAACCTGCTGCGTTAGCGGTGCACTGCAAAGCGGGTCTGGGGCGGACGGGCACTTTGATCGGGCTGTATGCGCAGAAGCACTACAAATTTCCGGGCCGGGCCTACATCGGGTGGAACCGGATCGCGCGGCCGGGCGCGATCCTCGGACCACAGCAGCAGTATTTGTGCGATATGGAAAGGGAAATGATTGCTCTGGGCGAGCAGGAGCGCGCGACGAAGGGACTGAATGGTCGCAATTTGCCATCAGTGTCTGGTAGCGGAGCCTCAAACTCATTAAACGCAGGAGCAGCACTTCGCTCCCTCACCGCCGCTGAGAAGAAGGAAGACGTCGGCCAGGGCGAGCGTTTGGTCGCAGCTAAGGCGAAGCAAGGTGCAGGGGCTGGTGCTCTCACCGCGAAGTCCAGTATCAGTGCGAACCTGCAAGCGAAGTTGACTTCGAACGTCAGTGTGGGGGGAACAGGTTCGTACATCAACCGTTTAACCGGGAGCGAAATCTCCTTTTCGCGGTTCAGTCCGGGCCTCTCCTCGTCCAGTTCCCCGATGAAGCTCCTCGGACAGAAGCGCAGCGACAGTCGGCCAATCATGAAGGGAATGTTCGGGCCGCAGGGGCAACGCCCAGTGCGGTTGAGCTCGAATAACTGAGTGGTTCCCGAGAAAAACGAGACTACACTGCCACGCTCGTCGTTTTCAAAACGGTAACGGTCGACACGGCAGCTGTCTTTACCGTTCCCGACACATCAGAGAATACTCCCCTAAACCTTTTGCGAAGTAGAAACTTTTTCAGTGCCGCTGCTCAAGCGACACAAGCGACGAACTATGCTTCAATTCAGGATTAATGGCTTCAGGCTTCAGGTTCACATCTTGCATTTAATTTTCAAAAAATCAACCAAAACTAAACATTATTTTTACACATTTTGCATTTTTCATTTTGTCACTTGTTCCATTATCTTCATTTTTTACTTCTTTGTTGCATATTTTTCTGTAGTTCAGTTTTTTACATTTTGCCACACCTTTTCATCGGTCTTCACATCGCATTCACAATCAAGTAAAAGCACCAGCACACTGTCGTCATCGTACTAACAAGCGTCGCACATGCACAGTCACAGTACCCCTGTGCCGAACGTGCTCGCGTGACGTTCTATTCGTTGTCCCCACGATTTCTGTGCCTTTTCGCATAGCAAGGCTATTACCAATAGCCCTGCGATGCAATCGATCTCACGGCAGTGCACGACCAGCCATCACTAGGATGAACCCACCTGTAGTATTTCTAGTTAGTGTGTTCCGCGAAGAAAAGTGTGTCGTTTCCATTTTGTGCAGAAGTTGAGTTCAACTGAGATTTGGATTCGATTTCTTCTGAAGTACAAAGTAGTAGGCTAGTAGGTAGTCTTCCTGCCGCTGGCATCTTCTGTTTGAGTTCTCCGCTGCTTTATAGTACCCCTATTTAGACAAGCGAGCAGGACGGAGCACCCAAGCAGTTTTTAATTGTAATTTTTAACCCACCCACTCAAATTTCTCTACTACGTCGAGATCTGGCTCCCCCTGATTTACCAAAGTGTCGTCTTCTTCCATGCGATTAGTTACAAAAGTAACTGCGAGCGCAAAAATTAGCTTTGATAATTCAGGCTGCCACTCGTCTGAATATTGACTTGCGCAGCGCCTAAGGTTTTTCTGCTGTGGTAGCGCAAGACCGTGATTTTTTTGATCTTATTCATTTTATTTTTCGACGCATAAGCCTAACTGCCTCTGCATTGCGGTGAAATCCGGAGTGTTTGCTATTCGAGCTTTGTGCCCAGTGTTCTTGCTGCCAAGAAATAAAGAAAATGCAAAGCTTCTAAACATCAGAAATCGTCCGCATCGACTTGCAATACGTATTTACAGCTCGACGCAGCACACAGCGCTCAGTAGATTTCGGTTTGAAGAGTCACCTTATAGGTATTGATATTGATTACGAAGAAAAAAAAAACACTACAGATGAACCTCACAGAATGCGCACGCGCAGTAGCAAGAAGCACGAAAGTAGTCGTAGACGTAGTGTTGTGCTCGGTATGATGATTGACTCGTGCGATAAAAAGACATGGAGCCGCGCTCCAAAGACTCTGTCTGCAAGCAAGCAAAAGTCGGTTGTATTTCGTACAAACCTGTTTATTTCGTGACGTTCATCAGAAGATTATCTGTGCCAACATCGGAAGAAGTAAATCTATTTTTGACGTCGACCTTCGTGCTGAAGCAATGCCTTCTTCGGACCACATGCAACTGGAGATCGTGCCGCGTTATTCGCTTTTGCGTTTCAAACCCTCCGCTTCCAGGTACACATCATTTCCCCCCATGGTGTAAAAACTCTACTTTTTTGAATCTCGCCTCGACTCAAACCAAAGCTAGTTCATCTTTTGTGGTACATACTTCGACAATTTGAAGAAGACTGACAATCTTGTCGCCACAAAATTGCCACGTCGCAACTTTTGCTCTTTTTACTAGACGAAGGATATTACTTGGATTTGAAGTGGTTCAGGAGAAACTAGTTCGAGGAAGCGGATTCTTTTCAAAGTGAGGCTACGGGTTATTCAAGCAGCCACGCAACAAGCTTCTGCCGCGCGTGTGTTTGTTCTTGAAATAGTTACGTACAGTCTCATCTTTTGTCGCATATCATTTAAGTTGTTGCAGCCAGCAGTACCCTGCTCGCTGTCGCTCGCATTTGCATTGTGACAGACTGTGCATAGAACCAAACCTTTCACAGACTCTTTGAATTTTTGAAAAAGTACCATCAACCAGCAAAGCCAAGACTGCAACTGCTGCTGCTGCTGCTGCTGAACCTTTTCGGAGCCCACGAACCAAGCCGAAAACAAGAAGATGCAGCACCTAAACAGCGACTACTTCGCGCAAGACGCGAACCTGGTCGGCGAGCCGGGCAAGCTTTCCCCGGAGGGGTATCTGGAGATTTTGCCAAAACGGCTCTACTGGGTTGCCGTCTCCGCGATTCCGAAGGCAAACTCACAATTCCACTACTTTTGCATCGACTCCGAGCTGGTGTACGAACCCTTTTACCAGGACTTTGGCCCGCTGAACCTCTCCTGCACGTACAAGTACGCCAGGCTAGTGAAGCAGCTGCTGGACGACCCGGCGCTCGCGAACAAGAAGATCGTCCATTACTGCAGCCAAGACCCGAAGAAAAGGCCGAACGCCGCGTACCTGATTTGCGCGTTTCAGGTGATGCTGTTGAAGCGACCGGCGGACATCGCCTACCGGCCGTTTCAGAACATAAAACCGCCGTTCATGCCGTTCCGCGACGCGACCATGTCGGTGTGCACCTACCAGTGCACGGTACTGGACTGCATAAAAGGCCTCGAATACGCCATGCGCATCAAGTGGTTCGACCCGGCGACGTTTGACGTGAAGGCGTACGATTTTTACGAGAGAGTGGAGAATGGGGACATCAGCTGGGTGATCCCGGACAAGTTTCTGGCGTTTTCCGGCCCCTCCGCGACGCCCATCGACATTCACGGGTACCCGACCTTCACCCCCGAGGACTACGTGCCGGTGTTCAAGGCGGCGAACGTCTCCCTAGTCGTGCGGTTAAACAAAAAGCAGTACGACCGAAGGCGGTTCACGGACAACGGGTTGAAGCATGTGGAGCTGTTTTTCGTCGACGGCTCCTGCCCGCCCAAGGACATCATTGACAAATTTCTGCAGCTTTCCGAGGCGGAGCCGAACGCGATCGCGGTCCACTGCAAGGCGGGGCTGGGGAGAACGGGAACTTTAATCGGGCTGTATGCGCAGAAGCACTACAAGTTCCCGGGCCGGGCCTACATCGGGTGGAACCGGATTTGCCGGCCGGGCGCGATCCTCGGGCCGCAGCAGCAGTTTCTCGTGGACATGGAGCGGGAGATGATTCAATGGGGGGATATGGATTGTAAAAATGTCTGGGTCTGGAAGAATGCAACTTGTCATGCTAAATCTCAAGCATGCAAAAATCTGTGTTGCATGATTACCAAAGGTCGTCCGGTTTTGACCAAGTCGGGAGAGAGTTTGTCATGTAGGATAGGCATTAGAAAGGTCTCGCAGAATCTGTCATGCTATGTCCTACATACCAGACCTCATCGGTCATGGAAAACCTGCATGACAAGTCTGGAAAACCATGGTATCTGGAAAACCTGCATGACAAGTCTGGCAATCTTCCAGACCCAGACACTTTTGCAATCCATAGGGGAAATGGAGCGACAACGGGTGGCGCCGCCCAGCCCACTGCAGTCGCTGGGTTTAGGGAGTCTTGGGTTCGGTGGCAATAGCAACAACCCGGCCAACCGCATTTCCAACAGTCTGCGGGGATTGACGCAAGAGGAGCAACAAGAGGACGTCGGCCAGGGTATCCTGAGTAAAAATGTCCCCAAGCCAGAGTTGTGATGCAAATCTGCATGCCAAAAAAGTTTCTCATGCGGAGCCCCATGAGAGCGATTTTCTAGTCCTGTGAGGGAATTTGTGATGCTAGAATCAGCATGATATGCGAGATCTGTGATGCTTCGGAACTAGCTAAACAGGATTACACTACGAGGACATAACTTGGCATGCGAAACAACCAGAGGTGGCTGATTTGTCTAGCGGGTTTCCCATCTTGACTCTGGTGTGGGGGCATTTTTACTCAGGATACAGGGAGACCGTCTCGTGGCGGCGAAATTTGGCTTGTCGGGGGCGGGACAGGCGAACTCCGGCTCGCTGCTCACCTCGAAACTGCAAATCATGGGTCAAAACCGAAACTCAAACGCCAACAACCCGGTCATGCGCGGGATGTTCGGCCCACAACCAGCCCCGGTCATGTTGCCGCCAAGTGGCAGCAATTGAGGTGGTTGATGTAGGGACGTTTCGTAGTGATTGCGGCTCTAGTAACAAGAGCTGGACCTCCTCCTAGCAGCCGACATATTTTTCATAAGCCAAAGTAGAACCCGTGCTGTTCGGACAGAACCGAAGTAGCTCCATTTCGCGACAGTAAATTCAAGAGTCTTGTTCATTAAACTGTTTTGCTCCTCACGATGTGTCATTTTTTACATAATTCTTTTGTATACGATTCATTTGCGATTACATTCAAAACATTCAGTATTCACAGTTTAACTTTTCGTTTTATGACATTTTTCACATATTGCATCATTTCACATTAGAAATCCAAGAAGTGCAACTTGCGCTCGCTTTTAACGTATTTTCGATTTCGACATTTTACATTTTTTTCACACACAAAAATCTCTTGCTGAGTATCTACTACTCAACATCTCAAAAGCATTCTTGCATCGACAAGCCTGTGCAAGCAAAGTAGCCTGTTTTGAAATGCTGACCGACTACAGCGCTCGAGCTGGTACCCCCAGAGAGTGCTAGGCTCAGATTTTCTGTACCGTCTACGCATGGGATTTTCGTTGTGTTGGTCTGCTGTTGTACCCATTTTCCTTTCCAAAGTCTACTGTGAAAAATTCCAAAGGAACTTCATTCCACTCAAGAGGGTCGGACCCCGAAGCCGATTAGGTGATGTCGTCTGGCGGATATTTCTGCGGTAGTGCTGGTTTTTTTTTTCATTTTTTCAACATAAGTATGTTTTTTTACAACTCCAGCTCTCTTCTTCGGCTATCCCCAACTCAGGTGCGTTCCTTCGAGAACAACTTGGGTCACAATGCTAGCTTTCACAGTGGCACCCCCATGATCAGTTATGCTTACCTTTTATTTCGTGCTGCTCAATGGCAGCTGTTCTTGCTTTCTCCGCATAAGTCTTTCGTGGAGCAAGTAGTAATATCCTTTTTACTTCGAAGCACAGACCTCCTTTATGTTGTCTACAGATCGTTGCATTGTGGTCCGATTTTTTTTTCGAAATAGTCTAGCGACTTCTTTTATGAAAATTTCGGAAACAATGCTGTGATCTGGCGATTAGACGGCGACCTCGAGTATTGAGACGAGCTGCACGCGTCCTAGTCGAAAAGGTGACGGAGCAAAAATATCTAAAACTCTACGTACAACTACAATCCACGTAAAGTTTGCTATTGCAAACATGCGCGAGATGAACGATTCGGCAAAGAATGTGAGGACGAGAATTGTTGTAACGATAAGTAACGCAAAACGCAATTTCCATACGCTTACGCGCTAGACCTAGAGCTGTAGTCAAGAGGGATTTGCAATGGCCCTCGCACGCGAGACGCCGAGAATAGAGTTAAGATATCGGGCGAAACATTTTATCACCGCACTTTCTCAGAATGTAGTCGTTCATTCAAAACAAAGCCTGCTTTCCCTCTCACTTGCTTCTTCGCGAGAGCGAAGGCCTTTTTGCTCTCGAAGGCATCAGTGTTCATCAGGTCGTCATCGCGATATTTCGACTTTGTCAGGGGTAGTCTGTCTTTGTTCGGCTTCGCTCGAGTTGGTGGCTGAATAGAAATGACGATGGAACCGCCGGCACGCTGACGCGCTCCCTTTCTTCCTCGTAGCAGAGGCAGCACGCTTGCCGGAGCCCCGGGGGCGTCCCTTGCTTGGCCCGGGGTTCTTTCACACGGGCGCCGGCGTCAGAGGCAGCGCCTGCGGGGGATATATTATATCGCGGCAGGTTATCGCGGTACATCTTTGAAAGATGGCCGGACTGCGCAGCGGGCCGGGCTTGCGCGGCCTGGCTGCTATTTTTATGCAGCACGCCGCTACCGCAATACCGATCCGACAGAGCAGCACGGAGACGGCAGGCGTGCCGGAAGCCTCGCGGGCCTGCCGAGCGGCGAAGTTGCCTGCTTCTGTGGCGCCCTTTTGCAAATGATTGCCAGCGGCCCCGTTTTCCAAATGACGAGACAGGGGCCCCGCGGGCTGGTCGAGGGTTCAGACAGGCCGTTGTAGGCTGATGCAAGCCGCGCGGGCCCCGCGTAGATTTTACAAAGATGGCCCAGAACCATAGCAGCGCTGCCGCGCGCACGCCTGGCGTCCAATAGAACTCTCGAACCCATCTGCCCAGTCCTCATTGACAAGCTGGCGGCGTTGGCGACGCAGAGAAAATGCGCGCGAGCAGTTTCGCGCCCTCGCGGGCGACTATTTTTGTCGAAGTCTAGACCAAACGTGGGCGATTGCGAGGGGGGGGCGCCCCTTAATGGCGGGCCTCAGCGTCCGGGCGTTGCGCGGCGGGGGAGAGAGCGCCAAGCGGCAGCGCGCTGCGGATTGCCTTCCAGGAAAGTGCAAAACCAAACCGGCAAGCGCGCGCCGTCGCTTGTTTCGCTTGCTTCTTTGCCGCCCGCGGCGCCTGGCGTCTCTCTGCCGCCCGCCGGCCCAGCTGGTGCGAACCTGGCCAAGGAAGGCAAGGGGTTGGGGCTGGTTAGTACGTGCCAGAAGGCACCGATAGCAGCAGCTATGGCGGACCGGAGAGCAGAAGCTATGGCTAGCAGCAGCAGCCATGGCCGGGCTGGCTTTGGCGGACCGGAGAGCGTCACCCTGGCGGAAAATCCCCGCAGGATAAGCATCAAAACCGCCCCGCGAGGGCGTACGCGGAAGAATTGGAGTGGTTGGGGAATGTGCGCCCCTCCGCTTGCTGAACGGCGTCCGCCCTTTCTGGTCGTCCTTTTTGGTCGCCCCTGTGGTGGAGGGCCTCTCGGCCGCCCCGGCATTTGCGGGGGGGCTTGCTAGCTAAGTGGCCCCCGCCCCGCCTTGTGGCCCAGTGCGCCCGCGCGCCCCGCGTTGCGTTTCCGAACTGTGGCAGCCGGGCCCGGCGGGCGTTTTTTTATTTGAGTGCGCCCTCATGCGTGGGCTGTCGGTTGGGTTTGTGGGCGGGCGCCTGGCTTTGTCGTGGCGGGAAGGCGCCCGGGGTGCCAGTGTGTCGGCAGTCCTCTTCCTGCAACCTGTGCCGGCAGACTATATGGCGCATGGCGCCCCGCCGCGGCCGCGGCCGCAGCCAGTAGCAGTAATGAGTATATCAGAGTAAGACGGTGACCGGGCGGCCGTGATGGATGGCGGCCAGCCTGCCAGAGCCTGTGGCTTGTATGTCTTTGCAGCTTGTTGCCCGTGGTTTTCTTATCGTTATGCCGTGTCTACATCCGCGCAGCATCCGACACATCGCGTGATGGTTTCGATTCGTTTCGCGTCCATCTTCCGTGGTGGTTCCGATTCTGATTTGTGGTCGGTGACGCGCTCATTTAGCCGTTTGTCGGTTTGGTTGGTTACACGTTGTTTGTTCATCTGTGTCCCTGCTGAGGAGACTCTTTCATGCCATCTTGAAGCAGTTACTGTCTCGCTCGTGAGTGGTTATCGATGTGTTGTCGTGGTGTCGACGCTTTCAAGATCATGAGTGCGCAGGATAAACGGTGAGACGGACTGATGTACTGCTGCTGTCGTCGGCTTTTCGTACATAAGAAAGTGAGACTTTCCCCTTGCCCGGCATGAGTCGTTGTTGCATGTGAAAAAAGCAGGAGCGAGCACGCGGAGCGAGTTCTTGACTCGTGATAGAAACTTTCGACAGTAGTGTAGATTGAGAATGATAATCAACAAGGTTTAGAAGAAGTAGGTCACATTAAGTCACTACACTACTTTTATTGCAAATGCAATCACTATCGTACGAAAGCGCATTTTCCTTTCGTACTAAGTCGTCGCCCCTCCTTGTCTTCCTTGTTGCCATGAGCAGAATGAAAAGAAGATACAGTTACAGAGGCTAGGCGCCAGGAAGCCGAAAGCAAAACATATCGGCCAACAACATACCTCCGCGGCGATGCCGCGTGGCTGTGTCGGTTGTGAGGATCGGAATGAACGGACTTTAATATAGCTCCTGAGTCGCAAAACCAAAAGCAAAATGGTGACGGCTTGCAATTTTCTCCTCTCGATCAGTTTTCTGGTCGACTGGGTCTCGGTCCTTGTCGTCGAGGGTTTAACGCAGGAGAAGCCTAGCCACCTGGCCGCGACGACAGGTCCTGTTGCGCAAAAATCACTTGAGGTTCCTCCTGCAGCCGCAGCATCCGAATCTACTACTGCCGTCGATGTTGCTGCCGCTGCAGAATCTCCAAGCGGCGCTGCGGAGAAGCCAACGCCGAGTGCGAGGAGCTTCGCGGACCTCTGTGCGCAGCATTGCGGTTTGGGCAAGCCGTTGAACAAGAAAACGCGGAAAAGGCTTATTCGAGCAATGAAAAGAAGTTCGGCAGAGGAGCAGGTACATACAGCAGCGAGCTGCTCTTTGTGGTTTTTGTTTTATGCATTATTGCAGCTGCTGTGCCTGTGCTGCATTCGCAGTTCGATCTTCATCTTCATGGCCATACAACTGCATACGCACATCAATCAGGAGATTTGGATGAAGACCAAGCTTGTAGTAGATCATGCGTTATCTTCACGCTTTCTGACCTTTCCAATACCACTCACCATAGGTGCAAGGCCTTCGCTCCTGCATCAAGCAATGGGCCCGGCCGGAGCTGGTTTCTACTTTGCTGAAAAAAGGCTGTGCGTGGAGAACTGTGAGAAGAGTCGACGGCTTCGTGCGAGAGGATCTTACCCTAGATCCAACTGTGGTGGAGTCAAAAGCAGGCATTTTGCCGGTTCCTTCGTCTTTCGACGATTTTGCGGCCACTGTAGTAGATACTAAGGAGCCTACGTCCGAGACGAGAACGAGAACCGTCAGGCCCGAAGAAGATGCCAATTTTTACGTCGACTACGGCTCGCGGCCAGATCTGTTTCCCAACGGCGCGCCGCCAACAGTGGCGAAAAAGACGAGCGCAGCATCTGCAGGTTCGGGTGAAGCGTCGGAAATCGGCCCGAACGGAGAGCTGATGGAGCCCCCGTCTGGGAATACCAGGAAAGAGGACCAACAAGAGCAGTTGCAAGAAAGCCCAACGACCTCCGCCGCAGCAGCCTCAACGACTGCGACCACCACCGCTACGACACGGCAAAAGCAACGAATGCTGAGACGGGTGCAGAAGCCCAAGGAAAAAACGGCAGAGGATTTTGAGAACCAGTACTACGCCGGGAACTACTACGAAAAAATGCGGCACACAGGGCCGGAGTTCCAGTTCCTGGATGTCTTTCACGAGGTCTTGCGGGATTTTGTCACAATCAGCAGCGGAAGTGCGGAGGAGGCTTTGGGATTACTCGGAGGAGGAGGCGGCGCGCCTGGTGGGACTGCATCCCAACCACGAGGAGCCACAAGAACTACACAAGAGCAGCCGATGGAGAACTACAGTACCCCACAAGATGATGAAGATTTGGACTCGATTTTCCGCAACCGAAAATCCTTCCGAGAAGAAACACAGCGGCTGCACGCGTACCTCGAGGCGTTTGTGATGCATGTGGGGCTGGAGTGTGGCGATCGGTGTTCGCAGTTGAATGGCATCTGGAACATGGACGAGTACAGGACCGACACGAGACGGCTCCTGGAGACCCTCGCGCCCTTCTCGCTTTTCTTCGGCCAGACGGATAGCAGAGTGTGGGCTGTGTGTACAGAGGTTTTTCTTTGAGATTGTCTACCATGCTCCGACAATTGAACTGAGTGTAGTTGGTACAGCAGTGGCGTGCTTGTAATGCTTCACTCTAGATGTAGAAGATGAAGATCATGCTTTCTTATTTTTTTTGCGTCACGCACAACAAAATAAACCTTTCCAGTGTCCCTATTTCACGCTGCGGAGTTCGATCACTTCGGCCAGGTCTTCCTCCAGCAGTCGCTGTTTCAGGCCCTCGTCGTTTATCTCTACATTGCCTTGATGTTCTTCCTCCACCGCAGACGCATTTACCAGCACGCGAAGACGAATTTCCGCCACTTAAGCGCCCTGGGAATTCCGGAGGTCGAGGCGGAGTCCTCTAATGTCGGCGATGCAAAGCAACTCGTTGCTGGAAAGCTGAAGTTAGACCGGATATCAGCCGTGCGGGAACGGATTCAAAACTGGATTGTGAAGCGATACAAGAGCAGTTTGAAAGACCACCTCCAGGTGCAGGAGCAGGATCGAGGGGAAACACTTGCAATTTGCGACGGCAATACAACTAGGGACGTCATTTCATCTCCCGACCACGAAGTAGTGACGATCACAACGCCAATCCTGGACCGAAAAAATCCTGCCCTAAGTTTGGGGTTCACCGCGTTTCAGAACGTTTATCAGCAACCGAGGAAACCGTCGGAAGATGCATTGCAAACGCCCGCGCATGTTAGGGTTTTGGACGACGAAAAAAGTACTCTCTCCAGCATGAGATCGAAGGACGCAGCAAATAAACCGCAGGAAATTGTTTTGGGGAAATCGATCTTCTTGGAAGGCCGGCATCAGTCTTCTACGACGTCGACGCCGAGTGCGAGTCCGGCGATTGATGTAAACGCCCAGAACTACCGCCCGGGGGCCGAAGACCCGGAGCTGCCGGAGGTGAACCAACAAGCTACAGATCTCCATAAAGAAACGCAGGGACAAGAAACGAGCGAGAACGGTCCGGCCGCACCTATAAAACATCAGCCCGAAGAACTGCAAGAAGGGCAACAGGTTGCTCTCCCACCAGCACCCCCAGAACTACGTGAAAACAATTTACCAACCCCACGGACGAAAAAGATTTTGAACGAGACGGGCGGCAGCGTTACTGACACCGAGGACGAAGAAACAACTTCAGAGGCGGGGACGAAAGAAGTCGGTGAGCAACAGGGTGCACCAGCAAAGCGTGAAAAAGAAGAACAGCACGACTTAGGCAGAGATGCTGGTGCGACGGCAGAGGGACAGGACTCAATAGGACTGGTCGTCAATGGAACAACAGCGCAAGTGCAGCCGTCGTCCTCATCTTCCACGACAACTCCGATCGATGCGCCGGTTTCCAGCGCCTCTTCCTCCTCGCCAACTTTTACTTTAGAGGACGACAATCGAGAACAGCAGCAAAGTAACATCACAGATAGTCGAGAACAACTGAACACCTCTTGGATCCTTGACCCAGCGACACACACGAATAAACAGCACCAGTTCAGGTCCTCCGGTTCTTCCAGCAAGCAGCACAGTCAACCATCTCCGGAAGACGACCACCCACCAACCGAGGATGAGAACGTGATCGCGATTGAGAGCACGCGCGGGCACACGACAAGGTACCGAATCGCGTCCAAAAACTCCATCCACATGATCGCGCCGAACCACGATGAGCAGATGAATACTTCCATGAATAAGAGCAACGAACCGATTCTGCAGAACCCGTATCGGAAGTTATTGGATAGTGGGAGTAACACCAATCCGGAACAGCAAACTAACGACCTGTCTAGCACGACAGCTACAACCTCTTCTGCGAGATCCTCGAAGCAGTCTGCAGCGAAGGAGGCCGCTGCACCAGGAAACTATAGCCAAATTTTGCGTTCCGCTGCAAGCAGCACGTCGACTTCGGCAGACGAGGGGGGAAACAAATCAACAGCCACTTTGAGCAAGCAGAGTGGCGGTGGTGGGGTCATGCAGCTTTTCGACGATCAACGGCAAACAGGACCACTTGCAAGAAGTCAGGAAGACAACCTCACTGATAACCTTACCAGCGAGGATAACATCCAAAGCAATTTCAGCCACCCGATACTAGTAGGCCACAATATCTCCCCCGAAGCGATCCCACTCTTCTCGCCGGCCGGGACAGGAGAAAGCCCCGGGGAAGACCAGTCCGACTCGAACACAAGCGAGTATGAACGGTCGTACTTCGAGCAGACGCCGGAGGTGGTGTCGGCCTTGAACTACAGCGTGAACAGGAGCATGATGCTGGAGTCTGCGGAGAAGCAGGTGCAAGCGCACAAAAAGCGAGTATTCGACGCGAACGACTTTTACTTGACCACCCCCGTGGGAGCAGCCGGGATGGACTACTTGGAAGAAAACGACATAGGTACTAGAGGGGTGCCTCCCCGTCCTTACGGTGGTAGCAGTCAGAGTTTGTTCGGCCGAGATTTAGAAGACCCGGCAAACAGCCGCGGTCGGGTGCTGGAGGTGCACAAGTTCAGGTTTGAGAAAACCACCGGAACCGGAAGCACACCGGAAGAGTGGAACAGTGCATCTTCCATGATGTTGCCTGGAGGACACGAAGAGAATGAAAAATCAAACTCTGCCCAAAGTCGTTCCAGCAGCAGAAACAGCAGCAAGCAGGTCCGGTTTCAGATTGACAATGACGAAAAGATGCCCAGTGTGCCGCGCGTTGTAGACAGCAATGCTTCATCTTCTTTGGGAGCGGAAGTGGACCAACTTGGCATCTTTGAGGCTGAAATTAAGAAGCACTCCGATACGCAGACTAGTGACACGCTGGCGATGATGAAGAGGGAATTTGGAGCAGCTTCCACCGCAGCTCAAGACCAGGTGAGAGACGAGCTGCACATCCAGCCGGTATTGGTCGGGTCGACAATCGCAGTGATGCTGATCAGTGCCCCGGATGAGAAAGCGCTGTTTGGGAGTGCGTTTGTGGACACGAGAGGAAGTAGCGATTCTAGAACAAGGGTAGATAACTTTTTGGAGCAGTTCGTCGTCGCGGCTCCGGCTGAAAACCCAATCCAGGTGAACAAGATGTCGCCCATGATTTCCAGTGCGACAAGACCACAAAGCGCTTCTGCCACTTTTCTCCCCGCACCCATTTCCACCGACAGTCTGTCTGCGCACGATAATCATTACTCCGCTCTTACCGGGGCGTTTGCATCTGCGGCGAGTGCGAGCAGCTCAATTTCGTCGACGCCTCAACGCAGCCATGGTAGCTTGGAAGCAAACTCATTTTACGAGCAAGGAGCTGTAACAAGCGAGGACGGTACCGTAACTGTCGATACTTTCTTCGGGGAGGGGTTGCACGCCCTGCTCGCGTCGGACCGGGCGAAGAAGAACCTATTAATCCTGAAGCACGCGATCTGTGGCTTTTGCAACCTGCACGTCAGTTTGATCTCCCATTTTCTCCCGGATTTCTTTTCGGCAAATAGTAGTACGGCGAGCTGGTGTTCTGGGTTTGCGGAAGATGGTCTTTCCGAGGAGACAACTTTTGACGAGAAGAGACATCTACCTTACATCCCATCCGACGAAGAAATTGAGGAAGATACTTCCGACGCAGGGAGAAGTAAAGATGGGCCAAGTAACCTGCAAAACCACGAATCCCTTCTCCTACAAAGAGAGATAGAGAAAGAATACGAAGAACAGCTACGGCAATCGCAGGAAGAATCGGAGCTGCTGTTGCAGAATCTGCTCAAAGATTTTGAAAAGTTCCTGAAGATCGTCTCAACCGTGACAGTCTTCCTGTGGTTGCACACAACCAACAGGCTGTTCGAATTCACGCTGCTTTTCGTCGCCAGCTTGCTGTTGGCCGCTGCCAGCGGGATCTTCTGTAGCGGGCTCTGCGATGTGCTGATTTTCGGACCAGATGGTGGCGCTCACTCGCTTCAGAGTGAATCAAAAAATGAAAAGGAGAACCACATCACGGAGCAGGCCATTTTGTCGAAGAAGCGGAAACTGATTCTGGTCAATTGGAATAGTTTGTTCGGCGTGGAAGGAACATCCTCATCGAGCTCTAGCACAGACGAAGAGCAAATGACATCACGCGGAAATAAATCAGCAGCACGAAGAACAACGGCCCATCAATCTGCAACAACAAGCGTCACGAAACTGCAGGCAAAAACCGAAGACCCGGACTCGGTGAACATTGTGTCCGTGTCGAGAGTAGAATCCAGTATCAAGTGTAAAAATGTCTGGGTCTGGAAGAATGCAAGTTTGTCATGCTTGTCTGGCATGACTCGAGAATCTGTCATGCACATTACCAAAGAGCCACACTTTTCTGTCATGCAGAAACGTAGTTTGTCATGCAGAATAGGCAACACCTAGAAGCTCAGAAACTTGTCATGCTGAGCCAGCATTTGTAGCCTCATCATGAGACGCCACCCAGCATCACAAGTTTCCAGACCCAGACATTTTTACTTTTGATATCCAGGAAGCGAAGACAACGACTTTTGGAAAAGAGGAAAATTCCTGGAGGTGCTGGAGCAAGTAGAACATCAGGAGCTGCAACGCCGACTACAGCAACTGTTCCGGAGCTGGAAAAGCAGGAGAAGCCCGGCGCGGCTATTAAGGTAGACGGGGGCACCAGTGCAACAAGTTCCAGCTACAGCAAGCCGGATAAACACAGTACGACTCTAGTACCAGCAACGACCAGCAACCAACAACTGTTCGAGCTCGGGCCGACGTTTACTGAGTACGAGAAGTGTGCGTTTATTTCCCTTTTCTGCGCCGGGGGCGCCGCGTTGCTACCGACTGTCGGCAGGTTGTTGGGGATTTTGCCGTTGTTTCTTTACGAGGAAACGGACAAACAGGCGCAGGAACAGCTCCTCGGAAAGTGGAACGGGTGGACAAGATTTACGGCGGTAAGCCTCGACACCGTGACGTTTCTGGTCTTACTCGACAGGTTCTACCAATTGTACATGATTGTGTACGGCTGCGGGTTTGTGTTGGCGAAACAGAATAGTACCAGCGGGAAAGAAACAGCAGAGGAGACCACATCGAAAAGCGGCAGTGGTGGTCCCCTCTCGAGAAGTACCAGCGCCGTGCCGAGAAGAAATACGTCGGCATCAGCGAGAAGCAAGAATCAGAAACAGAACGCAGAAAATCAGATTACCGACTTAGAGCAGGGCCTGGAGGTAGCGCCTACCGTAGAAGACGAGTACTTCTCAGTTGATGCAGCAAACCAAATTACCGACGCAACTACAACGAAGATGGGCGCTAACGAAGTTCTTGTAGGAGGCCACGAATCTTCTTCGGTGACAAACCCGAAACGAGATCGATACACGACCAGCTTCGCCTTGCACACGCTTCGCTGGGAACTTTTGAAGTTGAAGCAGGTTTTCAAGCTTTTCGTCTTCACGCACTTTCTGACCCTGGCGCTCTTGCTTTGTCTCGTCTTTCACCAGATGTTTTTGTCTGGGTTTCTGCTGTCACCCGGGGGATTCGGTGGCGTTTTCGGGGGAAGTGGGCAAACCAGCAATGCGTACGTTGACAACAGCCTGCAGGACAGCGACTTCAAGAAGAGCAGCTTCCCACACAACCCCTTCAACGCCAATAGCGGTCCGGATCTCAAGGACCGGCCTTTTGGGAACTCGGTACAAAATTTTCCCCTGTCTTCAACATCTTCTTCGACGGCAAGTGCGGCTTCCACTGCATCCTCCTCGTTTTTGGAAGGGTCGGAACAATCTGAGCAACAGCGGACTCCCCCCGATGACGAGGTGCAGTTCGCACGAGAGCTGCAGGAAGCGGACAATCGGAGGTATCTCGCGATGAGTAACGAGGAGCGTGCGAAGTTGGAAGTGGAGCAGCGCTGGGTGGCGCAGGAAGCGAGAAAGTGGTACAAGGAACAAGGGTGGTGGGCGTTCGGACAGTACTCGCTACCACCAAATTCGGCACTGTTCAGCTTCGGGGAGGGAAGGGTATAGCCACTTCTTTTCTTGTTTTAGCATTTTTCGCGAGGAAAAATTAAAATACATGCCGTGGCTTCATAGTTCTATCTACTATAAGCCGTTTCTTTTATATCCACTTGTTGTATTTGAAGATAAAGATCATGCAAAACATCATACAGTGGAAAATTGGCGCTGCCGTTTTCGCCTACGCCGTGTGTGCGTTTTCCGCACCGATGTACGTTGCTGCGAAGCATTTGGACACGCACGGGAGGATCTTGGAAAATTTGCTCGATGGGGGATTTTCGATTCTAATCGTGTGCTGTCTGATCACTATGTTGGGGCTGGCGGAAATCGGGCAGCAAGTTGCGGAAATGACACTCGAGGCGACGGCGTTGCAGGGAGAGGGAAATAACGCTGGTGTGGGCGTGGCAGCAGGGACTACAGCAGCTGCTGCGCCAGGAGGAGCGAGCGGGAATCCATAGCAGTAGGTGGTGGATCGATTATTTATGAAAGCGAAAAAATCAAAATGAATATAATTGATGAAGATCAACATAACGAGCAGTTGTGAACTAGTCGTCCGAAACTGACAAACTGATGAAACTACGCGAACGTTTTTTGTGCCAATGCATTTCAACGATTTTACTTGTTTCAAGAACTGATTTTGACATGCAAAATGAATTTATTTTACACTACGAATTTCTATATTCTTCTGCTTCTGCAAGTGCAACACTCTTAGCATTTTAGCAAGATCGCTTGTACGATTGAGAAAAGATAGCGCACTAGAATGAGTCACTATGACAAAGTCGATGAACTCACTACGGACAATTCAGGCCAGGCGGACAACAATGAACCTGATGTAGAGATGAAAGAACAATGTGATGATGATCTCTCTGAGAATCAGGTAAAACAGCACCGATCCAGGAGTTACCGCCGCTGGTGCTGCAGGAAAAGCCAATTAGGAAACGGCAAGGATTCCGCACTCCCTGTCGAAGAGCAGGCAGAGTAGCGTCAAGCTGTAACAACTGTAAAACGACAAGATGATCATGATCTTCAGCAGGCGAAGAAATGATCACTTCACTTCTATGACGATGAAGGCACACGATCTCGAACTCGATCTTTTGACGACACGATCTCGAGGAGCTCCTGTAGGAGAGCAGTACAGCTGTCAGGCTCAACCAAGGACAAGATTTGAAGAAATTCGTTGTTGACGATCCTTAATTTTTGAAAGCCCGCCGAGGATCATACTAAGTAAGTATTCGCTTGAATTCATAATTGGTTGTAAGTAGGAATGCACATACCTCAAGGAGGTTTTTATCTTTGCTCATTCTTGATGTATCGCTTTTGTCAAGTTCAACTCAATGCGCAGGACGAAGAACCAAGGCCAGGCGCATGCCAGACAAAGACCGTGCTTCCTGGATCAGAACATAGTAGGAGTAGGTAGCGACACTTGAATTTGCACAACGACAACGTTAGCCTTGGTCATTGATTTTGTTACGACAGAACGATATTACATACAGGGATAGCGAATAAAATGCAGGACTCCACTTCCTCCTCGGCAAAAGCTGCCGAAAAAACCGACGGACTGCTGATCCCGACAGGAGTGGTTGAGATATCTTCAAGCAATAAGCGGCAAGCGGAACAAGCAATGATTTCCAACGACCAGGATTGTTCTATGAGCAGTCCGAGCACTACAAGCTCGAGTGACGCGCTCCCGTCTCTGAACTCGAGCGACACGAGCTGTGATCATGCCAAACTAGAATTGAAGGGCGGCTCCGAGGACGTGACTGCTGGCCTAGAGAAGAATATCCAGCACGATAAACGACCCGACCCGGCTGTAGCGACAACTACTCCGGTTGCCATGCCCGTCGCAGGAGTCTCTCCTGAAAGAGACCACGAGCCAGACAGTTCGATGAATACTAGGGACCCGAAAGTCCGCAAAGTCGAGAGCCACGACGACTACTTTTTTAGCGAGTACGACAATCTCGCGGTGCACAAACTGATGCTGACCGACAAAGCCCGGATGGACGCGTACAGCAGTGCGATCCTTCAGCTGAAGGAAAAAATAGAAGGCAAAAACTGCATCGACGTGGGGACCGGAACTAGCATTCTCGCCATGCTGATGGTGAAACTCGGCAACTGCAAGCACATCCACGCGATCGAGGCCTGTCCGAAGGTGGGCGCGATTGCGAGGAAACTGTTGGAAGCGAATCCGGAGCTGAAGAAGCGGATCACGCTGTGGAACTGCAAGGTGGAGGAAGTTCCGGTTTTGGAGAGCGACAACATTGATGGAAGTGAGGCGAGTTTCTCGAGTGCACCTAGTACAAAAACCCCAAAAGCAGGCATCGTCAAGCAGTCCATCGACGTGATCGTCAGCGAGTGGATGGGTTTCCACTTGCTCCACGAGGGGGTTCTGGACACGATCCTTTTCGCGCGGGACCGGTTTCTGAAGCCCGATACTGGCCTTATCATGCCCGACACCTGTGAAATTTTCTGCGCCCCGATGGACTTGACGAAATATTTGCAGGAGAGCAAGGAGGAAACCCTCGGGTACTTTCACCCCGACAGCTTCTTCGGCTTGGCCGGTTTCGAGGATTTGTTCGGACGAGTCAGGAGCAACCCGTTGTACGAGCCGCCGCACTTGCACGAGGAGCCGGACGTGGTGCGGGGAATCGCCGCCGACGAGCTGTTCGTTGACATCACTACGGAGGAGTTCAACAAAGACCCGTTTGTCTCGTTGGATTTGTACAAGTGTCAGCCACGGGATCTGGATCGGGTAGAGCGAAGAATCTTCCGTTGTACTTCTGCGGCGCAAGAACAGCGAGAAGCGAACAAAAGCGAGGCGATATCGTCGGAGGACGCATCAATTGTAGAGCCGAACAGATTTGTGTGCGAGAAAGACGGGATTTTCGGTGCCGTTGGGATTTGGTTCAAGTGCATCTTCCCGGCGCCCGGGGCGGGTTTCAGCGAGAAGTACCCCTTTGAACATGAGGAGGACAAAGCCAAGAAAAGGATCGTTCTCTCCACCAGTCCGGAACACCTAATGACCCACTGGAAGCAGACGATTTTGTTTCTGAAGAACCCGGAGGATAACGACAGACTGTTTAACTTCGAAGCGAAAAAGGGCGACTTGATTGAATTCGGCCTGGCCTTGAAAAGAGAACCGGAAGAAAACAATCGCCACTATGAAATCGAGTTTGAAATGTGATAGACCGCCTTACAACTATCTGATGAAATAAATCGTGAGTTGCTATTTTCAGCCACCAGAGGTGAAAGATGATTAGGTTCAAACTTCAAGTTGTGGAGTCCTCTACATTTTCATTCGTTAGCAGGATCAAAAAGACGAGAGCCAACAAGTGTTCGGATAATTCTGCCGAGCCTGCTGCTCCTCGATGCTCAAAAGTCCGTCTCCGTCGGTGATTCGTTCGCGCTCGAACACGAACAGAAATGTCGTTCATCGAAGTGAAATCATCTCGAATCGAATCGTACTTCATCTCTGTAGAAGAAGGAAACAGATACGAAGAACATCGTCGTGCAAAGGTAGTATTGTGGTCTGTTTTAATATTTCGAATTATGCATCGGCCACCTATATTATGTTGTATCTCGAAGAACATCGTGCTATTTTTTCCCTTGGTGGGCTCCTTCCTCTATTCGTATTTTGCTTCCGCTAGTAGTGAGGCAGACACGTCTAGACTGCTGGCGAATGAAAGAAATGATGGACGTCGTGCAAGTGCTGGTAAAAAGTTCGAGATTAGTTCCCTGCTCGACAGTTGTCTGTGGTGCAACAAGCGCAGTAAAAGTGGGAACAGCTGCAACATGAGCGCAGGAAACGGCTTGCATTCATCACACCCTCGGCAAATAGCACAGGGCAAAGAGCAACAGCGTCATCACTTCTCAACATCTCAGGTCCCCCTACTTGCTCCCGCACACACGATATTAAATCCCGATCTTCATGGTACAACGACGGCAATAGCCGCATCACAGCTGCAACTACAAGCAAACACAACTAGTACAACTTCCACGTGCTCGCTTCTTGACGTAGCGAAAATCTTCCAGGACAGATTGTTTCGGACCTTGAAAAAGAAAATTTTCAACAGAAAAAGCCAAGAACCCGCGAAAAGCAGAAACAAAAAGTCCGCCGATATGTACAAGAACCGGCTGACAAAAGAGCTGAAGCAGCTCGAGTCAAACGTTCACGGGCTGAAGTTGATCCAGCTACCCAACCGAGACCGGGAAATAGAGGTGGAAATACAGGGACCAGAGGGGTCGCTCTACCAGGGGGAGACATTCTATGGAAGTGTCAGAATCGAAATCAACAAAATCGAAATAATTTGTGATGCATAAAATCGATACCAGTTGGAGCCTCAGTTTCTAAGTGGCGCATGACAAATTTCGGGAGCACCAAAATCCAGTCTGTCATGCTGTTACGGCAAAGAAGACTGCTCCTGTCATGCTACTCTGACAGCACGCCGTCTTACCCTAAACAGGCTTACAAGCTGTCTCATTTGCCTGCTCCCCAATACAGGCCTTCAGTGTCCTACATTTTCTGCATCACAAGTTTTTCGATTTTGTCGATTTCGATCCTGACACTCCCATACATTCAGGATATACTTCAATTTCGGCGACCGGTACCCGCTGGAATCACCAATAGTTTGGTTTCAGGATCCGACGCCAGTACATCCACATATCTACACCAACGGGCACATCTGCTTGAGCATATTAGGTAACGCATGGTCGCCGGCATTGACGGTCGAAAAGGTACTATTGCGTGTTGGGTCTTCTGACTGCTTGTTTTTCCAAATCATGATCATGTCTACTGTACTAGTTTCTTGCGAGCTTCGTCGGCGTTGACTAAACACGTACTTCCGTCGACGTGGGGCAGGTAGTCACTGGGAAAAATAAAAAGCAGTAATGCCGTGTAGTTTCAGTAAATATAAAATGGAAAATCCAATTTCAACAACTACAGGTATGCCTCTCAATCCAGAGTATGCTGGCTTCCGCCGACAGAAAGGTGCTTCCAGATAGCAACGACCAATATGTCAGATCGCACCCGAGGGGGAGTAATCCAAAGAATACGCAGTGGATTTACGAGGACGACACGTGTTAAGAATAACTTCGATCACTGATGAAGTGCTCTGTCGGCTGGACTTATCGTGAAGGCAAGAAGCATACTCACTACGATAACACCTAGTTCGTCCGCTAGTTCTAGACACCAGCGCTGTTGTGTTGGCGGTTTTTTGAAGTACTGCCAAGCTGAGAATTACAGTTGCTCCACGAAAAATATAGTACTTCGCCTTTTTTCAATATCCATCGAGAATATAGGCACCCATGAGCTAAAGTCAATACGCCTACCCGTCCTGCCATTGTCATGAGAACGAATCAAATCATCTCAAACGCGCTCCTGTTGGTGAGCTTGTACGTAGACAATTTGTAGTAACAGACTAAGATTGTAGACGAATTCCAAAATCAGAGGGCTACGCTTGGGCCCATGCTCATGGTCATGCTTCTCGGACGGGCTCGTGTTCTACCGTAGCAATAAGGTCGGATGTACAATCTCAATTTCGTTGGTGCTGCTTGTGAAATAATGTTGTCGAATTCATCAGTTCGTCTTCGTGTTCGAAGGATAAGTATCGCACGAGGGCACTGCAGGAAGATACATTGCAGCTTCTTGAATCTTCGTTTTCTTCATCATGTCACAGTTAAAAATTGTCTTTCTGTTGTTGTCGGAATTGTCACCCGGTTTGCCATTTGAATGATCTCCGGATCAAGATAGAAGCTCCTATTTCCGTGTCGTTGATCATTGCAAGGAGGAGCAGGCACATAGAGAAGGCACTTTCATCCGATAATGATCGTGTGTCCCCTGCTGGTGTCATCGTCTGAATCTCAAACAGAGACAGATCACAATCCTGAGGAGTACATGTCGATCACTAGCAGTCGTGTTATGACTTCTAAGAAATAGCTCGTACTACCGCGGCCGATATGGATCTGGTGTTACAATCTTCTGCTAGTAGTGAGCAACTTAGTTTTTAGACCCAAATGTGTGCTGCGTTGGCTTTTACTTGAATTCGCTTTTTGCCTCGGAATATGAATTAACAGCGACATACTTTTACTTATATAGAAACTCTTCTATATTTGTCACCTATGGCTATGGTTCGCACGTGATTTCATCGTGACCGTTTTCTCACACTTGATAGATAGAGGTCCACATACAACACATCTAGTCTCTAACCCCATTCCCGTCGAGAAGAGGTTACCATGACGACTTCATCTTCCCCTGCACAACCCGGCCTTGTTCCCCCCGGCCCGACCCCCTCCGCGTCTTCCACTACATGGCCAAAAACAACAACCGCCATGTCAACCACCACCACGACCCAAAATTTCGCTCAGAACGACAACTACAAGCCGATCGCCTCGTTTTGGAACCACCAGCTGAGGAAGCAGATCAACAAAAAGATCCAATATCCCTTCGAGCTCGACGATTTCCAGAAACGGGCCATTTACCGGGTCGAGCTGAATCAGAACGTCTTCGTGGCAGCGCACACTTCCGCCGGAAAAACGGTGGTCGCCGAGTATGCGATTGCGAACGCGCTGTTCGACCGGAAGATTGCGATCTACACGAGCCCAATCAAGGCTCTGTCGAACCAGAAATTCCGGGAATTCAAGGAGAAGTTCCCGGGGCGAAAAATCGGAATTGTCACCGGGGACGTGTCTCTGAACCCAGACGCGGACGTGTTGATAGTGACGACGGAAATTTTGCGATCGGTCTTGTACAAGCACGCGGAATTGCGGGCTGCCGCTGTTCTTGCTGCGGACAAGCAGAATGGGATCAACACGACTGCGACTGGTCGTGAAGACACGACAACCGGTAACAACATCAATCTCGACGATGAGAAGCTTCATCTCCACCTATCAAAAGGCCAACAACAACATCAGCAATACAACCAGTCAAAGAGACAGATGCGTGAGATCGGGACGGTAATTTTCGATGAGATCCACTATCTCAATGACTACGAGAGGGGGGTGGTGTGGGAGGAGGTGATCATTTTACTTCCGAAGCAAATTCCCTTAGTCTTCCTCTCCGCCACCGTGTCCAACGTGGAGCAATTTGGGGACTGGGTGGGCCGGCTGAAGAAGAAGAAACTGTACTACGTGTCGACGAACTTCCGACCGACTCCGCTGGAACATAAGCTGTTCCACAAAGGGGAGAGCTACGATTTGCTTCTACCGTTAAACAACAGTAACAATGCTGGTGACACAACCCCGACGCCTGTCAATGCGCAGCAGAATCAGCAGCAAGTGATGGAGAATTCCATGGCGAATGTGTGGAAAACGATCTTGATAGCGGAAAAAGAGAAGCAAAAGGCAAAGATTTTGCGGTCCACAGTGAAAACACTGACGTTGGAATTTGACAGACGACCTTTCGGTATGACGCCCGTGTCGACGGCTGTGACTGCGGCAAAGGAGAATGAGAAGAAAGGCGCGGGGAAAAAGCAGGGACAAGCTGCAAAAGCGAAGGCAGCGCCTGGGGCCAAGGCGAAAAAGGACAGCACAAGTACAGGAACTAGCGCAGAAACAAGCAAAAAGCCGGCCGAAGGCGACAACAAGGACGATGATAGTATCATCGGCTACACAGTAGAGAAAGTAAACCAATCAGATTTCACGAAGCCAGCGGCCAAGCTGGGGGTCAAGCCAGGGTGGGTGATTGAAGAAATCGAAGGTGAGAAGGTTAGCGAAAAACCGCTGGCGGACATTCAGCAAATCCTGAAATCCGCCGAGCTGCCGATAAGTGTCACGTTTCAGATCGAAAAAAATGTGAAGTCTTCTTCGTCCGGTGCAGGCGGAACCTCTACTTCGTCCAACACCAACAACCAGAAAAACACGAAGAACCCGTATCAGAAGCAGGAAAACGAGAGCCAGCAGCTGCAGATCCTGTTGACGAAATTGAAACAGGAGGACAAGCTTCCCGCGACGGTGTTCGTTTTTTCCAGGAAGAAGTGCGTGGATTTCGCGACGAGGCTATCCAGGAAAAAACACCCATCCCCATCCAATTTGTGATGCAAAACATGCACAAAATCCACCATCTGTCATGCAAAAAATGGATGGGGATGGGTGTTTTTTCCTGGATAGAGGCTGCCGAACACGCTAGATTTCTGCCCTTCCGGCGCGGAAAAGCGGAAGATCCGGCAGCTGTTGGATCAAGCGTTCCAGCAGGTGCAAGTGCAGGTGCAATTGGCCAATTCCAACTTGGAAATCATGGCCAACGCGGGTGGAGGAGTCGGCGGTAGTCCGTACTATGGCAACGACGGAGGAGCAGCAGCCGGAGCCGGACATCTTCACACAACGACCACTACACCCGCGGCCGTGCACATCTTCGACGAGATGCCGCACATCCAGCTGATGCAGTCGCTGGCCCTGCGGGGGATCGGGTTTCACCACAGTGGGTTGCTGCCGATTACGAAGGAGATCACGGAAATTTTGTTTTCCCAGGGCCTGCTGAAGGTTCTGTTTGCCACCGAAACTTTCGCTATGGGTGTGAACATGCCCGCACGGTCCGTGATTTTTACGCAAATTGAAAAGCATGACGGACAGGAATTCCGCTATTTGAAACCCTCGGAGTACACGCAGATGGCGGGGCGGGCAGGCCGGCGCGGGCTGGATGACCGGGGGCACGTGTACGTGCTCGCAGCAAACGACTTGCCGGACAAAAGGGAATTGTCTTTGATGATGCTTTCGAAGGTAAATCCGTTGAAAAGTCAGTTCCGCGTCACCTACAAAATGCTGCTCAGCTGCATGAGCGCGACTGGAGCTGGTGCTGCTTCTTCTTCTTCGACCCTGCAGAAGGGAGGAGCGGCCGGGGACCACGAATTACAATCACCAGACAAGAACGAAGTTCCGCTTCATGAACAGCACGCAAATGCCTGCGAACAAACAGTGTCATTAGCTGTAGCTTCCACTTCACCTACGAAACACCAACACAAATCGTTGTCCATCCTGGATCTGATGGCGTCTAGTTTCTCAGAGTCCGACCGCGCGCGGAAACTCCCGGGGCAGAAAAGACTCATCAAGGAAAAGGAGAAACAGATCGAAAGGCTGACGCTTCCCGAGGTGAATGCGACCTCAAAAAAGCAGCAGAAACTGACCCCGTTTCAAGAGTTCCTGAAGATTGAGGAAATGTTCGATTTGACCGAGAACTGCCTTCTCAACCCGATGGACAAGCTCGTCAGCTACGAGGAGCAGCTGTACATTCACTCCGCCGGCACGTATTTGCCTAAAATTTTGTCGCAGCAACCTGCTTTGAGGAAAAAGCTTTTTGTTCCTGGGAGGTTGCTACTTGTCCGAGCAGCTTTTGATCTGCCGTTGCTGCGCTGCGTGTTCCTGCGATACAGCGCGACAACTGGGAAGAACAAGGAGGAAGCGTCTCGTAAAAACTTTGATACGGCAATGGATCATCTCAACATGAAACCTTTGAAGTTTTTCCCGACGCAAGAAGAGAGCAGTGCGCACCTGTTTCATCGAGGGGAAGGTGGATTCGCTTCGAAAACTAGCAGTAAGGAAAGCACGCCGATGGGAATGCATGTGAACCGGCAAAATGCTGGCCCCGCTACAGGAGCAGACCAACCAGGAGGCACGGAATCGGCAGGCAACATGTTGGTCTTAGCGTGCTTCGAAAGACACCAGCTGCGAAGTGTCTTCAGGTCTGGCAGAGGAGCTTCCTGCAGCCGCGCGCAGCAGGTGTCGTATGGTTCTTACGCCGAGACGTCGGACGAGCTTGAAGCAATAGACGATGAGGTTCTGGAAGCAAACGGCTTCTTTCCACTCGCGAATGCGGACTCGGGAGCGGGAGGAAGTGAAACTGAAACTGAAAGGATCTCGTGTTTTCTCGAAATTTCCACAGCCCACATTGCCGCTCTACTCGAGGCGACTGTTCACTTGGACTCTGACTTCGTAGCCGGACTGCAGAAGAGCGCTGCAACTCACTCGTCTTCTCAGCGAACAGAAAAAGGTGCGGCACTGAGCCCTCAAGTGCAGTCAAGGCTGCTCGACTTGGCAACTGCGGAGCAGGAGTGCTTAGCCAACAGATTCTTCTCTGACTTGCAAGAGGGCCTGGGAGGAAAAAAGGATGCTACGCCAAATCCGATGGGGGGAAAGTTAGGCACTACGGCGAGTGTTGCAGGGCAGGACGATCGGTTCGCGGGAACGAAATCTGGGCTCGTCTTTGAAGGCGAGGGAGCGGACAATGCAGGCGCGAATCAGGCAACCCTCGGCCGACTCGTTTCCTCGGTGTCCGTGCAGTCGCACGCGTCGCAGCCTGTCGACGAAAGATTAGGCAGTGCTGGCGGGCCCTCGGCAAGTTTACTGGCGCACGCTTCATCAGGACCACGAGGTGCTGCGCTACGACAATCTGTATCTTCATCCACTATAGGAGCTGACACGAAGCAGCGACAGGATGTGGCCCGCTTAGCCAATTACATCACAAAAAGCTTGCGCTTGGGTCTGCTGCAAAACCCAATTGCAGAAGCTGAGAACAAGTTGCTAGAGGTGAAATCCTCAAACAAGGCCGCTGTGACGGACTTGGAGGCTTTCCAGTGTTTCGAAAAGATGAAGAAGCTATACAAACTGAAGCTTGAAAGGGAACAGCAGCTTCTTGCGCTCACCCATGCCGACAGCAGAGCACAGGCAAGAACAGATGTCGTGTCACCACCAGATCATGAAAATCAGTTCTACGCCGAATACCGCCTCTCCGCCACACGGCACCGATTGCGTCGGGATATCCGGGACTTGAAGGAGCAAACTTCCGACCAGAGCCTGTACTATGCCAACCAGGTCCACGCGATGAAGGATTTTCTGTGGCAGTTGGGGTATAATTTCGATGAGAAACAGACTTGTGAAAAAACGCTTTTCGCACTGGAGCTGCTTCATAGCGACGAAATCACTTTGGTTGAGGTGCTGTTTGATCTGGTTCGGGAGTATTTACCGGAGAGGGAAGCGGAAGAACAGTACAGGATGTACTACGAAGGCCTGTTGGAGGAAGGAGGCGACCACGACGTGCATGGCTGGAAGTACGGTGCAGCAGGGTCTCCTTTCAACACCTCCCCCAACGGCGGTGCGAGTTCCGACGAAGACAGCGATGCATGGACGTCCGATGAAGAGTCTGACTTTTCCTTGGAGAGTGCCAGTGAGGACTTATCGAACGAAGAAGCGGACTTTTCTGATGCGTCCTCAGATGTTGATGGCTACAGTGCCAACAAGAACCAAAATAACCAAGCGTCCGCTCGGTCTTCACTTCTCGACTCTGAGCGCACCGATTCAGAGAAAGAAGATCAACACAACACCAGTAAGCACTCCTCGCAAATCCGTGCTAAACTCAAGGAAATGAAGCGGAAGGGGAAACGACCACCGCCGCTCGCAGAATTCCTTCGCTGGATGCAGCCAGATTACACACCAAATGGGGCAGCTGCAACTACAACGACTTCAGGAAATAGTACGAGAAAGGCTCAGTTCTATGATAATTCCTCAAAGGTGGAACAAGTACACGATCACCAGCCGCAAAGCGCCACCAGTTCTTTCGACTTTGACCCTGACGCACGGGCTTTGGCGGCCAAAGCGGTTCATTTGCAAGACCAGGCGATCGAAAGAATAGCAGGCCGGAACAACCGAGGTGCAGAGCCGAGTTATGGCAGATCCAACGACAAGAACACCCACGATCGTCGAGATGGAACTCCACCTGCTTTGAAGCCGCAATACTCCCGCGCGCTCGATCACCCGGAGTTCGCCAATTACCTCCGACAAGTCCGCCGCATCGACCCGGCGGAGTTTTGTGCTTTCTTGTCGGCCTTCCTTGGCGTTAGCGGAACAACGACCTGGGTCAACCAGCAAATGCCCCCTGCGCAGGCAGGAGGTGGCAGGTCGGACGCAACTATAGCAGCTTCGTCAGTGGGAACTGGCCAGGGGGGCGGTAAAAACGGCACAACGGCTGCAAAAACACCAAGCGTTGGGGAGGACCCGTTGCAGCCGGCGAACTTCAAGCCGCTCAGGTTGGTGCCAGATGCGACGGTTGTCGAAACGCAGCCAAATAACGGGCATTTATTGCAAGTACTACCAGAAGCTTACAACACCAATCCGCAAGTGCTGCAAGTGCAGTACCAAAAGTCGCAGTCCGAGGACTTTCTTCACCAGCTGAAGCGGCGTCTTCTGACCAAGCACGAGGAGCTCCTGAAGCTGCAGGAAGACTGTGGCTGCTTCATCAACCACGAAGAATGGGAGAAGTATCACGAGAAAAAAGTGTCACAGTTACACGTTTGTTGGAGTTTCCGCATCACAGATTTTCCCTGTGTGGTAGAAAAACTTGTAATGCGAAGATCATAAGGGAAAACAGGAAGGAAACGAGGCTCCCAAGCATTTCCTGCATGAGAGAGGTTGTCTGTGTTGCCGGTCTTGCAACGCAATGTGTAACTGTAACACTTTTTTCTTGCGATAAGAAGCAGTGCCAGCCCGTGGGTTTCGCGAACGAGGCCTTCAACTGGGCCAGTGGGAAGATCAACTTCGCCCAGCTGTGCGCCAGCTCGGAGCTACAGGAGGGAGTGCTGATTCGCTGCCTGAAGTCCTTGGAAGAGCTGCTGCGCAAGATCAAGACGATCGCGTGCGACCTGAAGATGGTCAGCCTAGAGCTACTGGCGCTCGACGCCATACAGATGGTGAAGAGGGACGTGGTTTTCCTCCCCTCGTTGTACTACGAAAACATTGACCTCACTGCACGTGGCGAAAGTGGTCGAGATGAGGAGTAGCTAATGTCGTCGTGAAAGTTCCTGGCCTTAACTTCGGTTGCGGTTCATCGCTTTTGTATAATCATCAATCGAAATCCTGGACCTCATCGTATTGCATCTCGGCCGTCGTGGCTTTGTAGCTTTCTGCTTCTTGTTGTTGAGCCGCAAACGAAGCGAAGACCACGAAATAGAGCGTTGAGACCGCAGCTCTCGAAGAGGTTGAAGCGACGCTGTGCGTTTTCTCTCATTGTTCAGCCTACTCCTGCGCCCGTGATTCTATGCGCGGCAAACCTAAAATTAATATACGAAACTACTTCGGCGTGAAAACGCATTGGCTAGGTGGATCTGGATCGATCGAGGATGTTCTTTTACTTATCCTTGGCAAGAAACAAAAGCCAGAGTGTGGAATCCGGCGGAGGTGAACTGATCTGAAATCCGGACGAGGCCTGCACGCTGAAGTTCCTACTCAACAAGACCCCTCATCTTGAGTACACGAATTCTCGCGGAAATCATTACGCGAACGATCGATCCTCTGCCAAGCGCAAGAAATTGAAATGATCACGCAATGCAATTATGATCGTCATGGGAGAGGGAGGTTTCGTAGAAAATGAAAGTGAAACACTTAATCCTCACAGAAATGAAGATCCACTGCAGGAGGATCTAGCATGAAATAAAATGGAAGCGAGTACTAGATCTAGATCACAGGAGGATCCAGCCCTAGCAGATTTCCCTCGTTGTTTTTTGGAAAGTTGAGAGTCCAGTCACAAAAGCAGAGACAAACTCAAACCAAGAATAGTTGCAAATAATTGAAGCGCAACCATAGTTCATGATTTGTTTTTTCCATACATTTGTCACAAGTAGCATTTGCATATCCAAGTAGTCTGCGACATCATTACATAGACATATTAGAGATCTTTCCAAACGTTTACGCGTTTGGTCCAAACGTTTAGTTCCGGGGGTGCAGTTTAGATTCTGGTATGTTAACCAAAAGCTTTTATCATACTGAGTTCTGCGATTTCCAATTCTATTTTAATTTTTTCTTCAAAAACTGTAAACTAACGACGACTCCAGAGTATCCAAGTAAGAGTAAGTACCTCACAAACAACGGACTGGTGTTGTCTCTCCAAAATTGAAGTATAGTACGGAGGCACCGCTACACAATGCCTTCTTCATCTGTGGTTTTAAAGCGCGGCAGCACGCCGCAGCCTGTAGCGTTCCGCTACCTTGCCGTGGCGTTCTTTGCGCCAGCTGTAAGTCTCATCTCTTGCGGCTTTGAAGCGACGAATTTCGTGGCACTAATAGGTCCGGTGAATGCCGCCGGACCTGGAGCGCCTGGAGGATCGGAACACAGCCACGAACAGGGACGTCGGCGCTTGTTGCCTCCTGGCGTGGGGTACGATAGCGTCGAGCAAGGTGATACACCTGTAGGATATAGAGGTGACTACAGTGCGGCTGCCAGCAGAAGTGGAACTGGAGCTGTAATTGCACATCCGTCTGCTCCCGCAGCAACATCTGTCCCATGGCCGGCAGCCATCTCCCGCAGCAACATGGCTGCATTGCAGCTGGAGCAGGCAGGGCAGTATCTGGAATCAGCAATAACAGGACTCGCCAACATGGGAGACCCTGCGCAGAGAGCCGCCCTGTCGCCGCACCAAGCATCAAATCAGGTCCTACTTCCGCCGTATCTACATGCGCAGCCGATAGTGCAAGAGCAGCACCAAACGCACCAGATGACGCATGGCCCGCGTGCATCGCGGGGCGAGCCGTCTTCTGCCGAGCACGAGCGCAGGTGGCGGGAGTTACCGGCGACCATTCGAGATATTCAGCGCGGAGTCGAAGCGATGGTGCAAGAACGTCGAGCGTTGCCGTCGAACCAGCGAGGAGGCTTTCAGACAGGACAGGCGGTGCCCCAAAGTGGTCATCCTCAGCATCAAATTAGCGCTCCCGGCGCAAGAACCGGCGCAGCACCGCTGTCGTCCCCACTTCCGCATACCGTCGAGCCGCAGCAGCAAGATGAACCAGACGCACAACGACCTCTATATGCGCCGGGGCAGCCCCAGCTGTCTTCCGATCACGAGGACCTCACGCGCCACCGCCAGTGGTTGCAGGCAGTTGCGGACGCGGCAGCGACGCACTTTCAGACGCAGGAGCGTCTGGCTCGGGCAGTGCGAGCGCAGGAGCACGGTCATGCTGATGGAGCACCATCTGAGGCCGGTTCTACACGGGCCTCTACCACCGCGTCCGCGTCTGTTGCGCACGTGCAAGACAGAAGGCGACCCGGCGTCTCGTCATCCGGAAGGGCTCATGTGCTGTTTACCGAGTACTTGAAACACTGGATCGCGGAGGAGGCGAATTTTCCCAAGGCGGAGTTTCCCGAACTCTATGTGAAGGCTGTTCATGCCGCTGACCAAGCGTCGGCAGATGCGCAAACGTGCTGGAATATCCAGCGAAAGGAGCAGGAAATCGTGGCGAGTCTCACGCAACTCATTTTGCACAACGACCAAGACAAAAACATAAAGTCGCGGCCCGCGCCGCAGCAGGCCTTCGCAGCACCCAAACAAGGCTTGTGCTCGAAAAAAACCGGCAACGTCGGCATGCTTGATGGCGTCAAAACGAAAACCTGCCAAATCTGCTGCGATGAGGAAAATTCTGGGCGCTTCACCTTTCGTCTGGTTCACGAAGAGCGACGAGAACAAGGACGACCAGAATCGGGCACATCAAGTCAAACTGCTGCTCCTATCATGGACGAAGGATGTAGTAAAACTAAAATGCCAGCAACTTCTGGTGGTCCCGGTGGCGCTTGTTGTGATGGCGCGTTGTGTGCACGCTGTGTCGGAAAAACGCTCGCTGGCGAGTACTACTTGTTCGACGGGGTCCGGGACCGCACCTACCACCACGGTGCGCACTGCCCCTTCTGCAACGTCCCCGCGCGTACTTCGAGAGAATCGGAATCGCTTCGGCCGACGCAGGTCACTTTCCTGAAGCCGAGAGAGCAACTCAGCAAAGCCTGTTTGCGGCACTTTGAGAACATGCAGGACGCAGCCTCAGCGTCCCGCGCTCCCAGTGCAGAGCGGCGGTCGATACTGGCAACTCAAGGCCGCGGGAAAGGGAAAAATGGCACGAAAGGTCAACACGATGCGAAAGGCCAAGGTAAGAGAGGGAGTGGTAGGACGAACAAAAGCAGGCCAGTGGATGCCATTCTCCCGTTCGATGTGGATACGAAATCATCCCTGTCTCGGTTACATGGCGATGCTGAAAATGACTACATTGTCGAAAACTACTGGATCCGTGTGGACGACACGACACAGCTACTTGACAGCAAAATGCGCGCTCGCGACGTCACCATGGCCGAGCTCCGGAAGCAAATTTCCGCACTCGAACTGCGGCTCTGGAACACCGCAACGGAAGAGGATCGGTCAAAAGCAAAGGCCGGTGAGCAACCGGCAGGCAAAGCAAGGAATTATGCCGCCATAATGGACTACAGCAGGCTGAGCGGCCTTGCGAAACTGGATCTTGTGCTTGCGTTGGCACAGTGGGACAATTGAAGAAGTTAGACTCAGTTTATTGAAAGAGACTGCAGCTTGTAAACGTCCTGATTGGAGTCGTCTTTGTATTTTATCGTCCACCAGCAGTATACAACTAGAAGTGAAAGGCGAGAAAGACGTCGTGTTCTCGTGTCATGAAAAGAATTATTTATCTAAAATAGGGATCATGTTGGTCCTGATGTGTAGTTGTGATGTGCAGCCGACTTTTGATTCCTATTTTCTCACAATGCGTGCATTGATTGTATAGGTTTCAGTAGCGCCTTATAATTTTTCGTTTTTACTGCACCAAGTAATTAAAATACCCTACGTGCTGAACAAGAACAAAGTTCGTCTTTGTGCGTGTCGGCTCGGCGTGACATGTATGATTCCCCCTCGAGACAGCTGCGCGGGGCGGTAGCGGCCCCACGGCGGAACTCCATTCATGAGTAGTTGGTAGAAAGTTGTGAACTGTAAGAACATTAGTGAAGCTCTGCAGAGGCAGCAACGAACACGAAGTAATTCAGGACGCGTTGCTACCGAAGGACAGCGCACTAGAACCCTGCTTCGCAATCTACTAGGTAGTACAACCATGCATAAGTGTGCATAGAGTGCTGACCAAGCGTGATCGAAAACAAACATATAAATTAGAAATGTCAATTAAGTCAAAAACATAAATTAAAGGAGTCAAGTCGTGCCTATGGGACAGAATTGGCTGGCGCGTCATGGAGCTTATATGCATCACATATGACCGATACTTAGTAAGTGTAGATGAGATTTATGAAGAACAAAAAGAAAACAGACTACTGTCTGTCTGCAGCTCACGCTTACGACCAGGCATCCGACTATCAGTCACCACCCGCAACATAATTATTTGCTCTGGAATATGTTTTCTTCATCTTCAGAGTCTGTCTTGCGATCCAATCCCGCATTTACTAATGCGTTGTTCTGGATTTCCACTTTGCTGGTTGAACACTTTGGCAGGTGAAGTAGAAGAAGCGCCGCACTGCAGTTGTAAGATTCGAACCTGTTTCGAAGGCCTTCAGAAGGAGACCCTCTCAGGGTGGCTGCTAGTTCAGAACGATAAAGAGATCAAAAGCTGCAGTTCAACCAGTGAACGTGCAAGACTGCGTCGCGCACACGCCCCGAGACTCAGCGTTGTCCGTGTTGCGGACGAGTGTTCCTGCTTTAATCGGCTTTGGGGGTGCGGAGTGTACGTAGGAAACAAATACAAAACACTTCCTAAGAAGGGGAAATGCAGTTCTTGACCGAGGCTATTTATTTGGTTTTCTCAGATGCATCTTCGTCGACATCCTGGAAATATGTTCGACCTCCTGCTTCAAGAGTTGCATGACTTTTGTTTTCTTGTTTGTGGAACAGGAAGTTGAAGGTCTCGTACATTCGTTTTAGCTTTGTTGATGCACCACAGCACGACCTATCGGACCACTTTTTCAATGCAGTACATGTAGACTTTCGCTTTCTGTAAATTCAAAAATAGAAAGAATGCCTGGCCTCATCCTGATCTCTGTGGAAAATGATGGCGCGTGATGATCTGAATGTCGCGGTAGAAAAAGAAAATCTTGATCCTCTATGTTAAGAAGAAATAGTGCTCTGCGAAAATGATAAATAAAGAATGGATCATCATCAAGGTCAGAGGCGTCACCTCTTGAGTCGGTCTTCTGAAACGATGCAACGCAAATCGTGGCGATGACCAATGTGGATGATCTGCAAGACAAGGAGAAGATCTGGTTTCTCCTTCTGCTGGGTGCGGGTGAAGCTGAAAGATAGGGGAGTAGCAGAGTCGCCTTGTATATATAATATCTTTATCATGTTATTTCTTGTAGCTGGGTGGAAAGTGAGCTCAGCTTGCTTGCATACCTTAGACTTACGGCTACGACGCAAATGAAAAAACATTCCTAACAAATTATACGCAGTTTGAGTCGGTTCCTTTATTTAGTGTTTTGGAGTTTTGGAGTATTCTGGAACCTGTTTCTCGCTATCAGTAGAAAACGACACAACTTCCGTGAAGCTGTTTATTTTCAGGCGGCCACCTCGCCCGCCTGAAGCTCTCCAGCACTGTATTTCCGAAAACCGCACTACTTGGCACTATTTACATGCTCACACAGCAGGGGTACAGTGCCAAGATCCTGCAACAGGAGTTGACGCGATGCCTGGACGACATGCGGGAGCTCTACACGAACAGGCGTGGCGTCGGCTGACGTGCAATTTGAAGTGACCATGTGGTTTGGTTCCTGTTATTCGGGACGATGGTGGTGCGTTGGTCCTTACTGCGTAAGTATTATTACCTCCCCACTGGATAGCTCGTTTTTATTACTGATCTGCGATGCTAATTTACCACTCGGCATAGACTGCGACTTTTAGATCACGCGCATTACAGTTCTCCGATAAATATTATCTCCCCACTGAGTAGCTCGCTCTCCCTTTTCACTGATCCTGCACGACGCGCCTTGTCCCCCTGTATTTCCATCGATTCGACCGGTAGCACATCTGTAAAAATCGCATGATCTTCACGTTCTGAGCATTTTCATACGTCTCGCCTTGTTCCACTGTATACCTCGCGACTTGATCTCTCTAGCTGACTGTATAATTGTTACACTGGCATGCTCCGAAAACTCCCCACACGAAAACTTGGCTTTGTGTGAAATTCTGACAGGTTGACAGGGATTGAAGTTAGCACTGCCATGCTTCTAGCTTTGGCCTTCCATGCAACGCACTTGAAAGCTGTTCTCTCTTCTTTGTTGTGTATATCCTGACTGCTTTGAAGATTTCGGAGCAGTTGTCGTTTTCGGCAGTTGCAACAAACCCGAAGCAGTTCTTTTAAGTTTTGATTGACTTCTCTTCATCATTTTATCGTATTAGTTTTACTGCTCCCAAAGAAAAAGAACATGGCGAAGAATTTTTCGAGTTGTTTTGTCTCGTTTCCGACGATGGGTACGAGAGTTGCTGCGGCTGCATTGCACCACTTCATACTTGGGATCGTACTTTTCTGGTCCGATGATCGGGTCGCGCCGTCTTTTCTGTTTTCCGGGAAAACAAATCTCGGACTCACTTTCGTCCACGGCGTTTCTGCGGGTAGTCCGTCGAGTAGCTCCTCTAGTGTGTCGTGGCGTGGAGGGGGGGTTGCGTCCAGCACTGACGCTGCCTCTTCGTCAGAAGAGGACATGCGCAAACTGCGGCAGGTCGCAGCCAGGATGCTCCCACGTGAAAGCCGGGTCCGGCAAAATGAAGTGGCGTTGATGTGGCACGACACTTTTCGCCAGGCTTCTTCGCGTCTTAATGGGATTGATCCGAGTCGACGTCAAGATGAAGACTGTGGTCCTAATTATGCATACAAGGGCCCGGCGTCAGGAGGTGGAAGTTCTACCGGGGGCGGAGGTTTTGAGCCTCCACGTGTGCCTGCAGGTGGAACTCCCAATGGCAATCTGGCCGGTTTCGCCGGAGAAGGAAGCAGGAATCGTCCTCCGACTGTCGGAGGAACTCCTGTAACGTCGAGAAACAGCCGGCGGAGGGGGAAAAGAGGAGGACGCGGCGGCCAGAGAGGACAGGAGCTGCATGAGCAGCCACAGGTGGCGCAACATGGTACTAACGGCGAGGATCATCATCATACTGAGGTGGGTAATTCTTCCGCTAGTCAGAATCTTCTTCAACGGGATCGGCCAGAAGTACGAGGTGGAAGCGCCGTTGTGACTCCTGGGCGGGGAATAAACGCTGTACCTGCCGTTGCTGGCGAGGGTGAGGGACGTGGGAACGAAGTCGAAGGCACTGCACCGCAAAATCCGGCACTGTTCAACGATCTTCTTCAAGCCGGAAACGGAGAGAGGTGGGCGCAACAGATGCACGACGGCATTCTGAGAGCGATACAACTCCGACGGGATGCAGAGCAAGCGGAGCAGGCAGCACAGATGCGGCAGCTGCGCAAAAGCACGCGTTTGGGTGGTGGCTGAGGTAAAGGGTTTAAAAGTATGGATGTTGTCGTGTAGCAGCTCCTGTGAGAAGAAAGTGTACAAATCGGGGGGCGTGCGACATTCACGACATTGCTGCTACTGCATTGCAATTCGAGATGACTGGAAACAGGAAGCAGATTCTTTGCAGTGTTGCAGGGATCTCAAAAAAAAAAAAAAACGGCCGATAGCAGATATTATGCTGAGGCACGATGCAGCAGGAGAAGGAGATGATGAGTTGGAACTGGAACAAGTTATTTCTTGCTGCGGTCTATATCAATCTATTTGTATCTCCATGCATGTCGTCCTTGCGACAGGATCAACGCGTTGATGCCGCAGTCGCTCTGGTGCAGCTGTTCTTGCTGCATGAGTCGTTGTAGAAGTAGTTATGCTTTTATGCATCTAGAACTAGAACTAGATATATCGCTGCGGGAACTCCCATGATAATAGCGAGCAGATTTCGTGTACAATGAAGACGAACAGTGGAGGGCAAAAACATCTGCTGCTCCGGAGGCGGCTTGCTCTTCTACTTCCGGAAGGGGCTCGACTTCGCGTTGCGCAAGCGAGGACTCCAGTACTTGGCTGTGATGTTTCAATGGGAGGCGTCGGCGACGTGTTCCTGCACCTTCTCTAGTCGTCTTGCCTTAGTAAATCAAATCGGCTCGTCTGGATGTTCTCAGGTTCAAAGATAGATCTGGAAATGACTCGGCCAAGGATCTTCTGAACGAATGAAAATCAATGATCCAAGTCCAAAAGTCGGTGGACGAAATAGATCTGTTTTCTCATGGTTATAGCCGCAACCAGGAGTGGATGTGAGCCAGCGTTTCCTGCGCGAAAACAACATCCCGCTCCTGCAAGATAGAAACCATCATTCACATCACGACTCTGTTCCTTTTGAAAAAGTTTCAATGATTCTACGACGTGGCGGCCTTCGTAGGATCGATCGGTCACAGTAAAGTCGATGGCATTTCCAGATCAATGCAACTTACCGGCTTTAAAGTCCAAAACAGTTTCGTCGAGGCCGCTGATCTCTGTGCTTTCATCACAATGGTCCGACTTTGCATTCTGCCATGTCTTCGGTGGAGAGAAAGGCAGGCTCAAATCCTGATCAACAAAATCGAAGATCTTTTTGAATAAAAATGACAGCTGGTAGTGGTCACGAGGAAGAGGATCTAGGCGGCACATAAATGCAGGATCACGATCATTCTGAGGATGCTTCGGTGTTTCTGTTTCAGTATCAGAAAATGATTATGACAAGAAAAATCCACGTCTATTCGCTCGCTGATGTTGCGGCCTGGATCCTTAACGACCGTGGCGCGCTGCGCAAAAACAAAAGCCCGCTTCAAGAAGTCATCACCATCACGCTGTTCATTTTATCCAAAAACCGAATGCAGTTGCGTTATTCCGGAAGGAACGAACATCATAATTTCACTTAAGTATACCAAATCAGTGTTTTTTGTTTTTATTGCTCCCGTAGTGCTGCTGCTTTTCTTTTTCTTCTTCTAGTGTAAAGTAAAAGCTTTCTGTCATTGGAGCTTTACCCAAAGGGAAAGGATATCTGGAATTAAGTACGCTTCAGCTGCATCCGAATACGTTATATTGATTCTTCTGCCAAAATAAGAAGGTCCGGTGGACAAAAATCGTGCAATTTCGCGGTTGACATTCACGAAAGTACTAGAAACGGAACAAACAATGTCCAAAATGGTGAAAGGAAAAATTTGTTCCCTCGCGTTTGCCGCGATTCTCTGCGTCGTCGCAACCAGCTTCGGAGGAGGGCTTGGTATGTGTCTTGTTACTGCTGTGCGGCCTTCCGCGCGCGGGATGATCACGACTGAGGAGGAAATGCAAGACATCGCCCTTAACGGAGACGCGGACGAGCGCGAGTGGGCACTTGCTTGCTTAGCCGACTTAAGCTGGTGCAAGGAGAGGACGATGAGGACGAAGAGAAGAAGCGAGCGAAGACAACGCGCAAAAGCTCGCGCGAGAGAAACTGCGGTGGAAGCAGGTCGTGCGCCGAGTACTCCACGACGAGCGATAGAACCGGCTCCTGCAGCCACGCCTCCTGCCAGAACGCCAAATCATTTGTTTGGGAACACTCCGTCTCCGTCTCCCGTACAGCCCCTGCACGCGCTGGTTACTCCACCACGTCAGGCAGGAGCCCCTGGTGCTCCAATGGTTGCTCCTGAGGCAAAAACGCCGGCTACGTTGTATGCGGATACGCCGTCACCCATTCGGATGCGGACGGCGCTGCCCCGACCTGTAGCTGCTGCTCAGCCGCAACCTGCGCCACCAGGAGCGGGGGCACCGCCCGAAATTGACCTGGAGGGCATGGCAAGGGCTTTGGGTTTTTCACGTGAGCAGACCATTGTGTTGCGTAACCGCTTCGATCAACTGTTACGGAACACGGCCTTTCTCCAAGCTGCGCCTAGCATCGCAGCCTCAGCCGCCCAAGCCGCACAGAGCGCAAGAAATGCTGCTCAGCCTGGTATTGAACACCCTGGAAATGCTCCCGCTTCTCCTCCTCCTGCAGGCGGAATATTATGAGGGCGCACGCACCACGGGCGCCGCGGAGCGAGGTGCTCGTCCTAATTTTTGAAGAAAATCATGCGGGTTTTGTGCCTGTTGTGTCGGGACGATAATCGGAAACCGAATGCCGGCTGAAGCCGCGTTTTCGGGAAACAGGAGAAAAGAATGCAGCGCGTATAATTAAGTATAGTAGAAGGAGCCTCAAGATTTTTTGCTCCGTATGAACATGCGAGTACTTTCGAAGAAGGTAGATGTAGAACAGAAATGGAAATGGTGTGCAAATCTGTGGCGTCTTTGACTCTGCCTATAAGTGTTTAGTGGGAACGGCATACTACTACCTGTAGTATACCTGTGCTACTATGCAAGAAAAAGTCTTTTTCTTTTTGTGTATGATTGAGCAGAGACGTCGCGCAAGTCTGTTTGTGTATGATTGTAGTGCAGAAAGAACAGCTGCCATTGTTTTGAGAAGTTCATGCGATTACGTTATTTTGCTTTTGCTATTGAAAGAAGAAATAGGGGGACGAAAAAATAAGAATTTTTGGAAGGTGTGCATGTAGTTCATGTTTTGCATGATAAGTATATCTGACTGACACGATGAAAAAGAAGAAAAGCAATCGTATAAAATGGAGAACCAGGAAAGGGTAGTACGCTTCGGGTAAGCTGCAGCCGCATCACTCAACTTAAAACCTGTAGGTTCAGACTTAGAGCGTAGGAACAAAATGAAAAAAAAACTACAACACATCAAACACCAACAGTGACGAGACAGCAATAGAAGAAGAAGGAGACGTAAATCGTCGGCCCCAGCGGTATTTCTCGCCAGTGGCTGGATCACTTTTTTCAGATCTCTGCTCCTTTTATGCTTCAAACAGTTGCGGTCCACCGCTAAGGCTTAACTATGACTACAGGAGGGAATGCCAGTTGTGAGCATGTTGAAACAGATGAAGCCCTGACCAATTAATAACAAGAGTTAACTTTTTGATCATTGCACATACTTACAATGGGAAACCAAGCGCGGCCTGCGCCCGCTAACGAAGGATCGCGCCTGCCGTGATGTTTTAACGGAGAACGTCGATGAAGCGCACATCCACATGTTTCTCCATTGGTCTTTATTCGCTTTTTCTCTTTCTACTTGCCGCACGACATCATTTCTGAATCAATGGTCGTTGATTCTAACTCCATTCACAGACTGAGAGTCGCTGACAGATTTCAGGATCCGCGTATCGATGGGGTGTCGGAGATCATTTGTAGTTGCATCTTGCCCCGAAAAATACAAATCTTTTTGCCCTTGAAAGTGTATTTTCTAGGATGCTGACGTAGAAGATGAAGATCAGCGCCACCGCCACTGTGGAATGTGATGTGGATGGTATTTTTGTTGCAGCTTTTGTCGTTGGTGTTGTGATCAGTTGCAGGTTACAAGTGGAAGCAGCTAGTTATAATTGTCATTGTCTAAGGCAGGAACAGGATCAACAAACTACATGATCAGGTCGCGGTCCGCAAGAGACCACGTTAGCGCTGTGGTTCTCCACTGAAGATATTTGAACCCCGAGTTCTATGTAATACTAGCAGCCAGTGCTGGAATCAGTCACGGCCAAAACCAACTTGTGCCAAAAGGATCTAGAATTCCGTATGTGTATGATCGGGTCTATCAATGTCTGTTGGAGGTTGATCTAGTTATTGTCGACCCGGTTTTTCATGTCTTATTTTTAGCAGCTGTGATGGTGCTTATTTTTTAGCACATGATGCAGCTTGTATCAGTTGTGAGTGTGAGCATCATAAAGTACTGACAAGGGAGATTAAGGTTCTTGCAGAATACGGAGCGAGATTTCGATCTACGCTACTATCAGCATCATCGTCTTTATGGCTAGAACATACAAAAAGATCTCGCTAATACTTTGATGAGTTTCGATTTACTTCTCAATTGCATTTTTTTTGGCTTTTGTATCGTTTGTATTTAACCGGCGGCACCACTGGAGGACCAGAAGCTAGCAGAACTGTTTGCAATTCTTCCTTCGCATCGAGACGATGGGAAAGGAAATGTGGATTATAACGACGAACTGACGCACACACATTTGTTTTCGTGGATGTTGATGTTTCAACATTTAGCATTTGCATGAGTTTTTTATCAATACGAACAAATAAGTAGATCATGATCGAGCGTAGTTCTCTATCAATATTATGGAAAGACAGTGCTTCGCTGTGATAATATTTTTGATTGAGTTCTCTTCTGCATAGCAAGCTATAGTTGTACGACCTATAATTTTTTTCTACTACTCGTTCAAAAAAAATTTACACCGCATGTTTTTCTCCGTTTTACCACGATTTTTCTTTTCCTTGGGAACCGACATTTTGATTGCAAGATACTTAGCAACGTCAACGATTTTCAACGCTCTCATCTTTCAGGCTCTTGACTTTCGATTTTCTGAATCAAAGCATTGACCGAAGCACCCCGGTTGACTAACATGTCACCTTGTTCGTTGTAAAAACCAAAACGCGGAGAATCGACATGATGGAGACGACCCTGAATGCCCGACAGTCCTTGCGCCCTGAGCTGAGGTGTGTAGGCGACACCAATCGAGCACGCCGACGCTGCTACGACGCAACGGCTACAGGGACATCTCGCAGCTCCTCGATGGTGGTTGCGAAGCGAGACCGCGACTGCAGTTCTTGGGGTTCTGTTGTATCAAAAAGAACGACAAGAAGACTACTCGCTGTCGCTACGCTGAGCTGTGTTTCGATCATTAGTTCACATACGAGCGCGAGTTCGAGCCTCTACTTCTATGCCGCAGCGCTGCAAACAGGGGCTGAGGAGCACCAGGGGGGCAGCTTTGTAGGCTACGGCCAGCTCGTCAATCATGTGATCAATAATTATCCTGGCGCGCTGAGCAAGGCCGAACCGCGCGCCGCGGGACCGGCGTCCGGAATCGGCTCGATTCGCCCTCCCCCACCGACTCCGGCGGCTGGGCCGTTTCTTCTTACACACCCGCACGAACAGCCTCGCATTGCGCCGTTCCAGCTCAATGCGGCATCGTCACTCGCTCGCACCTCCAGCAGCGGTGGAACTTATGTGACAACCGGGGGGACGACCACAACTACAACACGCACACCTACTCCTACACCCCGATTGATTCCCCCCCGCCGAAATAGCCTTGACACGACAAGAACACCTTTGGAGCAGGGTCGTGAAAGCTACCATGCGACGAGCAGTAGCCAACAGCGTGAGGTGCTGGTCGACCACGACCAAGATGAGACCCACAGCAGCGCTGGCACCACTCCCGCGCAGCCGTTGAGGAGATTACCTCCATCTTCGGCATTGTCACCGACGCTACCACGCCCACCCGGGCCTGTTGTGCCTGTTTTTCCAACACCGGATCGCCACAATGTAGTTGTTACGGACGACGCATTATGGGCAGTGTTGACAGGCCCGATTTCACACCGGCCTGGTACGAGTGCACCGGCCGAAATGAACGCGCACCAACAGGGCCGCCACATGAGAAACAGCCCGTTTTTCAGCAACTACCCTTCCCACCCGGCCGGGGCGCAAGTGACGGACGACGAGGCTGGTACTGTTCTAGTTCTCGTGAGCATCGTGCTGAAGAGCAGACTGATTATCATGGTCAAGTTCTTGCAGTACACAGAGATATAGTCATCATGTTGAAGGAAAGAGTCTAGCTTTAGAGGAGGCGAGATAAAACATGTTGCCAGCACATGCCAATGCCTCAGTACTTCATCCCTAGACCCGCCACGGCGTCGCTTTCTCGGATCTCGATCTTCTTTTTAGGGCCACGCCACTAGGCTGTCAGCCCGCTGCTTCTGGACCAGGCCGCTCTTTGATATTTACTGTTCCTTGTTCCTGACCAGAGCACAGGAGCAGGTTGCTCCTCCTAATTCTCGGCAACAAGACTTATTATATCATACAAGCGAAAGTAGGACCGTTTTTTTTTTTTTCAGGCTCCCGCTTTTCGGTCTCATTCCAGGTACGAACGATGCGGCGCTTTTCGGTCTTAACTCGTCGCATGGGCGACAAAATGGCGACACACTTACGAGATTGCAGCGGATAACGGGCGACCTGATGCAGGGACGTCGCGGGCTCGGATCCTCGACCACTACGGACCATGATTATAATGATGAAAACTCCACGACTTCTGTGGTGGAGAGTCCTCCAGCACTGTCACCAGCGAACGTGATTCCCAGTAGCAGCTCCAGCACTGTCGCCAGCACTCGCACTCCACAAGCACCAGCGGCACCACGCCACCGAGACCCACAGCAGCGAAGCCCGTCCAGCTTGATACTCGATACTGAGTTCGACCCCACGAGCTTTCGTGGGCAGCAGGACCGTCAACACAGAAGCGGCGCGGGCAGGAGAAGCCGGTGGAGCAGGCTGGCTTCGTCGACGAGAAGTAGGACCAATTACGTTTCTCCCTTTGAAATGTTTGAGGCACATCTTCAAGCGGACGAAAGCGATGAAGATCAGCACGATGAAGACATTGATATCCTGCTGGAGGGCGGCGATGATTATGATGTAATTCTTGGCCCCCCCGCGCCGTTGGATGATATCCACGGAGATGAAGGAGCTCCATCGACCCCTCCGGGATCCGGAACATTCGCGCCCGTGACGCGGGGAGGTTGGATCAGTCCGCCTCGCGCAGAGACAAGAAGAGCTACTTCATCCTACGTCGAGCTGCACCAGCAGCAGCCACAGCGCGTTCTTGTAAGTCAACAGTTGTCGGATGCGATGCAATTTTTACCCGAGGTCGGAGCCAGCACGAGTGAACGCACGGCAGCGACCACTTCGCGAGACGCCGACATGAGCAGCTCTGCGGTCGGACATGATCAGCTTCGTGACCACCTGCTCAGCAGGCCGGGAAGTAGTAGCGACGCCGGCGCAAGAACTGCAACACATAGTACACAACTACAACAGCTGGCTTCGGCGCCGCAAACACCGCCGCACCGAATCATCCGAGCAGGCGTCCTCGACTCGCCCCCTCCCGCACCGAAGCGACTACCACGCAGCTTGCGGCGTCAGCTCACACACACGGAAGACAGCCAAGAAGCCCGAAGCGTAAGAACTGGCGCTGCAGCAAGTACTCATGGTATGATCTTCGGTGTGGGTGATTCTCAGGCTGGTGGTGGAGTTGTAGTTGAAAATACAGTTACAACTTCTACAGGAAGAGCAGGACAACTACCTTCCCGTTCCCCCACAAACCTCACCACACCTAGTACTGGAAGTACCACAGCAGCGAGCCCGCCGCTGACTCCGATGCGTGACCAGGTTATCGAGCGCGGCTGGTGGGAGTGGGACGGGCTTCAGCGTGACCAGATTCAGAACCACCTCCCCCACAGCAGCACCAGTGAGGTTCATCGTTTTTACCCGAGGATGCTACAACCTACTCCCCGTGCTCCCCCACTGCCGCCGAGTGGTCTCCTGGCAGACTTCTTTGCGAACAACCCCTGGGACGCCGCGAATGTTGTTGCACCAGGAGCAGGAGCTACGGAAATCAGCAGGCGCCCCCCCTCGCTTAGCAGGGCTGCAGTGGCCCAAATAGTGTCCCAGATATACTCTCGAACCACGCCGGGCAACCGCGACTCGTCGGAAGAAACTGAAAGTATACAAGAGGAGACGCCACGCCCACCGATACCTAACCAGCAAACGGAAACGACGGGCGGGCGGGCGGTGTCTACCACCCATCTTCACAATGCTCCGCACCATGACAACAACGCAGATCATTCGCGCGCGCCCGAGCGCGAGTTGCTCCGTCGGCAACCTTTGAAGTTTGAACAGTACTTAGCGACGGAATACGTCGGGCAGGAGGAATGGGACCTTCCGGTGGCGGTGCGGAACCTTGTGCTGCAGGCGGACGAGGATGCAGAAAAACAGTTCGAGGCGCTGCGCGGAAGTTTCTCTCGTCCGGAACAGACTCCCGATGAAAAGACCGGCTCTACTGCCGTTGCGGTGCCCCCGAAGAGCTCCGGTGCCACTCTAACCTCTCGGCGAATGCTGCAAGACTTGCTGCAGGCTGTGGCAGACGCTTCGGGAAGGAAAAATCGGGCCCGGAGAATGATGACGAGGAGAAGTTTGCCTGCAGACGTTGCAGAGCAAGCTCCCTTGCGGCCTACTTTGAAAGTGACCTCAAATGCTGGCGCCGCAGAGGTGCATGACTCCAGCAGAACCACTAAGCGAAAACGGGAGGCCACAGACCAAGAAGCAGGTCGTGCTGACGAGATGCAGCACGATGCTAAACGCTGTAACTATGGAGGAGGTGATGCTGACAATGGCAATGGGAAAGCTGAAATTACGGACCCCAGTGCCGGGATAAGAACCCGGTCTGCTTTCAAAGGCCGCCCTGCTCCACTTGCCAATAGTAGCATCGCTCTTGTCTCCTCCGACGAGAAAGGACTGCCCCAGGAGGAAATGAAAACGAAATTTCCCATGGAGTCCTGCAATGTCTGCCTCGACGATATCGGGCGTTTCCGTTTCCGCGTGCTGCACGCGGCGGGTTTCGAAAATCCCGAGGCGAGCCACAATTTAAGTGAGTACTTCAAACGCAGTAAGACAAGGATGAAGTCGGGCAGTGTCCGTTGCGGAGGTTCCTTCTGCCCCTGCGTGCTCAAGTGGATGGTCACTTCCTCGGAAAATTCAAAGTCGCCGACCTGCCCATGCTGCCGTCAGGAAGGGTGGACCATGCAGAGTGCAGCCAAAACGCCGACGGAGTACTTGCTGGAAGGACTATCTTCCTCGCAACCCACTTGGGAAAAAGGGGAAGACCACGCGGAAGACGAGGAGGCTTGGTTTTCTTGCGAGGAGCCTGAGGCTGAGGCTTGCCGGTACTGCTCGAGAGGCAGTTCTGCTCGAGAGAGGCTTGCCGGTACTGCTTCGGGAGCAAATCACTCCTCTGGGAACTACGAGCTCCAATCGGCGTCGTCTTCTGGCACTGCAGTCCGTTTCGATGGTATGATGAACTCTAGCAGCGCTGTAGCATTGTCAAGTGCACCTACTTCCTCAGCTTCCTCCGGAGCAAGAAGTTATGCGCATGAGCCTGCTCAGCCGATCGCCGCCCCGTCCGCGAGGTCTCTTACCTTCGCGGAGCCAGTAGCGCGAGTGAGCAGAACGGTGGGGACGCAGACACCACCCGCGGTGGCGGCAGCAGCAGCGGCTTCGGCGCCACCGCGCAGAGGCATTTTGAGGCGAAACACAGACACAGGCCGTGACCACCCGGAGCTGGGCGGGGCGGCAGCAGGCGTAGTAACGAGCAATCAAAGAGAGAATGAGCGAGGACATCACACCAGTAGAGCTCCTACTCCGACGCGGTCATCACGCGATCGGAGTAGAAGCAACCCGCGTCGCGGAGGTAGAAGCGCGTTGAGCCGCACAAGCAGCACGCACATAGACGACCTATCTAGACGAGAATATGATCCTCGGGGTGAATACAGCCACACAAGTCTCATGGAGGAAGCTAATGCGCCGGGCCGTGACGATGTTGTTGACCGAAATCAAGGCCGTTTTTCGACAACGACGCGTGATATGGCTGATGCCGCACCGATCGCTTCTACTGACTTGCAGTTGCATCCTGTCCAAGTCCAACCGGTGCGCCGTACGAGGAGCGGTATACCGATAGGAGTTGCAAGAGAGGCAAAAACTTCCGGCCGCAAGGAGATGGAGCAGCACGCGCGAGGCGCTAAGAGGTCGGCGAGCGGCACGAAACACGGTGGTAAGGTTTGTAGACGCGGACCGGTCTACGATCCGGAGACAAAAACGCTGACACTTCCGCTTCTCCGGAACAAGAAGCAGATGCTCGCACACTGGAAGGTTCTGTGGGCGACGAGGGGAAAGGAGATGGCGCAGGCTGTGATGGCGGGGAGGAACAAAAGGCAGAAAAGGTCGGGTGGTGCTTTCGTCGCGCCGGGGCCCCCGAGCACGTCGACGTCCATGCAGCAGCATTCCATCGGTAGGGACAGCGAGCACCATCGTCAAGAACAAGATCATCATCGGCGTCAGGACCAGGAGGTGGTCTTCGACAGAACTTTTCCACACATCGAAGAACTTTTCCACACATCGACGTCGCACCAGCAGATCTACGCACCACGAAGTGGAGTACAAATTGTACCGTCGTCGACAGATTCCGCACCGATGCTGCAGCGACTAAGCGAGTTAGAAGTGCAAGAAGTGGCCGAGATGAACAATGCGCGAGGAGGTCGTGGCCCGCCGACGCAGCGGTCTCTTTCGAGATTGCAGCAGCTAACACGCACAGCGGCGGACGTTGATCGCGAACTCGTATTGTGGGAAGATGAAGTTGTGGCAACGGAGCAGCCTGGTCGTGGAGGCATCGTCCAGGAGCAAAGTAGTTTTTACGGAACTCCACCCTCTAGCTCCTCTTCGTCCTCCTCCTCGTCGGGATCGATCACAAACTTCTCAGACAGTACTAGACGCAGCTATCCAGCAGCAGCGACGTCGTCCTTTTCCGCTATCACTGGGGGACCAGGAGTAGAAGATACTACTACGCAAGGTCTCCTGGCGCCGGAAAGTATTAGTGTTGGACCGCCTAGTACACGACCGCCGCAAGAGCGACCCGCTCACGATCAACGAGATCTCCAGCACGCCCAGAGCCAACAACAGCAACTGCAACACCTTCGGCAGCAGCAGCAACGACTCCGGCAGCAGCACCCACAACAACAGCAGCAAGGCCACGCGCAGCTGCGGCAAGTGCCGAGCCCCGAAGCGATTCGCGCAAAGGAGCAGAAGAAAAAAGACGACGGTTTGCTCGAATTGCTGTTCCAAGACGAGGGCTTTTTCGAATATGTGCTGTCAACAGCCGAGGAGGAGAATTTCATCGAGTACCGGCGTTTTGACCTCGTGGGCTGGGACCTGATTGTGGAGATCGAGGATCTGGCGACCAAGCAGGTCAAGTGGGTAAGTCTGAAGGAACTCCTGGTCGCGATCTCTCACGTCGAGGAAAAGTTTATCAGCCAACTGTTGTTGGGATTTGGAACTGACTGCGATGGCGGCCGCTCCTACGGCGGCTATCCCCCGGAAAGCAATTCTGTGTACGACCAGATCTACTACGGGCTGCACGACGAGGATTTGACTGAGCCTGAAATTTCTCCTTTTCCTGACCCCATGGCGGCGGCAGAGCGACACGAAATTTTTATCTCTTCGACTGATGCGAAGAAAGAACAAGTGCAGAGTCTTAAAAAAGATGTCGCCCTTCAGAACGGTGGTCCTGCTCTTGAAGGCAGGAAACATCAAGCCGAAGTAGAGGAGGACGTCACACGAGCGGCTTCTGCGATGTCGGAAGAAGTAGATGAGTCGCCGTTTACTCTTCACAGCTTGAAAATGCAGAAGAACCTACAGCTTTACGAGTTGCAGAAACGGAAAGACAAGATGCAAGTGCTGAAGTACATGGTGCTGATGGGCGGGAAGGAAAAATTAGAATTCGTGCTAGAGAAAGTGTTCCACGACCAAAATTTTGGCCAGGAAATTGGAGTTGAAGAGGAGAAAACGGAAGAGACCATCGCGGAGGCGAATTATACATTGCAAAAATTATGTCTGGGTCTGGAAGGATGCAACTTGTAATGCTATTTTTGGATTCTAAAAAAATCTGTGTTGCGTGACAGGCAATTGGAGTCCAGTTTTTGCCACATGGAGAGGGCATTTCTCATGCAGGATATGGATATGCATTACGAAGCACTCAGAATATCTGTGATGCTAGGGCATACATCACAGACGTCATGGGTCATGTCAGGCGTGCATGACAAATCTTCCAATTTTCCAGACCCAGACATTTTTGCATTTGATACGAATGGTGTCCAGGCGAAACGGGACAAAATCGAGTCCTGGCACGTGTACGATAAAGAAGGAAAAATCGCAAAACGGATCATAGCTACACTTTCGGAACTGCCGAATAGAGTTCTTGAGGCGGAGCAAGACCAACGGATGAATAATTATTACAGTCGTGGTGGGGCCTACTACTCTGGTGCTCGGGCTCGCAACGCTAGAGCAGGTGGGCCTCCTGGCAGAGCAAGACGAGAAAGATCCGGGGCCTTTGATACCACAGCAGCCTCGGCATCATCTTCGGGTGCGGCGTCCAGTACAAGTCCAAACAGCGCCGCGAACCCTCGTATCAACCCCGTCGGGACGTCGTCGGGAAGCACAAGTTTAGTACATTCTTCGTCTGGAAGTGGAAGATTGGAAGCACAACTGCGACAGGAGCGGTACGCCCTTAGTCGGGAAGCAGAACGGCGGCTGGCGCGCTCTCTGCGTGACGTTGACTGAGGATGTGTTATCAGACTCTGACCCGCGGTATGGAGGTTGAGGTCGACACCGAAATAGCTGCAGTGGAAAAACTCTACGAACTTTCATTATCTTCTGCAGGAGGTGCTTCTGATTGAGATAGTCCGGAAGTGAGGCTCGGGGAATTGTCTGAGATATATGTAGCTTGGGATGTACTTTTTTTCTGTGCATGTAGTTGCGAGTGCAACGGGAAAAATTTTACGGCAAGAGAAGCCCAACAGAAATACAAATAGTGAAGGTCCATCTCTACTGCATCTGGAATTTTCGTGATTTGTTGTTTTTCTTCCCGCTCAGTAACCGCATAGCGTCCCTTTTAGGAGGATCGTAATCCTTACGGCCTTGCATGTGGATACTGAAATTCTGCATGTTGAGGAACAATGCGGCAATGACCTTTGTCAAAACTCTCGAAACTACAAATGTCATTTATAGTAGTCTGCCGCGACATCAAATATCTATGCCAGTGCTTTTTTCGCATGCTCTGAATTGGCAATATATAATCGAACTACTCTGATAATTTTCGCTTTCGACAAACAATACAACGCGCACTGGTTCTTTCATGTGCGTCCTCAAAAAGATAAAGATGCCTTTCACGAAATAAAACATCACGTTTACAGTTACACACGTCTTTCAGAAAACTGACTTAAGATAGGCCTGATTTTGATGCACAAAAATTGACGACATTTTGAAGAAATATAAAATCGCATGAGTAAGTGCATTTTCCTGTAGAATAAAGAGAAAACGAAAAAGACGCAGAACGAAAGTAAGAGATTAGTAAGATCCGCTTGACTTTGCCGTGCCTGACCTCTAATTTTCACATCGAGAATAAAGATGAATGTACACTGCAATAAGTGGTTGACGTATAACTTTTTTGGCTTTGAGAAGAATGTAAAGGGCCCCGGAGAAGATGAAGAAAGTCGATTCGACAATAAAACTTCGGAAGAAATGATCGAGGTTGGATTCACACAGGAGCTCACTGCTTTTATTTGATCAGAACACGTAGATTGACCGACCTTCTTGGAAAAGAAGACAAATGCTCTGCTCGTTGAGGAACTCATGGGCTCTAACCGTGGTCTCACGCTACTCTAGTGTTAGTGCGCGTGTGTAAAAATCTTTAGCACACAACACAAAAATTGTGCAGTTTTCTTTGTGATGGTGAAGATGCATCATTAGTGAGCAGTTAGATTTCGTCAGGACGCGCCAGAGGATATAACCTAAGCTCCTTAACTCGAATTCACAATTTGAATTTGAATTTGAAAGTGTTGTTTGGTACAGGAGTGAGGCTGAGGCAGGCACTCCCACCACCAGTCGCCCGAGTTCATCCAGTGTCGGCCTCGGCACGAGGGAGCATTTTGAGTCATAAGCGCACCTCTTCATTGCTAGATCTTCTGAAGTTAAGTACAAAGTAGAAAACCAAAACGTCGCCAGCACCAGAAACAATAAATGCTCTTTTACGAAGTAGGCGTAGTAGAGGACTTCACTGTCGCTCACCCTGCTGCTCTCAAGAATCGCAATGACGTAGAAACGGGCCGCGAGGAAGGCACCATCGCAACGTATGCAGTGACAGCTCCTGCCGCGACTGAACGTCAACCCACCGGACGTGCAAGCGGAGTAAGATCTTGGATAGATTTTACATCAGGAAGTAGATCCGCGGCAGGACGACCACTGGGCGCATCAGGTTCTTTACCATTGGCTGAGCAGCTGGGCGCTCATCCCGTGCCGGAGTATAAGAAAAAAATTTGCAAGCACTTTGCGAAGGCCGGGTTTTGCCGGTATGAGGAAGCATGCAAGTTTTTGCATGTTTTTCCCAAGAGCGAGACCGGTGCAGACTGCGAGTCTGGCGTCAAGAAAACAGGAGGCACAGACAATGATGATCCACCTACTCTCGAAAGGACGATCGAAGCGGAACAAGCACAGCCACAGGCGACTGGCGCGGAAGAGCCTCAACAACGCAGGCGCCGCCCCTGTGGGCGATTGGTGACGAGAAACGCGGGCAAGCATTTTTTACTGCGTCAGTTCATACACGAGAAGTTGCTGGCATCTAGGTTGCCTAACGGAGTGGATGACCTTGACAACCAAGAAAAAAGCACAAATACCCCAAAGAATCCGCAAGAGCCCGAGGACGCCCACGGCACATCAACACGACGAAGCGCTAGCTCAGGTCTTCAAGTTCTCGACGTCGCTGGCGGCAAGGGGGAGCTCGCGTTTGAGCTTTTGTTGTGCAGTAAAAACGTGGAAAAAGTCTGCATCGTCGACCCACGGCCGCTGGATCTGAGAAAGTGCGAGCGAAGGTTTGCGCTCGATTTCTATTCGCGATCGGCCAGAGTTTGGGATCATGTCGATGAGACGAAGGTAGGGATGTACTTTGCATTAGAACAAGACCACGCCGAGTCATCATCTGGATCTGCACTAAACAAGAGGACTGTCACGACATCACAGACTGCAACTAAATACGAAGAAGCTCATGAGAGAACGCCAGGAGCCGTGCGGCAGGAAAGAAACGCGCTCGTTTTCAAGCAATTGCAAGGTCGTTTGGAGCAAAGCCGGGTGCCTCTGCTCTTGCGAAAGGAGCTTTTTCCACCTGGGCATAGAACAACTGGCACATCAGCGACCGGAGATCATTCTCGCCATCAAACAGGTTGTGAGCTACAGCCTCGGGACTTGCAGGCTTTCGAGGAGAATTTGAGGCTTTCTGTCGCATGGGATTGGAAGCGGCACGATCGAGAGCACGAGGCTAGCGAGAAAGAATCAGCAGGACACAAACCGCCGGAAGCTATTGTTGAGAACGAAACAAAAAACGACAGGCACGGTGTACTGGTATTGCAGCACGGCGGCCCCCGTACAAAACCCGGCTTTTCGCTGCAGCCATACTGTATCCCAGTCAGTGAGGTCGAGGTTGACGGTGACGACGCTCAGTTTTACTTCCCTACAAGAACCACGACCGCAACTGTTGCTAGAACAGCTGCCGAGGAGCATCAACCTCGGGAGGCAACGGTACTAGGCTCGTCAGTACTATCCGAAGCGCTCGACCACTATCAAGAAATCATAGCCAAAACGGATTTCATTGTCGCCATGCATCCGGACCAGGCGGCCGAGGCGGTGGTCGATTTAGCGTTGCATTTAGACGTGCCTTTCTTTCTAGTACCGTGCTGTGTGTACGCAAAAGAATTCCCGAAGAGGCACATTCGAGTACCGCGGCGTCGACCAGATACCATAAGGTCAGGCTCAGATAAAGCAGCCTCGGCGGGCGCTGAGCCAGTGCCCTCGACGTCCAGTGTAGAGGGTGACAAAGAGAAACATGTTTTGAAGCAAGTGAAGTCCTATGAGGATCTTTTGCAATATTTGCAAAACAAGGACCCGGGGATACAGCGAAGCGAATTGATTGGGATAGAAGGCAAAAACGTAGTGCTGTGGAAGGTGTAGGCTGTTCATATTTCACCTGATGATAAGTGCTTGTTGGCGGAGTGTCGCCAGCGCCACGACCTCGACATCAACCAGCAAGAACAATTATTCCTTAAAGATATCAAGCGACTACGACACGATCACGATGACGTCTCGAAAAAAAAATAGCAACATCCTAGAGCAGCAGCTGTTGCTGTGCCATGTACCAGCTTCAAGCTGGTGCAGCGCCGCGCCGGCCTGCGTCTTCTGACAGCCGCAATACGCTGGTGTCCACGAGGTTTTCATCTACTGACTCCGGTAGTTTTCTCGTATTACATTGTACATGAGAGGCCATCTTCAGAGAAGATCCTCACTTCAAGGCGGAGGTTCTTGGCCAGAGCGACCATTCATGAGAGATGTACCAGTATCTTCGGCCTACAACTATCAGAATGCGGCCAAGCACGCTCAGATGTCGTCATCTACTGGAAGATCAAAATCGCACACTTACGCTTCGAAGTTTCCAAATCATAATATCAAAGAAGAATGTTGATCCAATAAGCCCGGTCGTGTCCAGAAAAACAAATGATCACGCACGAGTGGAAGAAATCAATGCAGGATCTGAAGAGCCTAACTGTAGCAGATTCCATTTCCTTCTAACTCAAATTTGTCAACATTGTCTCATGTTGTGCGACAATTACCTTCACCAAACGAAAACGAAATTGAAATTTTTCAGACCCCGCTGGCTTTGTAAGAAGACCGTGTAAGTATTGAAACTGTTGTTTTACTATTTTTCAGACGACACCCTCCTGACATCCACTTCCACGTGTAATTAATTTGCCACCTCCACCTAACTCTACCTCCTGTGACACCTCCAGTATTTTCAAGAAACCGAACAACTCCAATTTCCTCGCGCAAAGCCAAAGAACTATGACGAAGCGAACCCGTGACGAGATGACTCCTGCCGCTGCCAACCTCCTGACCGCCGACGCGCCGGAACAATTGCTCCAGCTCCTAACGAGCATCACGGACACCAAGATTGTGTCCAAGCTCGAGCAGTTGAACCACTCTGCGGATGGAACGGTAGAGCCTTTCCTCTGCACGCACCATGGCGGCTTTCACTGCGACGAAGCGCTGGCGTTGGCCATGTTGAAAATGCTCCCGGAATACGAGAAACTGCCCATAGTGCGAACAAGGGATCCGGAGATCATCAAGAAGGCGCAACTGGTCGTCGACGTGGGCGGTGTCTACTCCCATGACTTGAATAAGTAATAATTTGGATCATGATTCTGTTTCTAGTTGCTATTGCCGTTGCTCAAGCTCAAATGCGTCCAGCAATAAACATGGGAACTACAACAAGGTCAACTAGAACTAGTATGTAAGTACAGGGCGCGCTTCATCTGGTTGCAAGTCCGGTCCGAAACTCAAACTTATTGGTGCACTTGTTAATGCTAGACTTAGATGGAGAGATGGAGCTCGTCAAGATGAAATCAGAAAAAAAAACTCGAATGATACTAAACTCAGATATGACCATCACATGGGTGATTTCACGACTACCTTTTCCCCGAAGCACAAAGTCACCAAGCTTTCGTCCGCCGGTCTGGTTTACCTGCATTTCGCCAGGAAGCTGATGGCGCTTTTTATTGAGAAAAGCCACGACAAAGACTCTTCCGGGGAAAAGCCGGAAATTACAGATATTCTGATCAACAAGCTGTACCGAAATTTTATCGAGGAAGTTGACGCAATTGACAACGGCGTGGAGATGTCCGAGCACATGAAGTACAGGATTGGAACTGGTTTGGGGTCGAGGATTAAGCGATTAAACCCAAGCTGGCGGCAAGAGAACGTCTCTAGTGAGACAGAAAACTACCAGTTCAAAAAAGCCATGATGGTCTGCGGAGAAGAGTGGTTCTACCAAGTCCAGTCACTGCTGGTTGAGTGGTAAGTACTACTGCTGGTGAAATTTTTATACCGACAACTTTTCTGCTTCTGCATAGTTTTCGCATGGTCCTTTTCGGGTTGGAAATTCTGCAGAAATTTGTGGGCTCTATACGATGGATTTCGTCGCAGGTGCTTGCGTCGCTGGGGGGCTGTGGCCCCCCCCCTATGGGGGGGGGCGGACGATTTTCCCAGAAAATTCACCCACGAGCGGACTCGGTTGATTTTCGGGCTTTCTGGAAGGCCTTTTTGGGGTTCGTGTTATTTTCGGCGCCTTCCGGGGCCTTTTTTCTGGCCCAGGAAAACGGCCTTCGTGGCGCACCCAAAAGAGGCGCAAAACCGCTATCATACCGCCGCGAGTGAATTTCTTGGGAAAATCCAAGGACCCCCCGATTCGGCCCGCGGGGTCCGGAAGGCCATTCCGAAAAAAACCCAGACGCGGAAGTCCAACGTGGGGCCGTCGGGGGTCCGCAGGATCTGGCGCGCTGATGCCGTTGCCGCCCGGACCGGCGACGGGGGATGTTTGTGGCGCCCTTCCATGTCGCTTTGCGCCTCGGCTTTTCCGGACGGGTCCGGACCGGGGCCGCGACCTTATATCTTCGTCTGCCTCATTTAGTTGGGGGTTGGATTTTTTCGAATTTTCACAATTCCCAGAAAGTTCCGCTTAGTAAGAAATTTGTGGGCTCTATACGATGGATTTCGTCGTTGGTGTCCTCGTGTCGTTGGGATCGGAGTGGTCTATCGCAAAACCACCGGGGAAAAAGGTGAAATAATGTGGAGGATTTGAAATAGGGAAGGGCTTTGCGGGTAAATGGCAGTCGGGCCCGGTAACGCTGCGAAGCAGATTGAAATGCTCCAGCGCTCACGGGGTGACGTCTTCAAGCCCACTCGCAAAGCTGCCCTGCCCGCAGGAAAGAAACCGCGGCAGAAGGATAGCAATAGGCGGAGGCCAGGCGCTATCCAGTGCGGAGCTCTTGCATCTGTCCCGGGGGTCCAGCCAAGCGGTATCGCTTCAAGGGCTTTCTTTCACATGTGAAAAAATGGATTTTGTTTCTGGCGGCCATTCTTTCACATGTGAAAAAATGGATTTTGTTTCTGGCGGCCATTCTTTCACATGTGAAAAAATGGATTTTGTTTCTGGCGGCCATTCTTTCACATGTGAAAAAATGGATTTTGTTTCTGGCGGCCATTCTTTCACATGTGAAAGAATGGATTTTGTTTCTGGCGGCCATTCTTTCACATGTGAAGCAATGGATTTTGTTTCTGGCGGGTATTCTTTCACATGTGAAAGAATGGATTTTCTTTCTGGCGGCCATTCTTTCACATGTGAAAGAATGGATTTTCTCTCTGGCGGCCATTCTTTCACATGTGAAAAAGTGGGGCTTGTTCCTGGAGGTCATTCTTTCACACGAAAAAGAGACGTGGGCTCTATACGATGGATTTCGTCGCTGGTGTCCTCGTGTGCTTACAGCTTGGATGGCCATTAGATTTCTCTGTGGTGAATTTCGCGTGATTTTAGGGGTCTGCAAGAATTTGATAGGTGGCGCTGCGAATATTTTCTCCCGGAAATGTCGACATCCGCCCGATGGAATAATCGTAGCGACATAAGTTCCAAAAGGCTTCCGGTGGTGGCGGAATTTTTCCAGCAAAAAAAAGACCGGGATGGGGCGCCTCAGTGTGTAGCTGCATTGTCAGCGCCCCACCCCTAGGATGATGGGTTGCGAAATAGCTGCGCGCAGTTACTTTTGTTTTCTGAGTGCTTCGGATGGCTTGTCGGGCTCGGGCGCCTGATCTGTCAGACGTCTTCTGCTGCGGCAAGTCATAGCAATTCAATGCCTCGCCTGCCCTTGTGGCGTGCTGTGCATTTTGTTGGTTTTGTATTTGTGCGTGAATGCGCCAAATGTTTCGCATTTTCTGAAGCAAATGCGCGGTGATCGTTTCGAATGTGGTTTTCCGACTCGGGGGTCCAGCCAAGCGGTATCGCTTCAAGGGCTTTCTTTCACATGTGACAAAATGGATTCTGTTTCTGGCGGCCAGTCTTTCACATGTGAAAAAATGGATTTTCTTTCTGGCGGCCATTCTTTCACATGTGAAAAAATGAAATTTGTTTCTGGCCGCCATTCTTTCACATGTGAAAAAGTGGGGCTTGTTCCTGGAGGTCATTCTTTCACATGTGAAAAAGTGGGGCTTGTTCCTGGAGGTCATTCTTTCACACGAAAAAGAGACGTGGGCTCTATACGATGGATTTCGTCGCTGGTGTCCTCGTGTGCTCATGTTGCTTCTCAAGTGATCGACTCCGGCATTCAATAAATTTACACATTGCATTCCGAAACCAAAAACTTTTAACTCAAGGTACCCTGCCCGCAAGATCGTTGCTGATGCTTGTGCGTCCGCTTGTCCGGAGTACTACACCAGCAGCCACCCAGCCGGCACGCAGAACGGCCACCTGAAACTGGACGCGGATAGCCGAACGCTGATCCTCCCGCGGTGTTGCCCCTGGCAGGAGCATTTGCTGGATATCGAACACGAGTTGAACATCGCGTCCGATAAGGACAAGCAGATTCTCTATTGCATTTTCCCCGATTCCCGGTCCGGGTCGTTCCGGATCCAGGCGGTGCCGAAAATCCGAGGGTCGTTCGAAAACCGAAAGCCGCTGCCGAAGCCCTGGCGCGGGGTCCGCGACGACGAGCTGTCCGGGGTGGCGGGCATCCCCGGGTGCGTTTTTACCCACGCCAGTGGGTTTATCGGCGGAAACCAAACCTTGGAAGGCGCCAAGGAAATGGCGCGGAAAGCCGTCGAGTTTCCGATGGAGCAGAACTTATAGCGATTGCGGTTCTTGTTCACCTGCTTGCAAACAAGCTCATTTTTGCAGCAGATGTTAAGGATCTAGTAGTCGATTCGGAGGATCATGATAGTGCGGGAATGCTTGTCCATCATCCGACGACTTGCACTTCTGCGAAGAACATCTTGCTTCTAGAAGCTGAAGCTCCGCTAGCACTGGCGTCGTGTGATAAACCTCCTATGCAGAAATGTGCCCGGTATGCTAATCAAAATCAAGTAATCCATGTGACAAAAATCAATTGGCTCGACAGTGTGGGCGCGCAAGAGCTTTTTTGTGCCCGAAAAAACATCCGAGGCTTGAGGCCACACTTCTGCTTGGTCACGGTGACGGTGAGTCAGTGGCACGACGTGTTCCGATTTTTCCGAAGAAAGAGATCAAAAATTCACGTGCGTTTTGTTGATGTAGGTGACGATCTTCTAGCAATGCTATTTCGCGGGTGCGACGACCCATCCTCGCTTCATCGGCATTCGTGCACTCGTAATTTTTATACGTTGCATGTTGACACAAGAACGGTCTAGCTCTAAGCAAGTATGCGACTGTACAAACATGACGAGCCTGAAGATGTTGAAGGCGACCCGCCACATGGTAAGAAGATCTATTTCATCTACAACTTAAGCTAGTTATCATGTCGCACACGCAAAGCACGATGCGCAAGTCCTAGTGAAAGACAACAGCATCGCCGACGTGTCGTATGATAGGATCTCACTTTACTACCAACACCCTAGCCCGTCTGGCAAGCTTGGCAGCCTTCAAGGTTGCCCATGGTTCCGTAAAGAATCTCGTTGTAATTATTCGCTGTATTAAAGTTAATTGAGTACATTGTCGGCTTGTATACGATGTAGATTTCCCTGATTACTGTGCTATCGATTTCGATGGGTCTCCCATCAAGGGTAATTTAAATGTGCCTGCCTGACTTCACTTCTACAAAAAAACTACAGGGACGCCTGGTTGTTCGACTTCTACGACACAAGATTAATAAACGCCAGAAAAAAGCTCCTAAGCGCTTCTCTAAGTCCGCCCCAGAATAATATTCTGCCCACAGTGTGAAGTATAGATTTTAGTTCCTTTTCTAGCCGACATTATCATCTACTATCCACTACCGATGTTTTCTTCAGAGCAGAGACTACAGAGTGCTATAGTACAACTGTCTGATATTGCAGGGGCGGCGCAATACAGATAGGATACACATACAGATACCAGAAGTAAATTACGTACTTAATAATTTTCGTTGCTTCTTCTGCATCAGAACTTTTTCACTGATGTCGAAGAAGCCAGAAAAATATCATCTCGAACTACCTGAGCGAAAGATTAGACATTACCCTCACGAACGAACAACGCTCCTGATATTTAGTCAAGACGCTGCTGTTTCGCTAGCGCAGGCAAAACCAGTGCGAGGGGACCTGGTCCTAGGGGCACCTCAGACAAGAGGGTTCTACTTTTGGGAGCCGCAAAGAAAAGCATTATACCATCGAAGTAGAACCAGATCCCATCTTTCTGCGAAGAGCGAGGCGGGATCTACTACCATATTTGACAGGAGCTGGCGCTATTTTTTCAGAAGGAATCGCACAAGTCACTGCGTGAAGCACAGGACGGTACGTATAAACGTATGCTAGTAGCTATAGCTTCGTCATCAAGGAGGAAACAAAGCCTGCTCCTAGTAGAGCGGAACAATAGTTGTCAAAGCCTCGCCACATCAAAGAGAAAACCCCTTTTAGCACCATCATCCACGACTTGTGATTTGTAAAATCGCTGATTTTGGGGCATAAATTGCTTCTTAGAACCAGACTTACACTTCACATTTTTCAGAACTCCACTCCTCGTCAAAAAGTTGTGCCGGACACATACTAGTCACAGAAACTAGCCCAGCTAGAGTGGACCTTCTACTCTTCAGCTCACAGACTATATCTGGCTACATTCGTGAGATTTAGCACTGGAGATGTAACTTGTATATTCAAAGTTTTTTTTTCTACCCACGACTTCGGACTTCCCTTGGGCGAAATTACTATGCCGATTTCGCCTAAGTAGAGGTGCGGGCTGGAAGAAGTATAGTGAACATTACTAATTTCACCTCTACTACTTGCCAGTATAAAAACCAGCACTAGTGATCGAAGCGCTTTCGCTCGGCTTGTTGCATGGCAGGTCGGGAGAAGATAGACGCGTGCGATTCCTCAGGCGGTGAAAAATAAATACAAGACCAGGAAAGGAAATGACATAGACGCGACCTCCACCAACACCACACTATTACAATTTTCGCCCGCAGCCGCACACAAGTGGAGGACCCTTAGCCTGCGCTGGTTGTAACCGTCACATTCACCACCGGCCATTCCGATTTTTTTAGCTCTCAAGCTACTGCAGCCAGTAACTGCTTCTGCCTACCTGCATTCCAGAAAATTTCTACTCTTTGTACGATGATACCGCGCATAAGTGCGAACGAAGCTGCCGCGTCATGCTATACCATAAACTCGCGCACACCAAAAAAAAACATAAAAAAAAGCTGTAGTGATAAATAGTTTATTTCTGTTCATGTGACAGTAGCATCGCATAGACAACAATTCTTGCAAGGCATGATATCTTGAGTAACCACTTCAATACATATGTCGATTCTGCAGTAAAGCATATTTACTACTTTGTGATTACGTTTTAGTTTTTCCCACCAATTACATCTCGTTTATTCATCATTTAAGCTATCACAAACAGACACAGACTTTTTTTTGTTTGCATCCATCCATATCCAAACGTCTTGCGCATGAGCAAGGAGTAAATTCCGATTCAACGAGCTAGTCTATGGTCCCGGACAGCTCCCTTTTCGTTTTATCGAAACACTGATGTTGCCGCTTTTCTAGGTCGTGTAAAATACTTGTAGGCAGTTCAACATAGAAAAATAAGTTTCTCGAATCGAAAACGGGAGCAAAGAGAAATATGGGCGTCGTCCTCGTGACCTGCTAGTAGTGTCACTCTTAGCTAGCACGCGTACGACGATAGGCGCATAGCAGAAGTGCATTGCCATTGCTCTCGGGTGGGCGACCACACGTCACAGTTGTAAAGACGTACGGAGGATCGTCCACCAGCAGGTCAGTCTGTGCCTGATCTCATCTTCATCCGCCCGGGAAAACTGCCACAGCCGGAGACCGACACCGAACAAGAGGAGTAAAGATATACGACTGGAGTAGTTAAGTTTACACTGCTCTGTAGACAACACGAACACACACAGTTGCATCTTCTACATATAATAATTCCCGCGTCACCAGAAGTCCTCCTCCAGAGACGAGATGGAGGAGCAGGATTTGATGGCGCGGAGGCTCCGACGGGTCCGCGCCCGGCAGATGCAGTACGAGGCACAGTACTCCTCGAGCAGCGCGACGCCGCCGCACGGCGAGAGGCGTCCAGCCGGGGAGCAGTCCTCCTCGATGATGTCGCCGAGTACAAGTGGCGAAGCAGCAGATGTTGGCCGATCATACGCGTCACCTCGACCTCCCACAAGAAGTGGGGAGAGTAGTAAACACTGTTCCACCAGCAGCGCCAGGAGTGCAGCTGCCAGCAGCAAGAGCATCTCATGCGGCAGAAGTAGTGCGGCGAACGCCAACAACGAGAACGCCTCCAGTGTGGGGCAGGAATCCAGAGACTCCTACGGAAACTTCACAACGAGCTCCCGCAGCACAACAAGAGCAGGAGGTGCTCGACGGTCACCGCGGAGAAATTTGATTAACGCCGCACACCGTCGCGAGAACGCAGCCGAAGATCATCCCGGGCGTAGAACGGTCTCTTCGGAGCAGGATTCTCACTCTGCTGATGTGGACCTCAAATTATACGCAGCGGGCGAGCAACATGATCCATGTCCATCTCACACTCGTCTGCCTCTCGGGAGTACGGATTCTTCCAGAACTCTCGGCAGCTCAAGTTATAACAACAGCAGCAGCCCACCGGGCAGCACCAGCAGCCAGAAACACAGTGGTCGCCGCGGGGGTGAAGATGATGTTCATCATCTTCACACGCACAGGAACAAAGTCGAACCTGCTACCCCTGGAGGCTGGAGCACGAGCTTACCCAGCACGAGTAACGGCACGAGATCGTCAACGTCACACCCGTCGCAAAGTCCGACGCATTTGACCGACGACTCGTCACTGCTGAGCAGTCCCGCGGACCTTCGGAGCGGCGGATTGCCGCCCGTGGCAGTCGTTGAGCTTTTGCAGAGCCAACCACCGCCTGTGCTGGTGCCTACCGCCACCAGCGCAGCCGTTGCGAGAGCAGGAGGCGTTAGTGGAATGAACACACCAGCAGGTGGTGCCCCCACATCTGCGTCGGTGCATGCAACCTCATCGGCATATCCTCGGGGACAGGGTCTGCCCTTACTGCAGCATAACCGACGCGCGAATTATGGAAATGCGCGGGAGACGGATCTTAACTTGAGAAGACAAGCGCGTCAACACGAGGACCAAACCAGCGCACGGGGCTCAGTGCATCTCTCGACATCGAGTAACAGTGAGGTAAGCAACAATAGCAGCACGAATTCCCCGGAGCAGCACTTTTTGGACGGCGGGCGGGAATCGATGCAGTCGGATCAGCAATTCGATATCGGAGAAGCCTTGGGAGAAGTAGATCTCCAAGACGAGGATTTGTTTGAGCAGCGGCCTTCCCAGATTCAGCCGAGGAAGGAAAATCCAATCATCAACGGCATCGCAAACAACTTTCCGGCCTACGCGTCACCAGGAATATTGGGAGCTCTCATCGCCTGTCGCTACACCGCGAAAAGCATGTAAGGATGCTTCATGTGTCTTTCTAATAGCTATTTGTTGGCCCAGGTCCTGCCATGACGATCTTTTAACTCTCTTTTCCTTCTGATTCTTTTGCTTTTCTGCACGAAAAATTTCTTGCTTGCAATGTTAAGACACAATAAACAACTTTTTCAGTGTCGAAGCGGGCGTGAACGCCGCCGACCTGAGTCAAGCCGAACCGTCAAAGATGCTTACCTTTGCGAGTGCGTCCAAGCAGTTCCTGGGGAGGGCGCCGTTTCAACTGCAATCAGAGCAGGTGATCTCGTCTGCAGGTGCAGGAGGAGCCGAATCAAGCTCCGTAGTCGCGGGAGGACCTGCAGCAAGTGGTGTAACTCTTGCAAGCGGAGGTGCGTCGTCTTCTGTCGCAAGCGTCACAGGAGCTGCTGTCGAGTACCCGGGCAGCGGCGCCGATATTTCGTATTTCACGGACAACCACCCGAACCCGGCCACGTCGCTGGACGAAGCGTACAGAGCGCTCGGAGCCGGGTACTGCGTTTCGCAAAACAAAATGAAGACCTAGTACCATGGCGGTGTATGCATGTAGTCGTGTCGCATGTGCATCATACTGCCACCTGTGTTTCTGTGTCTCGTGTAGCTATTTCTATATGTTCTATTACTAGCGGCAGGGACACGACACCTATTTCTATACCAATGGGCCTCACTTGATGAGATGGCAGATGTAACTTCATACTAATCAAATCTACCACAGCTCCACCGCCCGTCTTAACGCTCAACTCCGCATGGAGATGCTTCAGAGACCGCATCATTTAGCGCCGCAAAACACGACGCCGACAGCTGCAGCTGCGCACACGGGAGCGGGCCCGCCCGCGCCAGATCTGTCGCCAAGCCACGAGCTGCACCACTTTGACGAGCATGTGATGGACGAGGCCGTGGGTGGCACGACTGCACCACCCCCAAGCACTTCTGCGCATCAACCCCTCACCACCGCTCGTCCTCCACCGTTTGTGCCAACTGCGGCCTTGACAAACAACTACGGGAGCGCGACACTTGGTCAGGAGTATGTGACCAACAGCGCGAACAATGCTGAGTCGTCTGCGAACAACTTCGGCGTGGCGAATCTGAACGCGCAACAAGTCCATCACGTACTGAATAACATGCAGCAGGCGCAACAGACGGAGTTTGCCACCGCAATGCGAGAAATGGTCACCGCAAGGGAATACGCTGACGCCACGGCGAACTTGGCAACTGGCGCGAATGGAGGAGCCATTTGTATTTAAAATATAATTAAAACGCCTGCTGCCTACTTACAACTTTTTGTACCCCTTCGGCCTGATGATTTATCTGTTGGTTTACTTGATGTCTCGTGTTCGAGTTTTTCTTTGGCTGTGCGTGATGCAGCAGCACTCACACCCAGCCAAAGCAGCCTCCAGGAAATAAATCTTTGAACTTATCATGAGTCATAAGTTATGATCACAGCCTTCCAAGACATGCTGCGACAACCCGGCCTGGATATCCTTACGCGACAACCGGGCGGTATGCAAGCCGTGTATGAAGCCCAGCGAAATGCTCCCTCAACGGCTTACTCCTACACGAACAACACGGGCAACAGTGCGGCTTCAGCCTCCGGGGCGTCGGCGCACCACAACTTCAACGCAGCAATGAATGCGGGCACCACACCAGGCACAGCATCCGCGTCCCCGCCGCCCCCTCTGGCGTCGATGGAAGCTTTGTCCCTGCAGAGCTACCAAAACGAATCGCAGCGGCTGAACGACACTCTGCGGAACTACTACAACTCACAACTGGGAAGGAGCAACTGGGTATCAAAAGGAAAAATCCCCCCTCCCCACATCGAAAAGGTATGTTTCTGAAAATTTGTGTTGCTGATTTGAGGTCACAAATCACGTCTGTCTTGCAAGAAGACAGGCGCAGAGGCTTCCGCGCCATTATGGAAGCGATTTGGCATGCTGTTGCGCCTAGGGGGCACCCGTTTGCAATGCTAAGCAACTAGACCTATACGCCCCTACCTAGGCCGAGGATCTGGCTGCGATGCCTTACTGCAAGACCAATCCGATTTGTGTACCCAAATCCTGCATCACAGATTTCCATTTCGATATGGGGAGGGGGGATTTTTCCTTTTAATACTGGGTCGGGCCGGATGGCAGGGTGCACAGCTACTGGGATTTGCGGCATCCGTACCTGAATGACCACAGTCTGCCGGTGCAAAACAACCCGCTACCAATGCCTGACATGGTGGGCGGGGAAGGAGGTAGATGAAGACAGCAAGTTTCTTGTTCTTAGAACGCATGCGCAGCACCAAGCAGTATTTTTTGGGATTGGGGCGCGACACCTTTCGGTGTTGTATTATCCTTTCCGGTTTGGGTATGTTCACATAGTATTTTTAGGTTCAGAACATGCGTTTTGCGCGCTTTCTCTGATCGGGCCGTCCTACGCCCCACCGCCACATCTTCTTCCCTACGATTCTATGTCCTGTTTCCGCCCCTGTCCGACACCAGCGTCGATAGGGTTTTGAGGGTCTTAGGGTTTAGGATATTTGATCTTAGAACGCATGCGCAGCTCAACAATCAGACATGAATATGAACAAATTAACTGCCTCTGACGCAGCGGAGTAGGAGTCTTTTATGCATTAGACGGAAATTCAGCACAACATTTTCAATCAAGGTCCTCCCATCCCGCCTCCTCCGGGTCTGGACAACAGCGGCAACGCGCCGAATCCATTGGTAAACGACCATTACTCTGCTTCAGACGACCAGCCCCCACCACCCCCACCACCAGAACCCCCCGCGGCTGGTGCAGCAGCAGTGGGCGCCGCCGGAGACAAGTTGCCCCTGCAGAGCACAGCGGGCCTCGACAACTCCAACCCCGGTCCGGATGGCGGATCCCTAGGCGCAGCGGGCTTGTTGCAAGCGGTGCCCTGGCAGGGCGCGGCGCACGGAGCCGAAGTCGCGTTGTGTGTCGCGACTGTGATTGAGGCTTTCGGATACTTGCTGGAGCATGGGGTATTGCTATCATGTCAGGAAGGATGTAGCTGCTCATTTTGTTGTTGTAGTAACGCTAGCGCCAGCGGCGAAAATTTATAGTACAACAGGAAAGTGTGTTTACTAATAGTTTCCGTAACGTCCAACATCAGGACTCCAACGTCGCCCTGGAACGGCTGCAGCAACGATGCAAATACGCGATGTCTCGGGGCGCGGCAGTCGGCGCTCTGTACCAAGCCTGCGGTCAATTTGCCTGTCCGCTCGCCACGGTAACGGGCATAGTTGCCGCGGGAGAGGCGATAGCCGGCTACAAAAACGCACAGTACGACCGATCCGCGCACGCAGCGGTGAGAGGGGGCGCGACTTTTGCGGCTAGTTCAGCAGCGATCACCGGAGCCAAAAGTGTATCAAGCGTTCTCGCATTCAGCGGCGGGGCCGCAGTCGTAGGACCAGCTGGGGCGGGTATAGATGTTCGTTTCAGAAGGCGCCGCATTGAAAACGATTCACAACAAGTGTGAAAATCTATTACTGTGTACGCGAAAGAAGTACTTGAAACCAATTTCAAGATACGCATATATGCAACTACATCAACAGCATGGCCAACATAATCTTCAACTTCTTATTTCTAGGTGTCTTGACTGCACTGGCCTCCGCCTACTGCGCATTTATGATCGGCGGCATGGCGGGAGAAATGGGAAAAGAGTTCCTGGCAACGCGGTATGCACTGCAAAAGTATCGTACTAGTATAAATCGCATTACAAATTTTCCCAAGAACAAAAATGCAACTTGTCATGCTATTTCAGGTAGAAACTTGGACTTGTCATGCATATCTGCAATTAGTACGAGCACGATACTTTTGCACAGGATACGCGGGCAGAAAGAACGAAAGTGGAGAAGGCCTTCAAAACCATTTTTGGCGACGACGTCTCCTTTGAACCAAACACAACGCTGAACAAAGCTATGCTAAGGAAAGCGTATTGCTTTTCTTTTTCAAAATCGTTTTTGTTTACCCTTTTGTACGATAGAAGTCACGTGCATGATACTCTAAGACAGGGCCTCTCGCGCTCCCGGAAAAGTTCATGATAGATGTTGTAATGTAGCGCCGGAGCAGCCTGGCTCTGGATCCTCGTATTGCCTCCAGGCAGGATAGTAAAGGTACTATCCACGATGACTCTACAAGCAGATTTTTGTAGTGCAAAAAGAAAAATGAAATCGATGAAAATGAGAGTTAAGCAAAAATTCAAACAGCTACTACACCACTAGCCGTGCCTTCCACCCGGACAAGGGCGGCAGTCGCGAGAAGTTTGTCGAGCTGGCGGAAGCTTATCAGATCCTGATCCAGCATCTGAATAAACAAACGCGCGAGTTGAATGAGCAAACGTGGTTTCACCTGCTCTCTGCCGGCTACTTTGTGAACAACGGGGAGAATAACACCGGCACAAATCCCTACAGCCACCAATTCTGCCACGAAAACTTTGACCCCACGAAGCGCGTCAGGCCGTGGTGGCACATAGCGCCGTGCGCGAGATTCTTGTCGACGGTAAAGCAGCTGGTGGGGAGTAAAGCGAGGGCAGCGATCGAAAGTGCAGCAGCGGGTGGCTCCTGCGGAATGTTGAACACGGTCACTGATTCTGAAGACTACGATCTACACGGCGGTAAAGATGGTGATGTAAATTCATCTCGAAGACGTCGCAGCTCGTTGCAGAGGAGCAGGCACGACCAGATTCAAACGGCTGGAGCCGCAGTGTTGGCTGGCTTAAGTTGCAACTACTACATGCGGAACAGGCTGAGCGAAAGAAGTGGGAGTGATTCGGAGGATTTGTACGATGACAACACAGCAGAGAGACTCTCGATCGAGGATGGTAAAGTTTGTGAAGATGAGAACAACCCTTCAGCACCAGAACATCAAGGACATCACCCTAAACCCTTGCACAGCAGCAGAAGTTGCGCCACCAGTACGACAACGCAGATCGCCACAGCTGGTGCAGAACCAGCGGCAGAAGAGGATTCGGCGAGGGTCAGCGAACAGTCTACCGCGGAAGTTATCGACGACGGAGCATTTTCGTCGACGAAAAATGGTGGAAACGAGACGGCGAACGAGGACACAACGTGCCCCACGACGTCGACGACCAAGTCCAGTTCCTCGGACTTGGACACGTGCTCTCACGACGACGACGAAATTATCGGCGACCGAAAATCAGTCTCGTCAACCGGGTCAAGCCTGCGCTCCGCGGAAGACATCCACGCCATGGTGCGCCCGGAAGCGACGACGGACGACGAGCAGTCTCTATTCGGCAACACATTACTTGCTTCCGGTGCAGTTCCTGCTGCGATTTCCGACAATCTTCCCGATGTGACAGCGTCTACTCCTGAGGGGGGACGAGCAACAAGGAGCAATAGCAAGAGCACGGCTTTGACCGAAGCGCAACTCCAGGTCGTCCAGGAGCAACTGAATAATGGGAGGCAAGGACTGCAAGTTGGCGCGGTTTCTTGTTTTAACAGCAACAATTACGAAGATCCGATGAACAATAACAATCACCCGCAATCCTGTGCGCCCCAGAGACACGATCCCGCGTTTGTGTCCGAGATGATGCGCGGCGGTGAGAACAGAATACAAACTACCGCAAGTAGGACGAACTGCCTCTTCTCCTCTGCTTCCCAAGTCGGTCGAACCAGGAGTGCGTCGAGTAAGAGGTCGAAGTACACAAACAAGTTCGGCATCACAATTGGCGGTGTTGACCATGCAGCAGTCGGCTCTTCTCGCGCCGCTGGCAATGGAGATGGTACAACTGTCGTAGGAGTGCAAATAAATTCATCTTCAAGGAAAAACAAAACGCCCGCCTGGGCGACCCCTACGAACCGGAGTTCCTATGTACCCAAAATCATGCCGTATCGGTACAGCAGGAGTGCGTCAGGGAGTAAGAGCTCCTCGAAGAGCAACACGCCAAAGAGCTTCACTGCGCAGCGACAGACGAGCGGCGGTTGTTCAAATTCGACCATAATGGGCGGGGGCAGCACAGAAGCTAGACAGCCTGAAAACCAGAGTTCTTCCTGGACGTCTTCGCTTTGGAGCAAGTTTTCGTCGCAGTTTGCAGCTACAACGAAGGAAAACACAACACAACATGAATCTGCAGACGTCATCACGACCACATTCGACCAATACGCAACGGACAGTACGAAGGCGCCGACAACGGTGTTCAGTTCGAGCGGTAGCTCCTCCAGCAGCAGCTCCAGCTCTGTCAACCGAGGTGCCTTGGTTTCTCGAGGACAGTACAAGGCCCACCACCGGTCCCGACCCGCGAACAAGTTCGAACACCAGTTCGCCACCTCCACCTCTATGCTCCACTACTTCAAGCAGCAGGTGATCGGGCGCGACAGCAGCTCCAGCGGTCGCGACTCCTGGTCCAGTAGCACCAGCAGCCAAGAGAGCTGTACTGCGCATCAAAACCGAAAACGCGCGGATGGCCAGGCCTTCGCTCCTGGGGGCCCCTCGGAATTCGACCCACCGTCGTCCTCTGCTTCATCCTCTTCCAGCAGCTCGAGTTCTTGCGCGTCAAACAGCTCCAATGCGGAAGAGATGCAGCAGTTGACTGGGAATGAGGAAACGGAGATCGACGAACACGAGCTGTTCACTCCCAGAACCGCCGCGAGGTTCCGGGGCCGAGTGCGGGAGAAGGCAAATCAACTTGGCGGAAACAAGAAACAGAAAACCGTGGGAGCGATGGTGGGAAACGTGGTCCGTTTCACGCCGCACTGCGGCAGGGTATTAAGTGACACCTCGACCTCCTCTACGGAAAGTTGCGCTGCAGGAGGAGAGCATCGAAGTACCAAGGACGCCGGGGTACTAAAGAATGCTGATTGTTCAGGAGCAGGAGGACGGGGAATATTAATGCCGAGTGGTCGCGCTGCAGCGTACGGAGAGGGCGACCCCGCAGACGACGAAGCTGAGGACGAGGCGGGCAAGATGCAAAGCAAACCGCCCACGGTGGAGAGCCTGACGCCGCGCATCAAGAACATTTCGGAGTCGCGAAGACAGCAGCTGCAGGAAATCATCAAGGCAGGGCAAAGCTTGAAGGAACTGAAGAAACGAAATCATGGAAACGAAACTTCCAGCACTGCGCTGAAAGGAGGCTATAGTACTCTTGGTACGACCATGACTGGAGCCTCTCCCACCTCCGGAAGAGGCGGCGCAGCGGGTCGTGATAGTTCTGAAATGGGGGTCATGCACCAGCATGGAAATACAAGTAGCGCTAATGGTAATGCCACAACACCTCATATGCCGCGCACGAAGACTCTGAGCACAGACGGTGATCGGTCCTGCAGGAACAAGAACAGCATTTCGCTTTCGGGTCTCCAGATGACACCGAAATCGTCTATGAAAGAGTCCGACTCGGTGAGTTGCCATCATTCGAACAGTTCGTCGCACCAATATATCAAATGTAAAAATGTCTGGGTCTGGAAGATTGCCAGGTTTGTCATGTACATTTTGCATGACTCCTCAAGTCTGTGACGCATGCCCTAGCATCACAGATTTTCAGAGGACTTCCTGAAGCCTATTCCGCATGACAAACGCTCTTTCCGTGTTGCAAAATTTGGACTCTCTGTGCTGCTCATGCAATACAGATTTTTTTAGAATCCAAAATCAGCATGACAAGTTGGATTCTTCCAGACCCAGACATTTTTACAGTTGATACAATACAAGGACTTCTCAAATGGAGGCTCCACCTCCACTTCTCCTCGGTACACCATGTCGAACCGGACCATATGAACTGCAAAAGTATCGTATTCGTAGTATTGCAATACAAATTAGCTCAGCATGACAAATGATATTTCTCATGCTGATTTAGCTTGAAGCTGAAATGTGTCTTGCATGACTGCGATTAGTACGAGTACGATACTTTTGCACTGCATAGACCAACAGCAACTGCAATACCAACAGCACCAGCGGGTCCACAACCGAGGTCGTAGTGATCCGACAAAACCCAGACGGTACCACACAGCAAGAGGTCGTTACGCAGCCGCGGGTGAAGAAGATCCAGATGTTGGCCGGAGCATCTTCTCCATCAGGTTGCACGCAGGACCTCCGGCAGGAGGAGCGCAATGCTGTCGCCGTTTCAGCACAGGAGCTGAACCCTGTCGGCAGGAAGCCCGGCGCCACGAACAGTAAGCACGAAGATGCGAGCACAGAACCCACCAGGACACCACGGAGTAACAGCACGGCCCGGTTCCGAGATCTGGAGAGCTCTAGCAGCTGCTCCAGTGTGCAGGATCAAACACCGGTGAACAGCCAGATTGCCGTCTACACGACAGGTCTGGGGTGTGCTGGTGTAGCCGGGGGGCTGCAGCATCCAGGAATGGGTATGATGGTGAACAATAGTACCCATGTAGAAGTTGCGCCAGGGATGCAGATGGTGCACCAAATGCACAACTTGCATATGCATCACTCCAGTGCTGGCATGAACTTCGGAATGAACGCAGGTGTTGGCAGCAGCTCTCAACATCCACATCCTCACGGCCATGGTCAACAACACCAACATCAGCATCATTCACACAGCGACTACCTGGACGAAAGCCCGATGTCGGTGCTGAGCCAGCAGAGCAATCGGCCACCTCACGTCGTCGAGCACTTCGTCAAGAAGGCGTCATCTTTTTTTGGGGTGAATGCGCCTGCGACCATGTTGACAAGCGCTGCAGGGGGAGGGAGCAGAACTACTGGCACGTCGCACATGCAGCAGCAAGTAGTAGATCCTCTGCCAACTAGCAATAGTGTCGATGAAACAAGAAGTGCAGGTCCGGACCTGCTGAGGACGCCGACTCCAGTGTCCAAAAAATCCAACTTGTCCAGCCGGGTTCAGCAGCAGGAGAGCGTCGAGCTTTTCGACCGACCCAGCCCGCAGACGGCGCGGCCAGCGAAGCAGGTACGAGGTTCTGGCAAGGGAATAAATAGTTGCTGCTCAACATCGCCAAAAAGTGGTGCAAAAAGCATAAGCAACGGATCAACGTCGGGCGTTCGGAGGGTGCTGTTGAGCAACGAGCACCAGCATGATACCGAAAGACATCACAACAGCGTTCCTCTTAAACAAGCGCCGACCCCGCAGCAGCTCAGTGCAGAAAACATTCGGCAGTGGGAAAGCATAAACAAGAGCCAGACTGTCCACCAGCAGCAAATGCAATTGCAAAAGAACCATCAAAACGCCAACTCTTCAGTTACCCGAAAGCTCACCTCGCGGTCGCTGCAGAACTTGAATCTGCAACAGGGCGGGACGCGTGCCATCGGCTTGAACCATGCCCGAATTGCGATGGCCGTCGACCGCGCGGACAAGACCACCGCAGCTCAGCTGAATATGAACCCTAGAGGAATGTTGATGAACGCAGCTGGCGGTAGTACAACAAGTGCTCCTAACTGCGGCGCAGGTGCTGGTGCCACCGGCTCCTCCACCTGTGGGATGAACAGGTTTCAACAATGCGGATCCTCCAGCGGAAGTCAATCCTGCCCGCACCACCGCAGCGCCACGTTGGGTCGGCACATCAATCCAACACACGGTGCTCACCAGCTGCACAACAGAAACGATTTTCGGAACCGCCAGCAGCTTTTGTCCAGCATCAACGAATATCAAATGCAAAAATGTCTGGGTCTGGATGATTGCAACTTGTCATGCTAAATCTGAATCAGGCAAAAACTTGTGTTGCATGATTGCCAAAAGTTGTGCACTTTTGACCTAATCGAGAGGCAGTTTCTCATGCAGGATAGGCATTCGAAAGGTCTCGCAGAATCTGTCATGCTAAGTCCTACATGCCAGACCTCATGGGTCATGGAAGACCTGCATGACAAATCAGGCAATCTTCCAGACCCAGACATTTTTACACTTGATAACGAAGACGACTACAGCTCGTCCGACGATTTCAGCAAGCAGGGGGAGAACACAACCTGCTCCCAAAAACTCCAAGCGAAGAGCCCCAACAGCTTGCGCAAGCAGTGTCGCAGCCAGACAGCCGGCGCTTGCTGCCCAGGCGGAGGTTCTGGAAGCAGCAGTTCCACATCAGGGAAGAACGGCAAGAGCAATGCGAATGGCGCGAAACCAGGCAGCTCCTCTGCGAGCTGCAATCCGCATGACAGCACGACGACCCGTCGGGGCTCCCGGGCTGCGTCGAGAAGCAGTTCTGAGCGGAGCTCCTTTGCGGTGTGCTTTTCCGATAGCAGTCACCGAGACTCGCTCTTGCGCGACTTAGATGAGGTGGACAGCAGGCGGTCGGGCGAGACTGGAAGGGATAATTTGCTAGTACACCATGGCAATCAACAGAACATGGCAAACTGCGCGCTGCCGCCTCCGAAAATCATTTCCTCAGCGGCAAATTCCAAGGAAAATAACGCCGGTAATCATGGTGCGACAACGTCGTCGTCGAAGCGGATCCACCACCTCGGGGGCCACAAGCATGAAAGCAAGAAGCACCGAAGCGATCTTCCGAAAGGAACTACACCCCCCTCTTGCCGCGGGGTCGCGCCGGCTTTGTGCAGTAGTGCGAATTTAGGCACCAAAATGCGTGTGGGCGGAATGAGCTTTGTTCCACCTCCGCGCGGCCGCAGTGGGCTAGTGGCGGACGATGGGGGCGGGCACCACGAGATGATGCAAATGATCTCTACGACGACTACCAGCACGAGCCACCACGGTTTTCCAAGAGGAGTAGTCCCTTCTGGAGTGAAGCAAAAAGGCTCGGCGGCAACGGAATTCCTTTTTGTTTGATGAGAGAGAGGAAATATCACCGCACCCTCCGGAGGGGCAGCCCCAGGCTGTGACTTCTAGTAAAAAAGTAGTGCTACGCTTAGCATGATCTGCCGAGCATACGTAAAACCACTGTCAATACATGTCAACTTGTCACAAGGGCGCGGTGCGTCAAGAGCGAAGCTGCTTTAAGCCCGAACGACCCGACCACGTTTTAGATGATTTATGAAAACTTTCGATGCAAAGCATGTCAATACGAGGCCTCGACGCAGCAAGCTATCGAGGTCGTCGTTTAATACTTGTCAAAGACTATGCGCCATTAATATTCGAGATGAGCAAGCTCAAGAAGATTTATCACGAGGTCGCGTCTCCTGGAAGCGATTTTCCATCGAGAGTCGCTCTCTGGCATGATGATGATCAAGGAAACTCGTAAAACAAAGGTAGTACTAGAATTGTTCTTCTTACAAGCAATAGCAAAGATTTTTTTCCATGAATGACTATGCGATGACTCAACCAAAACTTATAAGAAAGTAGATACAACTTAAGATGTTTTCCATGAGACGGCCGCCAGTGTCGTGTGCAACTTCTTTTGGTACCTGGTTAAATACCTGTCCAACCGCCGTTGCTGAATCGTGCGCTGGCGGCTTCTAAACAAGGAAAAGCTGAGCCAACGAAGTGTAGATACCGTTTGAAGCTAAAAGGTGCCGCATTGCTTTATATTTTTTTTCCAAACTCTTCTATTGCAGGACGATGATAGATCCACCTAATGCCGACCTTGGTGCTCCGCCGTGGCAGAGGCCGAGACTCGGATAGGGAAGACTACATCATTTTTTTCTTATTCTGTATACAGTATGCAAACCACTTATAACAAATGTAGTTCTTTATCTTTTCAAAAAAACACAACTGTCAAACGCGCATCAAGAATTCTGATTATATGTTTATGATTCCAGCACCACCATAAACAACACGGAAGACGAGAAAGTTTTTGTAGTTTTTCATCGAGGATCGTTTTTTTCTGGCAGTCACATGAGTTTCTTGCCATAATACACTAAGTGTACTACTTTCTCAACGCCGTGTGTTTAGTTTTCGAAGATCAGGCTCCTCGCTCTGCGAGCGAGCCCGATCAGATTTTTAAATGACTACAACGCTTCAGAAATTGAAATGCTGCATATGCACCACTTGTATTTATTTTCTAAATACTTTTTTATTTTTTTTTGCCGGCTTAGCTTCCACTATTCGAGGTTCTGTCCGCTCCTTTTCTTCATCGCTATAGAAACTTTACTATCTAAATGTCAATACTCAGAAAAGATTTTGCAATCGTCTGAGCCTTCAGAAGGCAAGAAAATCTATCCGCGGAAACATGTTGAGCAGGGATGGTCGCCAAAACGACTGTCTCTATGAAGATTTTTCATACGCAGACCATATTGACTCGTCATTTCTGAACAAACCGAGCCCGTTCTAGTCAGCGACTACTTCTCTTTCAATGCGCAAGAACAAGAAGCCTGAGTTTCGCTATTCCGTTACATTTATTGCGGCCGCTAATTGAAATAGGGATGACGGCGCTTCTTTCGAACTACCTGTGAGCAAGCTTGTTGACGAGAATATTTTATTCGCCAGTCGCGGCCATTGCGTACTACGCAGCAGCCGCTATCATATTTTGTCTCAAAGAGGAACTTGCTTACGGTAGATCATGCGCGAGAAAAGAGTCACAACGATCCACCCTCTTTCTAGAATCGGTGGGGGTTGAAGTGATGTTCATGGTCAACATTGTGCTTTTTCTATCCGGATTGTGAAATCTCGATTGAAAAATTGCGGCGAGAAAACAAGAACAGGCGTAAAGGCCCCCGCTTGAACTAGAATTTTTCGGAAAACTCTTCACCGCCAGCGGGTGGCGTTTTCAAAAACCTCTTCTTCCGCAAGCGAGGATTGACAGCACAATCGGAAACGACAAGGTACATATTGAGAATGAACACTGGTGCGCTGACTAGGGCTAGAACAAGGGCATTTATGCAAAAATGCACGCACCGCTATAGCAACACTAAATTATTTTTTCAGACGTTGCGACGAAGGTTATTGCTCCGCCTGAAGCAGTAACTCTTTAGAAATTTTAAATTACTAGAACGCATAAAGCATGCGCACTTCTCCTCAACAGCTTTGCAGCTGCCAAACACGACCCAAAATGTCAATACGTAGCTGATATACAGCTACTAGGACAAATTTTCAAACTTAAATGCAAATGCATTTCTTTGATAATTTTTTCGAACTTCATATTCATTTTCTCCTGGATATAATATTTTTCCACGCCACTTTGCAGTGCACAATTGATGCAGTGCGGGGAACTGCAGCAATTCATACCTGGAATTAGAAGGCCCATAACAATCTACCGCGCAAGGTTGTGAGGAGAAAATGCTCTGCTTTGAAGAAAAAACATGTGAAGATTTTCCTGGTCTCTAACTCTATCCATCATAGTGGTTCTCTACCATCAGTGCCCTTTTTTGCCATGCTTCTCTACCAACATTAACGCCTGCTAGTCATCCACACAATCAACAACGAAAACGAAAGAAACTGCTTTGTGCAATGCCTGGAAAAAATTTCTGAGCCGAGTTTTCGCCGTTTTTGTTCTCTGCCTCCCAGTATATCAGTCCGCGGCGTTAGCGTGATCGTCATCGTACTACCCTCATAAAGATAATCGCTTCGATCGTGGGTCTTGCCTTATCGTTGTCCCTCAGATAATGACGTCGGTGCACAAATAGGCCGCTACCTCAGGTCTTTCGGTTGTGATCGTAGTCACATTGAAGTCCTCGGTCTTCGTCATGGTTGTGGCACATAATCTGGTGGAAAAAGTCGTTGTTGTTAAGCATGTATGTGGAAGTTGCTCTACGCAGCAATATGTAGAAAATTGCACAACAAGGATCAGATTCTGCACATCAGTTGCAACTCGTTTTTCAGTTGTGTCGTGTCGATAATTCGAATTTTGCAGATGATTGCATATTGTCGTGTTCATATCGTCCGAGTAATACAATAAATGTATCTATTGTAGTTAAGCATCTGAAGATCCGTGGAAGTATTCATCGGAAGGGGCAGGAAACCTTAGCATTTCCTTTTTCGCGAATGCCTTTGTCTTGCGTTTCCCTCCAGTCGTCGATTGAAAGTTAGTTTTTGCCTGACCTTCTATGTGTTTTTTTTCAAAGCGGAATCTAAAAGTGAACCTCTAACTAGAGCTGGACCACCAAGTAAAGCACCTACATCTACATGTTTTTTTCAAATGGCAATTACCGTTCGCGCGCTGCCACCGAGTATGCTGGGCGCTACGGTGGAGGCGTGCTATCAGCTGCAAGTGCAGGTAGCGGCTCGTCGAGTTCGTCTTCTTCACCCAATGCACGGCTCGTGGCGGCGAGCGCCATGGTACCAGCAGGGAAACCAACAATTGGACCAGCCACCACGTCGCACGACCAGTGGTCAGAACGTCGGCGCGGCCTCGGCCGCTACTCCCCGGAGCGACAGCGGAACATTGACGAGAGAAACGAGGCGGCAAGCAAGCGGTACGAGTCCGACGAGGCCTTTCTGCAAAGGATAAACCGAGGTGGCTCTTCGACATCTGCTGCGAAGAAGAAAACCACAACGCACGATATGACGTTTCAGGATGGCGATCACCAAGCTCACCCGACGAGGAATCTGCCTGGGTCAACACCTTATTCGCAACCAAGCAGAGCAACGGCGGAACAGAAAGTCAGAAGCCTCAAAGACGCGGCCAAGAGGTTCCGTTCCCCGTTCTGGGAGCTGAAAGACAAGTTTAGCGACTTTCCGACTTCCGCCTCGGACTTGACGGTACCGCACAAGAATTTGCTGCAGCAGATCGTCCGCGTTTTGTACCCGCGCAAATTCTACTACAAGTCCAGCTTCAATTTGAACGTGAACGTTTTGTATCGGAGATTGAAGCTGCAGAAAAAAAAGCTCGAGGATTTGCATCTGCTGTCGGGAAGGACCACAGGAGTTTCGGTGGTTTTACCAGGACATGTTGACGAACGCGGAACAGATGCCGGAGGAGGAGGTAAAGCGCAAATGCAAAAGACGGCAGAAGATGAGCAGCTGAAGAAGCTAGCTGGCCAGGAGAAAGAGATGAGGAAAAGAATCAACATAGCGGAGGAAAGGATCGCGGAATTGCGAGACCAGATCAGAGAGAAGGAGCAGCACCGGTTTCTGAACACAGCGAGTACAAAAATCAGCGACACGGAACTGATGCTGCTGAAGTATTCGCCAGTGGATACGGAAAGATTGCTGCGGCGATTTTTGACCAGAATTTTGATCCAGAATTTGGGTAGTGGGGGAGACAGTGGACCACGCGGTGAGGCTGGAGGACCCGGCGTGGGAAATGTTGGCGCTAGTAGCACCACTACTGGCACTACTTCTAGCACTTTGAGGAAGCTGTTTTCTATTTACTTGCGAGACCACGGAGAGGACCAGACACGAAGTGACACAGACGTGCAGGGAACAAAAGATCGTCGTGCCAGTACCACCGACAGCGAAACCGACGGCCTGTTGCGTAGCTCCTCCTCTGGCGAGGAGGAAAAATCGGTCGGGGACCACAAAATGGGGGAAATAACCCGTGCAGGAACCATCGACTTGCGTTCTGGTGCGTTTACGTTCAGCGACTTGCTGAAACTGCAGTTTGTGTTGCAGGACTGGAAGCAACGAGGGACGTTGCGCAACATCGTGACTGACCTAGTAGAGGAGGCAGATGCCCCCGGCAAGGAGACTGAGACCTCCGAACCTGCTCCTGCTCCTGCAGAGCCAGGACCATCACTTCGCATTATGGATTTTTTTGAGCCAAACGAGCTGAAAGCACTTTTCCTCGCGGTTGACCTCCTTGTTGCTTACCATAAATCGAAACGGAAACCGTTTGAAATCAAGGTGCCAAATGAGATTTTTGGCGATGCAACAGCAAAAGAGCGAGAGGAAGAGCTGCGGCGACTGGTTCCTTTTGGAAAAAGCAGTGGAGCTTTGTCTTCCTCCAGCTCTTCTGCTTCCTCTGGGCGGAATTTTCTCGCGAATTTTTGCGGACGCGAGTCGAAGGAACGGCGGGTTTTGCTAGATAAGGAAATGGACTTGATTGTGCTCGCGGTCAACGATTGCCCAGTTGGTATCGACGAGGAAAACGTTGCGAGGACTGCGATGAAAGTTGCTGCAGACGACGAGAGCACAAACGCAGCTGCGCTTCCGTTCGCGAAGCAGCTGTCGCCGAATGCAGTCGTGGCTCCGCAGCTGCAACCAGCAGCTTCGGAAGATCTTGAAGTTGAAGGTCCGTCAAACAGCAAGAAGCGGGTGACGTTTGAAGGCGATACAAAAACCGCCGACACGACTACTGTCAAGGCCGGTGCTCGTGCTCCTTCCAAACCGAAAAGCCCACCGTTTTCCCTTGGATCGTTCGCGGCCGCTGCCGCAGCTGCCAAGCAAACCAGGACAAGGCTGGCGGAACAAAGAAAGGAAGAGACCTTCCTGCTGATAGCCTTGGAGGATTTCGAGCAGGACATCGGGGATGGCGCAGAGTCCTCCGATGCGGATGGCATTCTGTCCGAGAGTTCATCTTCGGAGGGTTCGCCAGAGGATTCGGAAAACGAAGAATTTGCAAGGGTGCCTCACTCGTCAGAGGAGGAGGAGGGAGAGGAGCAGACGCACTTGAGTGCTGGAACCAGGACAGCTAGGTCGAGGTCTACTAGTTCTTTTCACCGCAACAGCGCTGCTTCTGCAGCTTCTTTGCGGTCATTCTTGGCTGCGACTGCCACTCGCGGGATTGCGACGCGGGCAGTGGTCACGCGAGGGAGTAATGGGAGAGGGAGTGCAGGAGTAGGAGATGAGCGTCATCACGTACATCTTCATGCCGACACCAAGCTCGCAAACAGGCAGCGCGCCATGGAGGGGAACAGTGCTGCCGTTGATGATCATGAACACCAATTTTCCCCACACAGTCGACGACCGCATGCTCATCTCCACAGGAGAGAAAACAGCCAAAACGAGCACGCGGACGCGAAGACGCGGCGTCGGTCGCCCAATGGAACTGCGGTAACATCAAAGCCACGACCTGGAACTACGACTTTGAGCAGTTCAACAGGAGCACAACTAGAACTACAAGCACCACATGCAGCGGATCACTCTGCTTTTCCTGAAGCAGGTGCAACTGCTCAAATGAGTCACAATGATCAAGAGCATCGAGAGCAGCATGACCCTCATCTCCCGCTCAACCAGCTTTTATCCAACTACCTGCAAAAAGCAGGGACGAGTTACAAGCGAAAGGCGGATCGCAAGGTTTCGATTGTGGAGCTAGAGCACTTGACACCGATTATCGTCCACGGTATGAAGTACTTCGAAAAAAAGTCGCAGAATACGGAGAGGTTGTTGATCCAAACGCTTCGGGAGTTGAATTTCCGACGCGAAGTGGAGGCGGAGAAAAATGAAAGGCAATGGCTCAGCCCGACTGCTTTTGGAAACAAGACGAGAGCCAGCGCAGGAACCAATCCGTCTGTTTTTTCGCAAAATGCAGCTCGACAAGGTGCGAGTGGCGCGGCGGCGACAGCACCGACTCTCTTCAGTACCAGATACAACAACAACAGCAATGTTGCCTCATCTACAACAACGCCGAATGCGAACGCATTCGCGAGCAGATACACCAGACAAAGCGAGCGCGATTCGGAGGAGTTGTTGATGCTGCGGGAAATGGCGAGGGCTGTGCAGGAAATGCGACGCGACCAGCAATTGGAAAAGCTTGGGACGGTAGTTCGAGAGGAGCACAACAAGAAAATAAACGTAGCCCGGGAACAAACCCAAGGAGCGGTGGGGACTTCGGATGAAGATGATCTTCACGACGAAGAAGGTCATACTACTTCGCGACAACAAACATTCTCGGATGTTGTTGGCGACGCTGAGACCGTAAACGTGGCGCGTAACTTTCACCCCGGTAATGAAGAGCAGAGAATGCGAAGACTGCTGGACGAGATGGGGACGGAATTTTCGATCTTTCCGAAGAAGAAAGTCCCGGACTTTTTCCCAATGCTGCCCGATCCAGGACGAGGAAAGCAAATACATAGCGGGCAAGAGCCAGTCGTGGCAGAATATGCCAGTACGCGTAACGGCGACCCGCCTCCGCGACACGAACAGCAGCATCATAAAGGTCATCACTTGCCGCGCTCCACCTCCACTGCTGGAAGGGCGCAGCATAAGAAGGCCGAGCTTGGCCGCCGTCCTGCACGGTCGCCCGGCCACTCTCACAGGGCCCATGCGCCAGGTGGGTCCTCTGCGCATCATCAGCAGACGCAAGCGGTGCATCACCATGCGCCAATTAGCGACGCAGATCAGCACTTCTACAATCATCATGGTCCTGCTCGTCACCAGGAGGACGCGCCACAGCCTACAACGGCAATTTCTCACTTGCCCCAGCACCACCACAAGCGTCACCTTGCGGGCGTGGCTGGTGAAGCCGATGCACATGGAACTAAAGAGGCGCATGAGAAACCAGCTGTCCTCTGGCGCAGCACTGTGGAGTACTCCACTGAGGAGATGATGAAGCGGCTGAAGCGGGATACCCGGTTCGCTGTAAAGCTACCGTATGAAAGAAACCTTGTCTCATCAACCGCCAGAAGTCGTGCTAGAAAGCCTCAGAAGAATGCTCATGCGCACCACAACGACCACGTTGACGACAATTATCCTGCCCTGGGCCTCGGTCACGACATTGGAAAATTTGAAGCAAGAAGCAAAGCGAGCGCAGCTTTAGGACGAGCAGAGACAGCCACGCTGGAGCACCACAAGGAGAAATCGACGCCGCCCTCTCCTATGCAGCAGGATCATCGGCACGAGGTCGAGGACGGAGAAAAAAACCACAGCGGCACACCGACGGACCGGTCGCGGTTCCACCATACGTTGACAGCGGCAGAAGATCGTGCGGGGCATCGACAGGTCGAGCATCTACGTCCTGGTGGGAAGCACCATCATAGCCACGTTCACGCAAGGCCACACACTAAGATCACGAGGCTCAATACAGACAAGAAAGTTGTTGTATCACATGAAAGTCAACATCAAGATGGCGACCGTGGCGCGCTGTCGCAACAAGGGACGACAAACGAGAATCAGCATAGCCGCGACGATCGTGAAGGAGTGCACGACCTCCATGCTGCCAAACCTGCGGCGCCGGTCCCGAAAAGAACGGCTGCTCCCTTGCAGTTTTATCTAGAAGAGGTTGAGGACCACGAGAACGATCCAATTTTGGCCTCCGAAGTTGTGCCGAAAACGGACTCGAAGCCCAGCAACAGAAACTTGTCTATCGGTGCGGCGATGGAATTGCTTTGCGGAAACAGCAACAGATCCACTTCGAAGACGTCATGGTCTAGTGATAGTTGCAGCAGAAAATCTTCAAAAGCAAAGCCGCAATCGGAACAAAGCTCTTCGAAGGACATGAACAAGAACTTCGTCATTCCACATTCCGATCTTGATGTAGAACAGCAGAGCGAAGCATGCCAAGAAATAACGGACGAACTCCTTTTTGCCACATCGACATAAAGCACTGCTTTAGAAGCCGCGGGGCGACGAGTGACAGAAAATTTTTGACTTCATCTATTTGTTTCCTTGACGCCTTTGTCACAAGAAATTTCAATTTGTGCATTGCGTCCGCGGCGCATGCACTGTCCACTTTTTTAGATTCGTCCTGAGATAAGATAGAATTCGGTTTCTGGCTATGTCATTTGAATCGGTCTCTCCTCGTCCTTCCATGGCGCCGTCCGTTCAACACGCATTTACCTTCGGTTTCTGCTAGACCGGCGTCTGCTGCATTATTGCCGTGAACCTGCTGCAGAAAGTTCGGTAGTGCTCGTGCCTGTGTATGTATGTGCTGAATAAAGAGCTCGTCCTCGGTTTTCATCGTGCAGCACCAACATCTGAAAGGTCATGTCTTAGTCACTATCGTGCAACTGCTGTAAATACTTCCGCGAATTCGTTTTTCGTTCATGTCGTTTGCGTCCCGTCCCCTAGTCCACTAGTGGTGGTACGTCGTCTCAAGTCTTCAAACACTTCTAACACCCGCTATTCATAAATTTAACAGGACATTTGTAGGCTCCTATCTTCAAATCAAATACCACTACACATTAGCTATTTCCCCTTCCTCCAACATTGTCACCAGCCCGAAGTCGAACCCGGCACGATTTTTTCTCTTCTTCAGTAAAACGTCTATGACTATCTGTAAACCAGCACCATGAATAAATCCAGCCGGGACATAAACGTCGATGACCTGATCACGCAAGTAAACGACATGGTCTTGTCCCGCAACCTCGACCTCACCGCTAACAGAAATATCATCTCCCCGTCCCGCCAAAGTATCCGTGTGTTTCCGCCCGCGGCACGTGAGCCATCTTCCGCAGTAGAACAAGCAGCTTCTAGCGTCTTTCTCTTCGCGACAGAGGCGGCCGTGCGCGGATCGAAAAACATGCTGACGAAGGCCGCTGCGACTGCGAAGGGCAGTGCTTCAGGATCCGCGTCTGCCGTGGCCAAAATGAAGGCGGCGGCGGCCAAAGCGACGGAGGGAAAAGCGAGATCTTCTGCGTCGACCGGAAACGCATTGACAAAAGCGGCCTCAGCCTTGGCGTCAACTGCGAAGCGGGGACCGCCAGGAGGGGGCGGGAAAAGCAACTCTGGGGCGCCCCCACCATCCACGAGTTTGAATTTGAAGAGCTTGACAGGTAGTGCTGGAAAAGTATCCTCCCCGCCGGCGGGCTCGAGAGGTACTACTACATCAGGGGAAAATAAAGACGCCAAAGCTCCTGCTGCAGCTCCGCCTACCAGTTCTTCTAAAGCCGCGCCGGCAACTGCAACGAGCACGCTTTTCCTCGCTCCAGCAGCCCCAGTAGCAAAGGCAAAGTCCTCTCCTCCGGCGGCCAGTACCAGTGGTACAACAACCTCTACTAGCGCCAATAAACCCGCTCAACAGCAACCTACCGGCAGAACCTCCTTCGCCCAGAACGCGTTTTCTAACCAGGCGGACCCACAAAGTAACTACCTCCGCGAGCCCAGAACACCCCCCTTCCCCGAAGTCGATTTGCAGCAGAAAATTGACGACACGAACGCGGTGCTTGTCGCGGAGACGTTGCGACTTCAACTCGTCGAGGTCAGACAAGGGTACGACTTGGCGAAGAGGCAATTCCAGGACGACATGGAACGGCAGAAGAAAAAGTTCGAAGTCGGCCTGACCCGAATGTCGGCACAATTGGAATCAACGATCGAATATCCATTGCAAAAGTATCGTACTCGTATAAATGCATTACAAATTCCCTCGGCATGAGGAATAAAATTTGTCATGCGGATTTACCTCAAGAAAAAAATTTGTAATGCATGACTGCAATTACTACGAGTACGATACTTTTGCACAGGATATCGAATTCCTCCAACTCGACCACGAGGAGATGGTGCAGGAGATGAAGCAACAATTCGAATTAGAGAAGAAGCAAGCATATCAAATGTAAAAGTGTCTGGGTCTGGAAGGATGCAAGGTTTGTCATGCACATTTTGCGTGACTCCTGAATGTCTGCGATGCATGCCCTAGCATCACAGATATTGTGAGGGCGTTCTGATGCCTATACCGCATGAGAAATGCTCTCTCGCCGTGGCCAAAACCAGGCCTCTTTTGCTGTTCATGCAATACAGATTTGTGGATAATGCAGACGCAGCATCAACACAAGTTGCATTCTTCCAGAACCAGACATTTTTACATTTGATAAAGCGATGTCGGAATTGTCGAACAAGTTGGAACTCAAATCAAAGCTGGACCTGGACCAACTGAAGCAAAATTTAGAGGACGGAAGTGCGAACACCTTCACGGATTTGGAGGAAAAGTATGAGAATGAGAGGAAAGAGTTCGAAAAGCAGTTGATCGCGAAGTTCGACAAGGAGAAGCAGTTGATCAAAAAGCAGTTCGAGTCCGAACGGGACTTCAACTTCGCCAAGAAGGAGCAGGAACTGATGGCAAAGCTGGATGAGGAATCCAGGGAGTACAAGGAGCAACTGGATGCGAAACTGCAGAAGGAGAAGCAAGTGCTAGAAATGTCACTCAACCGCCGGATCAACTACGAGTACAAGCAGAAGTTTGAGCAGGCGTTTTCGGAGATAGAAAACCTCGAAAAGGAGTTGGAAGAGAACTTGGACAAGATCTCCAAAAATCCAGAAAACTTCATCGATATTGACGAAGTGTTGGAGAAGGAGTTTTCGAACTACGAGAAGAAGCCCGAAGAGTTTTTCGACAAACACCCCGTCGTGTTCAACTACCTGCAGACAAACAAAAACAACGTCCTTGCCGCTCTCAGCGAGAAGACCATCAAGATAAACTCGACGCCGTATGGGAACAAGGCCCAAATCCCGATTACGATGCGAACTTCGAATGGGAACGAGATGAAGACGAAGACGAATCCGAACAAAAACAAGGACAGCTTGGTCGCGAAGTCGGTGGAGATCAAGAAAATCGTCACGGAGGGAATGCACAGCATGATGCAAAAATACAGCTCCAGCGAAGCGGAGGAAAGCACGAAGAGCAGCAATGACCGCGGTGGTCGTGGTGGGGCCGCTGGTGATGTTGCAGCTCGAGGAGGGAGGTTGTCGCAATTCAAGGAAAACGTGAAGCGGCCGGAATCCTTGCCTCGGAACCCGGATCAGTATCTGTCAAGGAACAAGACGGAAAAAGAGGGCAGTGAGGAGGATTTTATGGTGGAATCGGGGAAGGAAGAAGATGTTTTGACGGTCGACGTGGATGCGCAAAGCACTCCCCGAGCTGCTCCGCCGAAGACATCGTCAAACAAGAAGGAATATAGTCAAGCCCCTTCGAGACAGCAATCCCCAGCAGCTGCTGTGCCTCAGCCCCCAATCACGTCGACCCCAATTTCCCGGCAGGATTCCATTCCCTCCTTCCCGAAGCTCCAGCAGCAATTCGACGCGGGAATCATCACCGCAGACGAGTTTTACGACCTGGTAAATCAGCAAGTGAACAAGAAGAGAGCGCTGTTTTCCATCAAGAAAATGGACAGCAAGAGCTTGATGAGACGAAACAGAAACGCCGGGAGACGCAGGTCCAGCAGTGACAGCGGAAGATCTCGGAGTGGGTCCGGAAGTAGCAGCTCTTCGTCCTCTGGGAGTAGCAGTGGCAGTTCGTCTGGGACTAGCAGCGGCAGCGAGTCGCTCGACGACGCAAGGAACAAAGCCCTGAAGTCGCCGACGTCGAGCAGTCCGGCCCTGGACATGGACGATTACTTAGAGAAAATCGTGGCAAAACAGCTGAAAAGACCGATTTCCAAGAACGCGGCTCTGTACGAGATCGACGACGAGGGGATGAATGCAGAGAACCACCATCACCACCACCACCATCACCACACTAAAGGAGACAGCACTGGTGCAAGTCGCTCACTCTCCCTACCACCAATGCTGTCGCATGAAGGCCGAACGATGGTGATGGAGAACGCGATTCAAGTGTACGAAATTTCCCGCCAGCCAGAAAAAGCGGTGTTGCTGTTCCCACCCCCCAGACGAAACATCGATCGAGGTTTCGACCACGACGACGGCAGGGCGCTGTTTTCCTCCTCCAGTACTCGAAAAATCGAGTTTGACGGACGAAATTTGCGGAACCGGGCGAGCTCTTTGAAGAGGCAGTACGTGCGGGCCACGCAGGTTACGCCGGACACGGTGCTGCACGAAAGGCAAATGCTGCGGGAAGAAGCGGGATTGGAATCCAGCAGGCAGCACGTGGTACTAGCCTTTGTTCTTCGGAATTTTCTTGCTTCGAATTATTTTGTTTTTTGTGCTGTGTAAATCTAAATTTGTATTTTCTCTTTGCCTGTTTTGCAATAACCGACGTGGTAAACACGACACTTTAGACCCTCCTTAGGCATGAAGATGATGATGATCGACTTCAAAATTACAAACACAGAACGCCAAGTCTCCGCTCCTCGACCCGGCTGGAACGAGATTTAGCACGCCAAAGATCCGCGGGATTGTGCCTTCTGAACTGCACCAGGATCATCATGGACACCATCACCACCACTCGTCCCACGGGCACCACCATCATCACCCTCACATCAGCCAGACACACCAAGCTCACCTAGAAGGACTCGGGCATGATAGTCCTCCTCATGCGCACGAGAACCACACACATCGTGGTCCTCATACTAGTGCTACTCATCATCATAGCCAGCACATGCCACACCTTCACTTGAATCAACAATCCGCACACCACCATCACCAGCATCACTACCACCCGCATCTGCGAATCCCGGAATCCTTGAAGCAGACCGTCCAGCCGTCGAGCTTAGTCCACGATTTGACCAAAGATTTCTCAGACGTTTTGAACAGAGTTACGAAGTACAATTCCAAATCCACCTGGCCCCAATCCGAAGAGCCGAGATTTGAAGCCGCCCAGGGAACAGTGAATAACCCGACTTTGCCAACCTACGTGAAAGTGCGCGACGCGGACAGTCCGGGGGCGTCGCACCGAATGATGCTCGGCCTAACCCCGAAGACGGCGGACGTGTTTCGGCCGAGGAGGTACTCGATTGGGTCAGAACAAGCGTAGTAGATCAAGTAGAACAAGCTACTTGTGTCTTCATTGTGCAACTCGAGTTGTGCTAGCCTCTCACACATCACGTAGTTTGTTTTTCATTTTCCATGTTGTGTTGTTCGAAATCGAACTGCACCACACATGAGCCGGCAAAGATTACAAGCTAGTTTTGCCACTCACGACCTTGAATTTTGGGTTTTTTAACGCACTACCAGCATTGTCCCTGTCAGTCAGATTTAGATTCAGATTGAGATTCTCTATTGAATGCATTACCCTTTAAATTGTATCCACATTGCCCGTAGCGTGAAGAAATTTTCTCCCCGCTGTTTGCACAGCAGTCTAGAGCTCATTCCTGGAGCATTTTCAATGAACGATCATGGTTTGAGCCTGCCGAACGATCTTTTCCCATTGCTTCCTGACCCATAGTTTTCGTAAAATTATTTACGCCCGTTGCCGGACGGACGGTCGGGTCACACGACGACCGCGCTCCTTTACTAACAGCACTAGGTTCTATTTCTCCTTGTTGTTCATCTGTCCAAAGTAGTTCTTGTGTGCGCTACTCGAATTTCAATTTCAAAGTGGCGTTTACCGTCAGTCGTTATCGTTTCGAAAAATGTCGTCGAGAAAAGCAAAATTATGTTTTCGTGGAGGTTTAGAGGGCATGAAGCTGGCGCGAAAAGCAACACAATAGCGAGAGTGGCGAGCTGCAAAATTCGTTGCAAAGGAGTTGTTGTAGTTGAGAGGAGCAATCAAATGAAAATTTCGCAGTTCGTAGTTCGTAGTTGGAACTTCGGACGAAGAAGCGGGTCATCATTCTAGATTTCAGTATAGATGAAATAGAGCAAGAGGTAGAACGGTATAGCAAAAGTGAAACTGAGCAAGGAGTGAAATCAAGGACTGTCGCGGCTCGGGAAGGAAGATGGAAGACACGACCTCAAGCCCTTCAAGAACCGCAGTGGCGTCGCAGTCCTGGGGCTCCTGGCTGTTCCAAAAGCTTTTCGGCTTTCCAAGCTTCGCAACAACCTGCTCCGGTGGAGGCTGTAGCAGTACAATTTCTGGCACGACCACAGATTCATCATCGGGAGCTGCCAACGCACTAACTTCCTGCCCGGGTGGAAGTAGAAACAAACTCTCGATCTTTTCCTGCCGAAAAACCAATGGCGATGCTCAGGATGAAGAACTGTACGTTACCGATTTAGTCTCTTCAACGACCGGAGCGTCCCCGGTTTTCCCCTACGCCCCGGCTGCGTACGCCCCGGCTAGTACTCTCTCCGGAGATGCACCGTCGGCCACGGGTGTTGTAGGAGGCGGAGGTCTTCTTGTTCCTCCTAACATGAATTTTATCCCAACGGTCGGAACGACATCAAGTCAATTTCAGCAGAACAACTCTGACAACAGTTATTCCCGCAGTGCCAGCAGTTCTAAGTCGAGCGTTGCCGCCACTACCACCTCCTTCACCTCCGGCTTTCGCTCGCCGGTGTTCCCGATGCCGCCGAACCTGAAAAACCCAAACACTTTCAACTTCCACCAAAGGCAGTCTTTCGGCCAGCACAACCGCGCCTCCGCACCGCTTCCGCCGAAAGCGAAGCATCTCCTGGACGACTTGCGGCTGCCGAAGAAGACGCCGACCAGGATTCCGGTCGGAGTTTTAGACGCGAGAATCAACGTGAACAGTAGCATGGAGGAGAAGGGGGAGGCACTGTTGGCCTTGTACAGGGAGTTCGTGGGCGACATGATGTTCGGCGGCGGTATGGAGATGGAGCGGGTTTCCACCGTGTTACGCCACGGTGGCCACCAGTATCGCGGTGGCAATCTGAACAAGATGTTTCGCACGAGCGGGAATGGGGCCACGGGTTTTCAATTCGAGAAATTCGACCGGAAGGAGGTGCATCTCCAGCTGGACCTGAACGACACGAGCTCTTTGAAGATCAACGAATTGGACGGTCGCGTGGTCGAGTTTCCCTTGGCTGCGGTCAAGCGGGTATCGCGGATGCAGGGCACGAACAATTCGACGAATGAGGTCGACAGTCCGACGGGAAACCGACGACACACTTCAGCAGCAGGAGAGCACTTCGTTCTTATCGAATTCCACAAGAAAAAGCTTGCCTTTGCGGTAAAATCGCTGTTCGAGAGCCAGAAATTTGTCCTCTGCATGGATCTGCTAGTGAGCCAGGTGCAGGAGAAGACGGCTGCTAGTGCTGGCGGGTTTCCCACAACCACGACCACGAACGACAACTACGGCCGGAGTTTCGCAGCTTCTTCAGGCGCATTTATCGGGCCAAACAAAGTCCCCATAAACCTCTTCGATAAAGGAACCGCTACCGAGCAGATCAAACGCGGCTTCCAGAACTTTCTGCACGTCGTCACTAGTCCAAGTTCGATGTTCCGAGAAACGGCGCAGGCAGACAGTAATTCGTCATTGTACAAAGCAAAAACGCGGCCGCCAGGAACTACTGCAACTACAACACAGTATCTGCTCGAAGTCGAGCAGCCTGACTTTCCTCCGAAATTCGAGATGCAGGTACTATCGAATGTGGACGAGGTTGCGGGCATGAAATCCGGGAAAAAGCTACCGTCGTTCCTCGCAAATTCCCCCAATAGCACCGCCATCGGTGGGAGAAATAGTCCGTTCAAACGGAGCCCGGGCGCGTCCCGCGGGACCATTCCGAAACCAAATCGCGGGTCGGCTGGGTTACCTCCCAAGCCGTTTTCACTCCCGGGAGCGGAATCGAAGTCAACTGCGGCTTCAAGTGCGAAGTCGCCGGTCGTGTGAGACACAGTGCAGATCTCAGCACGAACAGGTAGCGCGGCCGCGGCTCCATAATGGAAATTACCAAATATTTAAATGATGAAAATTACACTTACAACACACGACATAAACCAAAAAGTGAATGTTTCGCATACGAACTAAACACGTTGCTGGGTTGCACGTCCTCAAGCATAGCATTCTGTCTCCGTGCTCGCTGGCTAGTATTCGTTTCTTGAGAATAAAGGAAAACCAAAGAGACATATCTGGTCGCAACTTGACAACTTTTTTTCACGCACTAAAATTTAGAGGGCGAGGGCGGGATGTGGCCGCCCGCGCCCCCTCCGATGTGCTACAATCTGGGAGCGGACACGTTAGTTGGTTCCGAGACCAGCACTCGACGTTTTCGTCATTTCGATGCCCTGTCCCTGGTTGTCATCGTCACCGAGTGAGTGAGTTTAGCGGGTTGTTTGACGGCGAGGTTTTCTGAGGATTCCAAACAGATGAAGCACCAGTAAGCGAGTCCAAGAGGGTACGGTGCGGCCGAAGAGGAAGATCAATCTGTTGTCGCGAATCGTGCTTAGAAGAATACGCGGCCTGCGCACGAGCACGTCCTACGAAGTCGTACGATCAGGATCATGCCTGCTATGGCACCAGCTATGAGTAGAAGACACGAATAAAACATATCAAGAGCAGGGCTGTAGTAGACGACCCTTTGGATTTAGAGAATACAGAAAATTTGTTGTTCACGATTCTATCACCAAGTTTATTGTTTCATCTTTCTCAAACATGCGTCGCTCCGTCTCCCACGGCCGGCCCATTTCTCCGGATAAGGCTACCCAAGTCCACCAGGGCCGGTCGGGTTGGAGAAAAGTGGCGAAAACGCCGGAAGACCTGCTCTACGAAGCACGGATACACTACCTGAAGGAGAGGATTGACGAGGGGCTGCTGCACTACAGTTCTGCGGCGACACAGGAGCGGGGATGGAAAATTTTGCACGCGCTGGCGGAGGACCATTTGACCGGTACAGAAGAGAAAATGATCCCTTTGCAGCTTGTTAGTGTCTTCCTCCTCGTGTAATTTTTTGCCATGCTAGAAGCTTGCCATCATGAATTGTCTGGTTTTTTTATCATGATTATGTGAGAAGCTTGCCAATGAAATAACAAGGTGACACGGTGTGGACGTTTCTGGAGCTGGTTTTCCTGAGTCGTGAGCAACAGAAGAAGAAGCTCGCGAAACTGCAACTTCGGGAGAAGTACGAGCGGCACCTGGCCGCGTTGGACGAGATCCACATCCGGAAGTATCAAATGCAAAAATGTCTGGGTCTGGAAGAATGCAAGACTTGTCATGCATATTTCTCCTGACCCATGAAGCCTGTAATGCATGACCTAGCATCGCAGACTTTTAAAGGGCTTCCTGATGCACCTTCCGCATGAGAAATGCCCTGTCCGTTTAGCACAAATTGCACCCCTCTTGCTGGTCATGCAATGCAATTTTTTTTTTTTTTAGAGTCCAAAAACAGCATGACAAGTTGCAATCTTCCAGACCCAGACACTTTTGCACTTGATAGAAAGGAGTTGAAAATCACGGAAAAGCGGTCCTTAAGCCTGCTCTGGCTCTTCCCGGTAATTTGCGAGCAATGCTGCTACGAGCTGATTGGAGGCATCACCGACGTCGCGAACCCGATGGGTTTGCAGCTGATGGAGTCCTCGGGGAAGATCATGTCGAAGCCCAACACGCTCGCGATTTCCAGTAAACCAGACTCCTTTCACAGGTTACTGTTGGACGGATTCTTAACCGACCCGGACGGGACCCTTGCTGCGCGAATTTTGGTCGAGGGCTACGTGATTCTCAATCGGGTGTGGACCACGCAGGGGAAGCCGCCGATTCTGTCCGGGCCCTGGAAGCGCAGTCAGAGGAACGTTGGCACGTTTGAACACGTACAGCTGATCGACCAGAAAAACAGCTGGAATTTGCAGATCTACAACCGGTTCGTGAAACCCATTTTCCAAGCCATTGCCATGCAGACGCAGGAGCTGCTGAGCGGCAACTGCGAAATAGATTTCGGCGGCGGCAATTTCTCAAACAGCCGATCAAATAGCTCTGCGAATCTCCTGCAAAGTAGTAGGCCGAAGACAAGTAGCGTCTATCGGTCGAGTCGAAACAACTCGACGACGTCGTTACAACAAAACAATCGCACGAGACCGTCCTCCCGAATGTCGCCTATACGAATGCGGAATCTCCCCTCGCCACGCGGCGAAGAGTTCAACGACACGAGAACACCGAAAAGGCTGCATCATGAGCAATTGGAACTCCAGTGCTGGAACGGATCCTTGACGTTGATCTGCCTCACTCGGGAACTACTTTTCCAGTACAAGGCGGACGTCACAAGGACGCAACAACTCCGGGACTTGCTGATGGAGCACGCCAGCGCGGTGTTTGAGAATTTGACAATAGTTTCCGACGCGTTCAAGTGTTCTATCGCGAAAGGCACGATTTTGGACGAAGCGGAGCGACTCGGTGTGCCCGTCGACAACGCGATGCTGGACCCGAGCGACCGGAAGGCCTTGCTGGTGAACGACATCGCGAACTCCAGCCACTTTCTCGCACAGGAGAACGGTCGTGGTCGTGGGAATAAGAACAACAATGCCCCCTCTCCGCCGAAGTACCTGGGAAAGCGGAATTCCATCGGCCGCGCGCAGACCGCGAAACGGGAGAAACAGTGGAGGGAAAAGATGCACGCGATTGCGCAGCTGGGGTTTTTGCACTGCGTCGGACAGTACCTGGCGGTCTACCTCTGGCCCCGGCGGTTTTTGCTGCAGGTCGCGGCGATTTGCGTGCATTTGCTCCGGAACGCGCACAAAGTGTCTTCTACGAGGGATCTGTGCGTCGTCGCCTGTGTTTGCTTGACGCACATCGGGTCCTTCCTGCTGCTGCAAGCCGCGACGCCACCGGAGGAGGAGAAGGAAGAGGAAGACTCTGACGATGATGGTACAACTTCTACCCAGCCTGGTTCTAGGAATAGAAAATCGTCACGGCAGAAAGCCCAAATGGCGGGGGAGCAGCTGGCGCAGAACGGATTTGCCGACTACGATCAGAACGATCCGCGGTTGTTGAGAACGGACTTGGAGAACGCCGACGGCACCACCTGTCCCTCGAGTTACTGGGACGTCGTCAACCCAAATTGCCCACGAGATGAAGATGAGTACGACGATGATGAAAATGCTGAACAGTATGAAAGCTTCGATATTAACGATGAAAACAGAAACAACGTTGAAACGCATCTCATGAACGACGACGCCTTTGACGACATTGACCCCTACCAGCCGCCAAAACCGCCAGTGAGAAAGAAGAAGAAAAAACCGAAGAAGAAACAATCGAAACCCAAGCAATTGGAAAACGAGGACGCAACGCTATTGCTCCAGCTCGCGCCGGTGATTCAGTCCTTGATGAAGCCGGAAACTAACCCGGAACTGTTCCAGCACATGCGCGGGGAGGCGGATGGTAGACTCCGGAAGTGCGTGGACAGTTGCTACGGCGCTTGGAAGCTGTTGGAGCAGGAGAGGCAGAAGAGAAGGGCGCTGCTGCGGAAGAAGTTTTCGGCGGATTATGATTCCAGAGGTACTTCTAGCGTTGACCACAATAAACCGGATCCAAAACTGCTGAAGGACGACGACCCCGACCACCCGGATTTTCCCCCGCAACCCGCGACCTCCGGGAACGCGAATGTATCGAAGGAACGGAACAGCAGCGGGCTCTTCGCTTTCACGAAGAACGGAAATTCGCCGATGAACCAGCGGAAAAAGCACGATCGAACGCGGTCGGACAGATTTGAAAAGAAGATGACCAATGAGAACTACTCGCTCCGAACCGCCATGGACAACCTGATCGCGGAATGCGAGCCAGTAAACCCGGTTCCGGACATGCTCGGCGATCCAGATTTGCTGGTGACGGATCAAAATGGACTGGATGAGGACAACGACTTCCAAGCGACGCAGCGACGACCGCTGCCGGCGACAGCGTCGAGCAGTCTGTTCCTGGACGCAGAGGGACGGATAATGAATGACGAGGAGCTACTTCAGGACGAAACGGAAGCGCAGCAAGTTGCGAGCGGTATTCGGAACGTCCGCACGCGTCCCACCGTGTTGCAGCAAGCAACTGCGCAGGGCGATTTCATGGCAGCAGGAGGCGGAAACAACTTCTCTCGCGGTGGAACAAGTCGCCGCGCTAGTGAAATAAACGCACCGGCACCTCCTCCGCTGGGGACGACGACGAACAGCGCGTTTCGGAACAGCACAGCGACCAGGCGCCACAGCGATTTGTCCAACAGCGCGAGTGCGAAAACGTTACGGTTCGCAGACGAGAATGAGAATGATGACGCTGTGGATATTTTTCAGCTCCCCAGCTCCACGCCCAATTCCAATGCGACGATCGCGCCGATTCCCAACCGCGGCCCGGTCTCCTCCTACGCGCAGAAGAAGCAGATGCTGTTGGACTATCAAATGTAAAAGTGTCTGGGTCTGGAAGAATGCAACTAGTCATGCTAAATCTGAAGCATGCAAAAATCTGTGTTGCATGATTACCAAAAGTCGTCCAGTTTTGACAAAGTCGGGAGGGAGTTTCTCATGCAGGATAGGCATGAGAGGGATCGCGCACAATTTGTCATGCTAGGTCCTGCATTCCAGACCTCATGGGTCACGGAAAAGCTGCATGACAAATCTCGCATTCTTGCAGACCCAGACATTTTTGCATTTGATATGGACCCGCTTGACCCGATTCAAGACTCCCCGAGAAGCCCCGGCAGGAGGAAGAAACTGAACGAGGAGCTCTTCAAGCGAAACAAACTCGAGGGCACCCCGATCCCAAACCCGCCGGAGGAGTTAGAGAATAGTGAATCGCGGAGACAAATCCGGCCACTGTCCCCGCAACTGGTGAAGTCAAATACGCAAAGTGCGCTGAAGGTGAAACAGGACGGCAGCTACATGTCGCCGCAGCAGCTCGGGAAAAAGAAGAGACTGGATGAGAAAGACAGTAAGAACATCGCGGATTTCAAAACGCCGTTTGAAAAAGTGCAAGACTGCATCCGCGGGGGGGTCTTGGATGAAGCGTTTTTGCTTGTCCTGCAGTACGGCCACGAGGAAATGCTGTTTCAGTTTTTGGAAGAGCTGGACCTGACGGAGAAGCTCTTGGAAAATGACAACGGCTTTCCCAACGACGACGATGTGAATCCCAACCCGAACAACGCTGGCTCTTCCGGATTCAACCGGAATTCCAGCGAAGTGCTCCAAGGATTGAGCATAATGGACCCGTTGCAAACCGACGCGGACGAGGAGGAGTTTTCCACGAGGAATAACTACAGGACAAGAAGCAAAACGGGGTCGTTCGTCACGGGGTTGTCTGCGAAGGAATGGAATAAGCAAAGCAGGACCAACGCAGCAAAGCAAAAAACCGACACAACCGAGGACGAAAACGGCATCAACACGAAAGTGCGGGAAAAGAAATTCTACCCCCTCTCGGAGAACCAGAAGCGGCAAATCGGCAACATGCTCGCGCAGATCCTGCGGCGCGAAGTAAACAAGTTTTGCGCCAAGCTGAGCCGCACCCGGTCTGCGGGAAGTTTGATGTCGAACAATAGCGGCAACGCGTCGCGAACAAGACACGGGTTCCGCACGACGAAATTAGACAACACGTTTGCGGTGACAAAACAAGACTTTGAAACCAGGAAGAAGCTCGATTTGTCCTGTCGCTTTCTCCCCAAGTACTTGGCGTTGTCTGGAATGAATACTGCGAAAACTATACCGACCTACGCGACGGACGGGCCGATCATCACGTCGGCGCAGGACACATCAACGCTCCAGCTGGTCCGGGAGACGTGCTTGAAAGGCTGCGAGATCGTGGACTTGCGGGATACGTTGGGCGTCTTGTATCGGAGCATTACGCCACACTACTGATGACGCAGCCAAAAATGATCCTCGGAGTCGTTATTGCATTTTTGTTGTGCGTGTGGCGCCGCAAGCGCAAACTACAAGTGCAACGTAGTACACTCACACGACGGCCTTCGAGCCTCGCTTGAGGAAGCGCCGGATGACGTTGATGGCGGCTGACGCAAGTAGATTAATGACCTGCACCGCAATGATTAATTTCAGCACATGATGCGGTCTTTGCAAAGATCTTGGAGTGAGAAGCAGAGCTGACGCCAGAAAAGGCGGCCAACTCGCTTCATGTCCAGGTTCCTCTCGTCGTCGTCTGTTCTCATAACGTCCTCTGTCGTCTGTTGCCACGTCGTAATGGCCTTTCTAGTCGTGCTGAAATATGAAGATGAAGTCCACCCATCGGTAGCTGGTACATCAAGAACTCGGTCGTCGTGATGTCACTATTTCGGTCGGTTGTAGTATTGAGCCAGAGCCTCTGACGGCAGCATTCTGATTCTCGGTCGTGCTTGCGTACTGGCTGAAGTTGTTGGGTTTTTACCTTGAGTACTTTTCAGCGGCTGAGTCGGTGTGCGTCTCTCCATGTCAACTTATCGGTGATGTCACTTCCGACATAATTCGGCTCCGGTACCATGTACATGTCAGCGGTGCGATTCTACTCTCTACGACGTGCGTGATACTTGGCCATGATCAGGAATTCGAATAATTACTTCTCAATTGCAATCCCTACGTCGCCAACTCAATTAGCAGGATGATGAAGTCGTGACCAAGAACGAGAAAGAAACCCTTTCCTGGATTTGGACTATTTGGCGTTCGAAATAATCATATCTTTTCCTGAAGAAGCACGACGTGGTACGTCCTCTCTGACTAGGTTCTAGTGTTCATCCACACATCAATCTCCTAGCATCAAGCGAAATCATGGGTCTTCCCCCGCAGATGCAGGGTGCCATTGGGTTGGCTTCCCCCGGAGTCGACCCCTGGGGTAAGATGAAGCCGCCGCGCAAGAGCACCGGCTCGGGCCCGGATATGGACCAGCCGGCCTCCGCATTAAATTCCTTTCTGTCCCCCGCCCAGATCGCCAGCCGCGCGCCGATGGACTTTGACACGCACAATGTCCTGCGCGGCCCGAACAATTTGTCCACCACATCCGAGTACCGCATTTGGGAGGTGAAAGGCACGGCCTTTGACTACGGGGGCTCCTTGATCCCCGCCCACACCTACAACATGATCGACTCGGAAACCGGGAAGCTGATCGCGATGAAGCATAGGCAGTCGAATACGGACTTGTCGACCATTCCGGAGAGGAAATTTGAATCCGAGGAGGACGAAATGATGTTTTTGGAAAAAATTCTCGCTTTGAAAAAGCTCGCGGTCGTGAAAATTCTGGAGCGCGACATGAACCTCTGTCGGGGCTTCGTGGAGCACAGCCGGGACCTGCGCCGGATGATTGAGCGCAGCAAGGTGTTCCAATATGTCGACACGGATCCGATCCACGAGCTGAAACTCCCCGAGGACCCTCGGAAAGACGTGCTCAGCCCCTTGAGCAAGCAAGAGCCGACCTTTCTGGACCAGTCTAATGCAGCGGAAGAGAACACCGCAATCACGGGCGGCACGGTCGCAAACGTTGTCCGCGTGGCCCGACCGGACCAGTACGCGCCGGCCAGCATGCGAAAGAACCAGGCGATCCGGAAGGCTAAAGACCGCGCGCAGCGGGGTGTGACGCAAGAAGCGGTCACCGGGATCAATGAGTTAGCGAACGCCGGCGGCATGTCGCGACCCCCGCAAAACGCGGCGGAATTGGTAGCCTGGCACCAGCAAATGAAGCGAGAAAAGGAGTTGCGGGAGGGATTCACTTTTGCGGATGGCGCAGACGAACAGAATAAACCGGACAACTTTCGTTTCGGAGACTCGAAGGTTATGTTGTGAAATTCAAATTAATTAAGTGCGAAATCATATATGTCGCTTAAAGTTTCTAGATACGTAAATGCGAATTCCAGAGGCAGAGCCTCGTGAAATTCAAGAGTCCTCAATCAAATCCCATTCCTCGCGATCGTAACTTACCTTCCCATTCCCGTTGTATTTGCCAGCCTTCTATCTTCTTCTATCTACTTCCCAAAAACCACACGCGATCAGTAATTAGCAGAGTAAGTATCTATGAATTTGATACCGCAAGAACATCATATGACGAGCAAACGACCCAAATAGTAACGCAACAGAACCAAAGAAGTTTTTGACGCTGCCTAATAAGAAAGGAAACTACAAGAAACAAAGATCATCAACCGCCTGGTATTACTCACCTTTGTACTTCTCAGCAAAGGAGGACGAAGCTGACGACCACTCGACACAACTAGCCTTCTCACCTGACTCTGTTGACACAGGCAGCTCCATCAAAGATGCGAATCATGCGAAGAATTCGCAGTAAGTCTGAGTTTGTGTTCTCAACACTCTCAGACTCGCGTAGTTCCGCTCCGCGCATTCCTTCCTGTGCAGGTCGAACATGATGAAGTCTTACTGCCGCGGGGGCATTTGTCGTGCGGGTGGTTGTCGTGATAGTACTCTCAAATAAGCATGATGTGCAAGCTCCTTTCATCCTCCACCCCTGTTTTGGGTGGCTTGCTCCTCTGGACGATGGTTTCGCCCGCAGCTGCGGCTTCCAACGCTGTGGCGTGGGACCAGCTGTTCCAGAACTCCGCCAATCGCAAACTGGATGCGGCCGTCAACGATACCATCACCTTCAACTGGGGAGCAAGCGCGAATGATGTCATGAAGTTGGACGCCTGCGATGGTAAGTACTTCATTATGCACTACATGGTGGTCATGGTCCTGATCCTCTGCATCCTCGACGAGAGGTGAACTACGTAAGTAGACACATACACATTTCCATTGTCCTCGTCGGTCGTCACTTTTCATGGATCACAACTGTGACTTTGTTTATCGCTTGGTTGCAGCGCTGTCTAAACCTTTTCCTTTCCAGGTACCTTCTATGTGTATCCAGAGCCGGACGACGCCAGTGCTCTGTGCGTGAATACAACGGGGACGGTTGTCGCGACGCAAACGCAAAGCGGGTACGTCTACACGGTTTCTGCCGCGGACAATGATGAATTTCTCTGCTTCATCGCCTAAGCAAAGCCAACAAAGTTGAGCTCCTTCACCTCAGTTCGGCAAGCCGGTTGCCCTTCGTGAAGTGAAGCGCCTCAACTCAGGCCATTTTTGTAAAAAAACCCGCCCCCGACTGCGAGGCGGCTCGAGGAGAGACAAACGACACGGCCCCACGTGGCTACCAGCATAGGCAGGCTCCTCCAGCTTCGGCCTCTGGGGCAGGTAGGTCTGCAAGGGTTGAGCGGCCTCAGCTCAGAAGGGGGTGATGGGTTTTGCCTTCAAAGCTGCGCCTCGGCTCTGGCCATTTAGAAGAAAGCAGCGGGAGGGCCGGGACCGTTTCCGGGTTGGGACGAGGGGCGCCTGGGTTCCGAAGAATGTGGCGTAGGTTTGGAAGGAGGGGGTCCGGGCTCCAGATGAGGACACTTGGGCTGTGGAAGAAGTGGTCTGGGTTCCGCGTGAAGGGGGCCGGGGCCCACAGGAGAAGACCTGGCTCAGGGGGGAGGCGGCTGAACTTGTAGAGGAGGTGGTCTGGGTTGGGAAGGAGAAGGCTCGGGCTCCGGGGGAGGTAGGGGGGTTTGGGGGAGGAGGTAGTTGGGGTTTCTGCTGGTGCTAGTGCAAACTGTTGGGGATGAATCGTTTTCGTTTTGGATTTGCGTTCGACTCTTCCGGCTACACCTTGCAATGAGTCCAGGCAGGGACTCCTTGCAAGGACTCCTTCCAAGGAGTCCAATAAAATTACGCACTTGAATTTATTGCCATCGGGGGAAGCGAAAAAAAGAGTCCTTCTGGGGACTCTTTTCGAGGACTCTTATTCGAGAACTTTAAACTTACGCACATGGTCTCACACATGAATTTCCCAGAGTTCTGAAAGGAAGCGTGCGCGCTTCTTTCTGAATTCCAGAAATTCACTTCTCAGCAATTGGCTTCCTTTCTGCCGAACGTCTCTCGCCAACGTTTCGGATTGTGTTGTCGAGTCAAATCCCCATGAGGCGTCTCGCCTTCAGGGCGAGCTGCCTTCTGCGGGTCCGATCTTGGAAACCCAGCGCTCCGGAACTTCTTGGCTTCAGAAGCTTCGGAGCCCCGTCGCCCACTCAGCGCAATAGACAAGCGAGCCAGCTCCGGCATTCGGGGATCACCCGGCTCCGGATCGGGGGCCGGCTTGTTCGAGGTCGACACACGTGAATTTCTCAGGCTCTGAAAGAAAAACGGCGTTTTTCTTTCAGGGCCTGAGAAATTCACGTGCGTCGAATTTGTTAGCTTCAGAAGCTCAAAGCCCTGGTGGCCAACTCATGGTCTAGGCAATGGAGCTAACCCCGGCTTTCGGGGATCACGCGGCTCCGGATCGGGGGCCGGCTTGTTCGAAGTCCACAAAAGAGAAGCTCCAGAGTTCTGGAAGAAAAACGGCGCGCATCTTTCAGAGTTCTAGAAGCCCCCTTTTCGGGGCCTTGTTGACTTTGATAGCTGAATGGGGTTCGCCGGGGCCGGGCTTTGGGCGCGTGTTATGAGATTCGCAGAGGGTTTCGAAGTTTGAGAATTTTTTTTTTTCAGAGATGGACTCTCACATGAATTTCCGAGAGCCTATAGGTACGTCTACACGGTTTCTGCCGCGGACAAGGATGAATTTCTCTGCTTCATCACTACGAAAGGAGCCAGCACCTACCGTTCCCACTGCCAGAACGGGCAGCACCTGACCGTGAAAGTGGGCAGCCCGACCATGCCGGTGACCACCACTACGACCACTACTGCCACGCCGGCGGCACCCAGCAGTGGTGGTGTTGGAAAGTATTCACGACCCATCGCGTTTAGTACGATGGGTAGCTGCATTGCCATGGTGATGATCGCGATGTCCCATATGCTTTTTTTGTCGTAGGTCTCGCGGGTTATCATGTAAATGATAAAAATTGGGATTATAGTAGTTGTGTATGTGTTGGTGTTGCCGGTGAAAGACGCAAAAAGAAAAACCAAAAAAGGCTGGGAAATAAAAGCCTAAGCCAGCGCTGTCCATAATGGCGAAATACGATTTTTGAAAACCAAGAACAGAGTGCAAAACCTCTTCGTCTGATCATTTGCACAAGAGCTTCTAATTCTATGCCTATCGAGTGCATGACAGCGGACTCGGAAACGTTGATCCTATTCGTGTTCGCAAATTTTTTTCTGCTTGTTCTATAAAATAACTGATGATCTTCAAAAGAATCTGATCCGCGTTTCTTGTTCTCTGTATTGCAGGAGTAGACTGTATGCATGCATAATTACATCTGTTCCTTCCACCATGTGCCATCGAAGCCACTGCTTCATCTACAAGAACTTCTTGCCCAGAAAGATCCCCTGGTTCCTGTTCGGATCTTTTCTTTTTTCGCCCATCGAAATCACGATCGTTCTCTGTTCGCATGACACAGATCTTGTGCACCGGAGCGAAGTTTCAAATGATCATGAAAAAACGAACCCGTTTGAAGAAAATCAGATGAAGTGAGAGGTCCTGTGGGTGGTAAGATCTATCATAAACCGATGGCTGCCGATGGTAAAATCATATCTATCATGAGCGCAGCTTGACCTCGTGCCTACGAAGGCACAACAAATAAAGATATTGTAATGGTCTTTTCATGGTCATCTCCGTCTGCGACTACGACAACTGTATACATGTCCTTGTTATTCTTATTTCGCTTCGTTCAGGTTTTTCTTTTTGCTGATGTGGTTGAGTGCGCCGCCACCTTCCACCGATTTCATCTTTACCGCTAGAGTTTTTCTCTTTTTGTTGTAAATCACTTTAGTGCAGCGATTATATCGCATTTTTTTGATATTGCGAAATAGAACCAAGTACGTTGAAATTAATCGTACAAAACTTGTTTATGTTTACGTACTTTTTTGTATAGCGACGCAATTTTTCTAGCAAATTTTCACTTTTTTCCAAGCGAACCATGAACGGCGCACACATGGAGGCTGCTCATCCGGCTGTTGGCCCCCCTGGTCAACCGGGAACTACGCCCGGTGTGCCACCAGGTCAGCATCGGATTGAACACCACACCAGTATGACGTTCAAAAAAACAAACGAAGACCCCAGCAGGTACCATTTCCACCTTCTGATGAAAAAGAACCTCGACATTCACTGGAAAAACGGGAAATGGAAGCAGTTTCTGTGCATTTTCATCATGGTCCTGTGGTTCGGCGGGGCTGATCGATTTTTCGAGATTCTCCGGACCAAAAAGTATGACACAGTAAAGCCCGGCGCGTTAAATGGATTCGATATTATACTTGATGAGGACACGCCTCTTGACGCGAACTACGTTCATGTCAGCCGTTTCGCGGATCCTAACACACCCATCGCTGGCGAGAAGTTTCCGGGCTTGACCATGTTCTTTGCCTGCATCGGCGCACTGATAGGCATGTACACGGCAGTGTTCCTCCCGCTCACTTTTGTCTACCGGGTTTTCGGGTCGCAGATTTTCGGGGAGAAGGAAACCAAGTTGATGGAGATGCAGTTTGTCTACGGACTCAGCAAGGGCAAATATTGGCTCGCCAACCTGGTCTTCTTCACGATCGTGCTCGGGAGCACGTTTCTGATCGCGCACAATTTTCTGTTCACCATCTTTCTGACCATCGGCACGCAGGGCAATCTGCCGAAGTTTTGGACCAGCGGGGAACTCCTCTCTCTCGGGTACTTTCTACAGCCGCTCTTTCCGGTCGTCGCGGCGCTGCTGCTCGGCTCCACGCTCGCGGTCTCCTTCGAGAAGAAGGAGGCCTTCGAGGGGCTGTTGAACTCGCTCTCGGGCCTCGGCGCCCTGGCCTGCCTGGGTTTGTGGGCGTTGATGGAACTGTTTTTCCCCACGCGGACCTCCTTTTTCGCCACCGCCGCGAAGGGTTTGTTCTACGGCGATGAGGCCAGTGACGCGCCGACCGACTGTCCGGACTACAGTCTGAGCTCCCTGAATCTGCTCGGGTCCCTCCTCCTCGGCATCGTGATCCCGGGATTCAGTTACGCCCGGATTCTCCTGCGGGGCCTGCAGCTCAAAGTCGTGCTCATTCTGCTCAAGACTGTCTACCCTGACGGTATTCCTGACACGGGGTACACGAACTACGCCTTCTGGGGGTGCGCGGTCCGCAACGACCCGAGACCGCCCTTCTATCCGTTGGCGCGGGTGTTCAAGCGCTTCGATCCGGTGAACAATCCCGCGTCTCAGCGAGTGCTTTTGACGAGGGAACATGAGCAGTGGCTCATCGACGAAATGAACGAGAACAGCGGAGCAACTTTCCTGGCGAAGACGCTGCCGTTTGCCGACTACGTGCTGCCGATTCTTTTGGAATACACGGGTTTGATCCTCAACGTAATCTTCTGGGCCTTGATGCTGTATTGGCGCGAGACCGCGCGGCACAAAGCGGAAGAGGGAGAAGTCGCCGCTGCAGTTTCTTTGGCCGCTCAGCAGGGTGGAAGACCATATGGCCCTTCGGCCACGATGACATCAAGCAAGCCGGCGTTGCAGTTGATGCAACTGACGAAGACGTTCAAGCGGGGCAACTTTGGGCAACAGACGATCACCGCAAACCGCGGTCTCACCTTCGACATTCACCGCGGTGAAATTTTCGGGCTGCTCGGCCACAACGGCGCGGGCAAAACGACCTTGATCTCGCAGCTTACCGGCATGATTCCCTGTACGAGCGGAAACGCCTTCGTGAACGGGTACAGCATCCGGAACAGCGAGGACATCACGCAAGTCCGGCAAAGCATTGCTATCAAATGCAAATATGTCTGGGTCTGGAAACTTGTAATGTTGAATTGGCGAGACTGAAATACTTTCCAATGCAGCCAAGCATGACAAGTTTGCAGAGCACTTCCTCATGCGCGGTCCGCATGAGAGACACCAGGGCTTTTGTATTACAAAAAGGGGCATCCTCTTGCTAGTAGTCATGCAATACAGATTTTACAGGAGTGTAGGACTAGCATTACAAGTTCCATAGTAGTTCCAGACCCAGACATATTTGCAATGCATAATCGCCTTATGCCCGCAATACAACCCGATGTGGGAGGTCTACACGCTGCAGCAGCACGTGGAATTTTTCGCGCGCCTGCGCGGAATCTCTGATGCGGACATTGAGCCGACCATCGACAAGTACGCGGCGTTGCTCGGCTTGAGCGACAAACTGGACACACTGTGCGCCCAGCTGTCCGGTGGCCAGAAGCGGCGGCTCTGGGTGATGTGTGCGCTACTAGGGCATGCGCCGGTGGTAATTCTGGACGAGCCAACCTCCGGCATGGACCCCCAGGCGCGGCGGGACTTCTGGGTGCTGCTGAAGAAGATTGCGAAGGAGGAGGGGCGGTGTATCCTGTTCTCGACCCATTACCTCGAGGAGGCCGATCTCCTCGCGGACCGCAAGGCGATTCTCGCCGCGGGAAAACTGGCGGCGATCGGGACCAGCCAGCAGCTGAAGCGCGAGTTTGGCAACGGATTCTGGATCCAGGCCGTCGTCGATAAAGCAAAGTGCCATGACCGAACTTTGGCGAGGAAGATTCTAGGCGAAGACCTGAAAAAGGTCGTGGAGAACTGCTTGACTGAGGACCACCTCCAAGTCCAAACGGGTTCTTTGGAGGGTCGACGTGGGGTTGAAGCCGTGAAGCACAGCCTTGGTACACGACCAACCGTCGAGACCAAGAATCCAAAGGTGTCCGATTTCTACCTGGCGTACAACATTTCCTGGGCGCAAATGCACAAGATGGGCGACATTTTGGACCAGTTAAACCAGCACGTGCAACAGTCGCCGCACTTGCGAGATCTCGGCATCGAATTTTCCGTCGAGCAGACCACACTCGAGGAAGTTTTCAGCTTGGCGGGCGAAAAGGCGGAGCTTGAGGTGTTGAAGCTGGAAGCAGCCGCGGAGGAAAAAACAGGAAGTACATCTTCAGAACAAGTTCACAAATCTGTGGAGGAGCAGCTTGAAGCGAAGAAGTTACAGAAGAAGAAGGACGAGTTTCTTTCCAAACAGCCCCTGCGGAAGCGAACCTTGGCGTTTTTCCAGCAAGTCGCGGCGATCTACCGCTTTCGCGTCTGCGGAGAGCTGTGGAAAAAGTTCGGCAGCTATATGAGCATCGGGATTTTTCTTACCGCGTTTCTCGTGTTATCCTATCAGGTGAAACCCGAGGTCGATAAGGACCTGCCCGGCATGTGGGTCAGCATTTTCAGCCTCTGGCTTTCCTCTATCATGGTCGCGACGCTCCCCTTCCAGTTGTTCGGAATGAATTTGACCCGGAACATTTACGACAAGGAGAACAAGGAGGGCCTGCTATCCTGAGTAAAAACGTCCCCACACCAGAGTTGTCATGCAAATCTGCATGGCAAAAGAGTTTGTCATGCGGAGCGCCATGAGAGGCATTTTATAGTCGTGCTTTGGAATTTGTGATGCTACAATCGGCATGATATACTGGATCTGTGATGCTGCTGAGCTACCTAATCAGGATTACACTACGAGGAGAAACCTGTCATGCCAAACGACCAAAGCTGGGCGATTTGTCTAGCAGATTCCCCATCTTGACTCTGGTGTGGGGACGTTTTTACAAATGATACCTGCTCCGGCACCTCACCATGCACGGGATGAAGCGGAGTGCGTTCCATTTCGGGTCGTTTCTCTCCTTCTTCACCTTTCCAACGGGCTTCGCCTATGCAATACAAATTTCCCGTACATGTACAAAATGCATCACAAATTTCGCCAACTTGGAGCATGCCACTTGTCATGCTGAATAGCCTTCAGCGCTAGTTTTGTCATGCGGAGCCAGCATTCGTACGTGTACGGGAAATTTACTGTGAATATCGCCTGGGTCCTGTACACGATCTTTCTGATGATGATCTTCTCCTCCGTCTTCGCATCCTCGACCGCGATCGGGACGGTGTTCGTGTTCCTGTTCGCCTTCGTCGTGCCCGTCACGAACATCCTGCTCCCGATGTTCCTGGGCCTCACCTGCAGCAACGCCCTGTGGGTGATCTACATCGTGGTCAGCTACGCGGTGGCTTTCCTGCCACAGATGATCTACGGCATCGTGCGAGGGACGAGTAACCAGGAGATGTGGAACCCCACTTTTGATTGTAGAATGACGGAAATGTTTCTCTCCAGCCACGCCCAGGCGTATGACACCAAAAAGAGCGTAATACGTAACGGAATTTTCATTTTGCATAAAGTATTGCATATGCATCAGAATTCATTGCACAAATTTGTATTTACTCAACATGCATGGTAGAGAAAATTAAAATTTTAACTTGATCTTGCTATGCATGACTACAATGCTTCAAAACTGTTTAACGTTAGCGCTTCTTTTTTTGGTTGATAAGGCGGCTGGCTTGGATATGCTGTTCTCGTTCGGCGTGCCTGATTGGTTCAACGCGATCTGGTTTGTCCTTGGCCTGTTCTTCCCCCCGGTCGCCGCATCAAGGGCGTTTACCGCACTGTACAAACTTTGGACGTATGACAAAGCGCAGGCCGTAATCCACTTCGCGACCAGTGTCCGCGAGAATTACGTGCAGCTGCAGGGGATGGGCCTAACTGCCTCGGAGATCCAGAGTCTTCTGGGCCGCCGAGCCCAGAGGGGGCTGATCGATCCACACCTGATTAAGAAGCTATTTCCGTACGTCCAGCCCACGAATTCCGTCTTCTACTATCTCTTCGGCGGCCCCGCTTTTGTTGTGGAAGGCGGAGATGTGACAAGCGACGGCTCTCCGAAATTATTTCCTCAATATTTGGACAACCCGCAATGCGGTCGAGCGTACCTGACAAAAACGGCCTGGTTTGAAGTCCTCGCCCCGGTTTGGGCGCTGCTCGTGATTGTCACCTGTTTCGTGCTCCACCAAACTTGGTGGCTCCGGCGCAAAACCTTCCGCCAGTTCGCGAACAGGGGTCTTGCGGGAGACCAACTGGAATTGCCGGCGAAGGAGCCAGAAGAAAAGCGGGACAGGGACGTCGTTGCAGAGGAAAAGCGGGCCCGTGGCGGGCAGGGCCACCAGGTCGACGCGGTCGATGTGCGTGATGTCTACAAGCATTTCAACGACGTTGGCACGACAACGCCGAACTGGGCGACCAAGGGCGTCACGCTTGGCGTCCCCGTCGGTGAGTGTTTTGGTTTGCTTGGCCCGAACGGCGCGGGAAAAACCACCCTGTTCAACCTGATGAGCGGCAACGACGAGATTGGGGGGCCGGACAGCGGCAGCATTTTCATCCAGAATAAGGACACGAAGACGGACTGCTTTGCCTCCAGTCGAGAGATCATGGGGCTGGCGCCGCAGTTCGACAAGCTCTGGCCGCACATTTCGGGCAGGATGCACTTACGGCTGTTCGCAAAATGCTGCGGAACGTACTATGCTCCGAAAGAGGTCGTGGTCGGTGGTGGGCGTGGGGGAACTAGTGCTAAAAAAGCTCCCGACGGTAGTACAGAAAACTTCGAGGATCCGGAGGCGCAACGACTGCTCCCCAGCACAATAAACGCTGGACGAACGCATAATGCCTACCCCTTAACCGATTATGGAGAGGAGCGGATTTCCCGTTTTCTTCGTGAGGTTTCGCTCTCTGAAAAAGACGCCGATCGGAAGGTGGAGGAGTATTCTGGGGGTATGAAGCGCAAGTTGTCGGTGGCGTTGACTTTGATCACCGACCCAGGACTCGTCTATTTGGACGAAATGTCGGCAGGGGTGGACATTGTTGCGCAACGATCTCTGTGGAACAAAATTTTGCATCGCCCGGACGGACAAACCATCATCACCACGACGCACTCCATGGCCGAAGCGGACGCGGTTTCCGACCGGGTGGGCGTCTTGGTTGCCGGCCGCCTGAAGTGTTTGGGGGAAACCTCGCACATTAAGAAAATGTACGGAAGCGGGTACCACCTCGAACTGACCGTGGATCTAGGGAAACAAGAACCGGTGGTTAGTACCGACGCTCGTGCACGACCAGGTGCAACCGCGGCTGGAGCTGCGATGTGCAACATTGAAAATATTACCGCCGACAATGTCGAGCAAGTTGTGATTCAAAGTCTGTCGCAGCACTTGCAGGTGCAAGAGCATGCTGATGTGAACACAGCAGGTCTACTTGAGGCAGGTGGAGCTACGGCTGATACTACAACAACCTCCATTGCAGCGAAGACTCCCGCAGGAACAGAACGCCAGCAATCTTATTTCAAGCTGTTGGAGAAGCTCTCCTTCTCCCCGACCCGTATCCGCTTGGTCTTGTCCTTTGAGAAGACCGATAGGATCAAAATTTCGGAGGTGTTCCGCTGGGTGGTCAGAGACCAGTTGAACATTATCGAAGATTACGGCCTGGGTGAGCCGACGCTGGAGCAGGTCTTCTTAACGTTCGCGAAGGAGCAGGAAGAGGCGGACGCGGAACGCGATCTCCAGGAAGCGCTCGGTGGGGGGCAACACTACCTTGCAGGTGGAGCAGTTGCTGCTCCTGGTGGAGGTGCTGGGGTGATGTACCGCAATCCTTTCAACAATCAGGTCACCACGGAGCGCGTGGTGTTCGACCATGCGGGGAGGCAGCAATACTACGATATTGCCACAAACATGTGGTATAACCAGCAGACGCAGCAGTGGGTGCCGGCGGCGTGAACCAATCAAATAGTCCTCGTGTAGTCATGTTGATCATGATTCGCGCGAGCAACGGCTTGCTTTTAGTTTTACGTCAGACAAGTCTCCGAATTTTGGAAAGCAGTAGGGGATTGTTGCGAAAGCCTTCGCAGGCAGCAGAACGGAGAAAGCACAAAGAAGAAACACTACACAAGAAGTGATTTTTTTATTTCAAATATGCACAGCCACAGCCACAGAGTAAGCTGTATAGTTAGAATACCTTTTCGCACTCCCGTGTACAGAAATGGATAGGAAAGAGCGCACTTATGGAACCCCATACATAAGGTTAACAAGGAGTATACCTTCAACGTGGCGCAGGAAAGCGAGCGTAGCGTTTTTTTGATCAACAAATTGAGTGCATGCATTTTGTCATAATTCTTTTTAGCTTTCTCTTGTTTAACCTCGTTAGACATCCCTCCAAGAGGGATTTCATTTTCAAATCTAATCACCGAACTGCATCATAACCATTGAAATAGAAGACATGGAGAATAAGATATATTTTTCGAAGAGCGCATTATACATACCGTCAATGGAGTACAACACGGATCACACCATGACTGTAAAGTATTGATGAATATTTTCATCCGCTGCATATGCATTCCCATTCTTATTCTAACTTTTTGTTTTTGGTGTTTGGCGAAGTCGATAACCAGCCGGAAATAGGAATAGGATGTTTTTACAGATTAAGATTATTTATTTTTCTCCCGTCATTTCATGAGAGCAGGAACATGAACAGCTAGGATTTTGGTTCTTGTTTTGGTGACACGATTCATTTGCATGCTTTGTGTGGAGCAGGTTTAGGCCAGTTCAATGTTTTTTTCTGGCACGGACATGCGATTGCTGTGCTGTAGCTGTAGTGATCATTCTTGCGGGTGTATGATTTCAATTACTCGATGAAGGAAGCGATTTCATCGGGAATCGTAAGAGCAAAAACGAAAAGCTCCATTGACTGTTGCAAGCAAAGTCTACTTACGTTGATAAGACCCAGCGCAAGTGTCAGCCTCGTTTTTGATATCTGCAAAGAGGCGGCCGAGGGCAAGTTTGGATTTGGATACGCTACTGCAGCTAGAGTGGCACTTTTTCGCATTTTCGTCAGCAGAAACATGAAATAAAGGTAGAAAGCACCCCACTACAAAAACATAAGCATTTTTTGTTGAACAACGTGACCACAGGATGCGTACTTTCAACAGTAAAAAAATGACTGCGCGAAACGTATTGTTAAGGTTTTATTTCCCTTGCGAAGACGTTGGCGTGACAACTACTGGTATTGACTACATGCTGCAACGGTACACACACGACCGCAGAGCTTGCGTCACAGCTGGCTCTATTGATTCCCTCCGGTTCTGCTGCGATCATGGCTGCAATATTGAGATTTTGAAAAATTGCAGCCTGCTAAAATGGCAATTATAATATCGGTTCTTTCGGTGTGCCTCAATCAAAAATTGAGACAAGAAATTTTCATCTCGATCATCCGCACGGCACAAAATTCGAATTTCTCACGTCGGACAGCAAAAGACTAAAGGCGATCAGAAAGATGCCACGCGCTTATTGACCCTAGAAAGAAAGGTAATTTGTCGGTTTATTTATATTGTGGTCGAAGATATGAGTATGACTATGTCGGTCGACAAAGATAAGGCACACAGAAATTGTTCGGTTTACAATGATTTGCTGGTTGTGGTTGCTCTTTCTGAAAATAAATAGAGCCACCGCGAAGATCCATGATGACCTGTTGCTGAAATTGATCCATTTTCGACGATGTTGGACGCCAAATACAAGAAAAATCGGTGTTGTGCATGTTTGTAGGCAAGGTCAACTACAAAGTGAAGATCAAGTCTTGGGCTCAGAAGTAGTGCTCACGACCGTTGGCGGTCATTTCTGGTATTGTCTGAATTTGAATTTCGTATATATACCTACAGCCACAGACTCTGACACCAGCTTGAACGACTGCTTGTTTTGATACCGAGTTCGCTACAAGAAATTTTCTTGTAGCGGTGTTTTGATACTAAGAGGATTCGACTGCTTGTTTTTGATTCGACTGCTTGTTTTGATACTAACTGCTTGTTTTTGATTCGAATACTTGTAGCGGTTTTTCGATTCGACTGCTTGTTTTGTTAAATTCCCTTCTAATATCGAAACACTTTTTCTTTTTCTACTTTTATGTGCTTTCGCATTCGCGAAATTACAAAAGCATCGATTCTACCTGTTGAACTCTTCTTCCTCCACAATTACCATTCCGAATAAAAGTTGATTCGAAAGCGAAAGACATCATCTTTCCTTTTCCACGAACGATTCCAAGTGATTTAAGAAAAAACGGTCTACACCATCTTTGCCATAAAATACATCAAAATTTCCGCATTAAGATAGACAGAGCGTCTCCGACGTCCACCCAGAAAAAATAACTTGACTATCCTCGCGTCAAATCCTATATATTGCAGCCGAAAACAATTGCCGTCACAATGGAACAAAGTCGTCAGGAGCAGGTTGTTTTGTTGCCGAGTGGCACTCCAGCTTCGTCGAGTGGCACTCCTTTTCGTCGGCAGTTGGACCAGCATCAGAACAACAGCAAGCCACTCCCCGCCGGGATGAATGGAAGCACCACAAGCGCAGGACCTCCACAGATGTCTCACTTTAAGCTTTTGTGGAACAAAAACGTCGATGTCCATTGGCGGAACAAGAGCTGGATGCAGTTCGCCTGCGCGTTCATCCTGGTGCTTTTTTTCGGCGGGGTCTCGCGGTTTAGCTCGTTGCTGAACCGCCCCATCACCGGCAGTGACGAGTACGACATCTGGCGCGCGGCCGTCTATGGCCCTGGCACGGAGAAAATCGGCACCGAGGGTGGCGGCGCCATTCTGTTCTTCGGCCCGCTCGGTGAGGGGATCTCGTTATGGGCGGGCGTGTTCATCCCACTGTCTATCGTGTATCGGATTTTCGGCAGCCAGATTTTTATCGAGAAGGAAACGCAGCTGATGGAAATGCAGTTTGTGTACGGCCTGTCGAAGGTCAAGTACTGGCTGTCCAACCTGCTCTTTTTCGGCGTCGTGCTCGGCGGCGCGTTTTTACTCGCCCAGGTCATTTTGGTGGTCTTCGAATCCATATGGATTGCAAATATGTCTGGGTCTGGAAGAACCAAACTTGTGATGCTGCATATGGATGCTAAAAAAATCTGTATTGCATCAGCAGCAAGAGGAGTCAAATTTGGCTACGCGGAGAGGGCATTTGTCATGCAGGATGCGCATCGATAGGCGCTCAAAAAATCTGTGATGCTACGGCATACATCGCAGACATCATGGATTATGGAAAATGTGCATGACAAACTTCTCCTCTTCCAGACCCAGACATTTTTACATTTGATAATCAAAGTGGGTCAGCGGCGCCGTGACGCGGGACTGGACGAGCGGGGAGATCTTTATGGCGCTCTCAAACGTTACACTCTCAACTGTTACACGAATCTGTGATGCAAGAACAGCAAAAGTGAAAGCGGGAAGATTGCGCGTTTCGCATTACAAATTTGGGACGGAGTGTGATGCTGTTTAGCCCTTCGAAAATTTGTCATGCTGAGCACCTTGATCAAGTGGAGGCAGGCTCAGGCTGATGGCAATTTTGCATGACAAATCATGTAACAGTTGAGAATGTAACATTTGGGAGCTCCATAGTCTTTTCTCTAGGTTTGTTCCTCGCGCCCGTGTTCCCGGTGGTTGCGGCGCTCGCGTTAGGCTCGACGTTCGCGGTGGTTTATCAGCAGAAAGAGAAGTTCGAAAGCTTCCTCAACGCGATGGGGCTGGGGGGCTCGCTGATCGCCCTTGCCTTGTTGCTAGGCGTGGAGTTTATCGCGCCAACGAAGACGAGCTGGATCCGGGTGGGGAGTAGTGCGTTGTTCAGTGACGACGTCAGCGATTGTCCGGACACGAGCTTGACCTGGCTGAACAATGTTTTCTCTCTGCTCTTCGGCATCTTACTCCCCGGCTACTCGTTCGCAAAAATCAACTACCGCGGGATGACCATGCGGTACGTGTACCTCGGCATGAAGATCCAGTACCCGAACGGGCTGCCGCCCACCGGCCTGCCCGGCTACGCCGGCTGGGGCTGCGCGCTCCGCAATGACCCACGTCCGCCGGGGGTGCCGCCCGTGGGAACGACCCCACTCAGTGTAGACGAGACGGCAGGGGGGTCGCTGACGTTTGGCATTGTGCCGGAACCCGTGAAGAAAGCGTTGGAGGATGAACTGAACAACGACGCGGGCATGAGCTTCTTGGCGAAGCACTTGTCGTTTGGAGATATCACCTTGCCGATTTTGATCGACTACGTCGCACTAATCCTGAACGTCGTCTTCTGGCTGGGGGCTCTGTACCGCTGCGAAAAGCGACGCCACCAAGCGGAGCAGGGAGAGGTAGCAGCTGAAGATGATTATAATGCTGTGTCCTCGGAGATGGTGCACCACCGGCGTAGTGGCGCAGCTTCGGCAGTGCAGCTGGCTCGAGCTGGGACCACGAACGACAAGCCGGCGCTGGTGTTACAAAACCTGAGCAAATCTTTCAAAGTCCCCCACGGCACTATCACTGCGAACAAGGACCTCAGTTTCGAAATCCAGCGCGGGGAAATTTTTGGACTTCTCGGCCACAACGGCGCGGGGAAGACGACTCTGATTTCGCAGATTACCGGCATGATCCCCTGCACGAGCGGCAACGCCTTCGTGAACGGGTACTCCATTCGGGACAACGACGAGATCGGGCAAGTCAGGCAGAACATCGCTTTGTGTCCGCAGGCGAATCCGATGTGGGAGAACTACACCATGCGGCAGCACATCCAGTTTTTCGCCCGGCTGAAGCAGATCCCGGAGGAGGAAGTGGAGGCGACCATTCTTAAGTACGCGAGGCTGTTGAACGTCGAGCATAAACTCGACACGATCTGTGAGAAGCTGTCCGGCGGCCAGAAGCGGCGTTTGTGGGTGATCTGTGCGTTGCTCGGAAGTGCGCCCGTCGTCATCCTGGACGAGCCGACATCGGGGATGGATCCGCAAGCGAGACGGGATTTCTGGGCGTTTCTGAAGAAGCTCGTGAAGGAGGAGAAGCGGTCGATTTTGTTCTCCACCCACTATCTGGAGGAGGCGGACCTGCTCGCGGATCGCAAGATCATCATTGCCATGGGCAAAAAAGCGGCCATCGGGACGAGCCAGGAACTGAAGCGGCAGTTTGGCGAGGGGTTCTGGATTCAAGCGACGGTGGACAAATCGAAGTGCCTGGACAAGAACGAAGCCAGGGAAATCTTGCACGTGCAGCTGAAGGAAGTAGTCAGAAGTAGCTTGAATACAACAAACTTTATCAAGACCAAGAATCCCAAAGTCTCCGAGTACTTCCTCGCGTTCTGCATCCCGTGGGAGGAAATCGAGAAGCTGGGCGACATCCTGGACCGGTTGAGCGAGTATTGTGACAGCAAGGAATCGCTGAAATCGAAGAACATCGAGTTTACGGTGGAACAGACCACTTTAGAGGAGGTGTTTAGCATTGCGGGCGAGCGGGCGGAACTGGAAAAGCTGAGGGAAGAGCAAGATGATGAGGAACAGGTAGAACAGACCATGTTGGAGAAGAAGCAACAGGAACAGAGGGACCAGCAGCTGTCCCGCATGCCGTTGCGGAAGCGCGAAACTTCCTTCTTCTCCTCCGCCGCCGCGGTTCTGCGGTTCCGCCTCACCGGGCAGAACTTTTTGCGGCCGGGGAGCTACATCTCGATGCTGATTCTGTTCGGTATTTTCATCGCGGTGTCCGTGCTCGTGGAACACTCCCAGGGCACCGAAAACCCGGGGTTGTGGGCGAACCTGTTCGCGACGTCGCTGAATGGCTTGTTTCTCGGCATGTTGCCCTTCCAGCTGCTCGGGCTGAACATCATCCGGAACCACTACGACAAGGAACGGTCTCACGGCCTGCTCCGTCACCTGACGATGCACGGGGTCAGCCGCAGCAGTTTCCACTCCGGCAGCTTCCTCTCCTGGTTTTTGTTTCCCACCGGTCTGGGGTGGCTGCTGTTCACGATCATCCTCATGGTCTACTTCAGCAAGGTGCTCGCGTCCACCTGGACCATCGCGTTAGTGTTTTTTGTATTGTACGCGGTTATCACCGCCTCCTCCAACATTCTGTATCCCATGTGGATCGGGGTCGCGCTACCGGGGAAGTACTGGTTCGTGGTCCTGATTATGCTGGGTTGGCTAATCGGGCTGCTGCCCGCGATGCTAGCAGGCGCGCTTTTCAACGCGGGTGACGTGTCCCCGACCTGCCAGAACGTCGGCCTCGTGGTGTCCGCGTTCGCGCAAGCCCCGGGCAACGCGCTGAACTTCCAGATTCCGGTCTGGTGGTCGGTCATGTGGTTTTTCCTCGGTCTCCCCTTCCCCGCGGTCGGCAGCGCCAACGCGTTTGCCGGGTTGTACAAGCTGTGGGCGTTCGACAAGGCGGTGACCAGCTTCTCTTGGATCGCGAACTACCAAAATTGGCCAACACTCGTAAACGAGTTCGGGTTGAACCCCCTCGACCCGTCCACCTGGCCGGTCCGGGTCGATCCGCAGGGGCAGGTGGTCAGCTTCAACAACGAGTTAATGTCGAAGATCTACTACGAAACCTCCGCCTCCCAGTCGCTCTCCTACTACCTGTTCGGAACCGACTTGGAGGTGCCGTCGTTCATCCCGGGCACGGACAACCCCGTGCAGCCGCTCGCGAACCGCCTCGTGGACGAGTTTATGGGGCAATTTCGGGCCAACACCGAGTGCGGGCAATCGGGTTTGACGCAGGCGGCGTTCTTGCAGGTGTTGATGCCGGTCTGGTCGTTTTTCCTGGTCGTACTATTCTTCGTTCTCCACCATACGTGCTGCTTGCGGCGGAAAATGCGCAAGAATTACGGAGCCCGCCGGAACGTCGGGGCAAACGGAGACGTCGACTTGCCGAGAAAGGAACCGGCGGAGGAGCGGGACTTGGACGTGGTAGCCGAGGAAAACCGGGAACGCAGCGTGAACCCGCCCGACACCATCGACATTCGGGACGTCTACAAACACTTTAAGAACCCCGGGAGCGACGAGCCAAACTGGGCCACGAAGGGGGTCACGCTCGGTATCATCATACAAAGCATTTGGTTGTTGCATAAGGGAAATTTTTGCGTTCTAGTAAATCCCTACTGACCACTTTTGCAAAGTTGACGGCCAGAGAGGGTTCGTGATTTAATTCTCCCTGTGTTCGATAAAATGAGAAATTCGCTTCTACTCGCCCCATAGATACATTGAACTTTGTTTATGCAAGTTTCACCACCCAAAACAACAACAGGCATCCCTGCCGGCGAGTGTTTTGGTCTGCTGGGACCGAACGGTGCGGGGAAAACCACGCTGTTCAACCTGATGAGCGGTAGCGACGAGATTGGCGGCCCGGACGCGGGCGCGATTTTCATTCAGGGCAAAGAGGCCCTGGACGACTACTTTATGGATTGCAAAAGTATCGTACTCGTATAAATGCATTACAAATTTCCTCAGCATGAGAAATAAAATCTGTAATGCTGATTTGCCTTAAGAACAAGATTTGCAATGCATGACTGCAATACGAGTACGATACTTTTGCACAGGATAATCTTCGAATCGAGCCGCAAAATCATGGGTTTGGCCCCGCAATTTGACAAGTTGTGGCCGGACATCAGCGGGCGGAGACATCTGCGCTTGTTTGCGAAGTGCTGCGGAACCTACTACCCGCCGAAAGGCATGAATAAAACAGCAGGAGGAGCACTGGGTGGAGGTGGACGACAATCCGCTGATGAGCTCGACCCCGAGTCCCAACGGCTGTTAAGTGACAATGAAAAATTGTACTTCGACTACGGGGAAGAACGGATTTCCCGCTTTCTCCGCGAAGTCTCGCTTTCCGAGAAGGATGCCGACCGGAAGGTGCTCGAGTATTCTGGCGGAATGAAACGCAAACTGTCGGTGGCGTTGACTTTGATCACTGACCCGGAGCTGGTGTATTTGGACGAGATGTCGGCGGGGGTCGATATCGTCGCGCAAAGATCTTTGTGGAACAAAATCTTGCATCGCCCGGAGGGGCAGACGATCATCACCACGACGCACTCCATGGCCGAAGCGGACGCGGTGTCGGACAGGGTGGGCGTTTTGGTCGCTGGACGATTGAAATGTTTGGGCGAAACCTCGCACATCAAGGACGTGTACGGGAGCGGCTACCATCTGGAACTCACCTGCGACTTGTCGAAGCAAGATGATAAATTTGTTCCTCAAACTATCACCGTTCAAAACGTGGAGGAGATCGTGATCGCTTCTCTTCTGCACCACCTGAAAATCGGTGATGACGTGACGATTGCCACCGCGAAGAAAAAGATCACCAACAGCTTTCAGCTGCAGCGCACAAAAAGCAGCCTTTTGGAGAGTGGCATGATCGAGGAGGAAAATATCAAGAATAATAGCGACGAAACGACTGCTCAGGAGCCCAAGCCTTTCGAACTGCTCGAGAAGATCGTGTTCTCGGAGCACAAGGTCCGCCTCATCCTGGCCTTCAAGAAGCAGAACAACAGTGCAACTGATAATGATAAACCGCTGCAAAAGATCATGAAGCGAAATATCAAGATTTCCGAGGTGTTCCGCTGGGTAATCAAGGACGAATTGAAGATTATCGAAGACTATGGTCTCGGGGAGCCGTATGGATGTGTCAGGATTGAAATCGTCAAAGTTGAAATGACTTGCCATGCATAAAATGCAAGGCATGAAGTGCCTGTCTTGCCGGGATGGCAAGTGAGGCAGATTGTGAGCCTATTTAGGGTTTGGGATAGAGCTGCCAAAGGAGCATGACAAAAGCAGTCTTCTGTGCCCAAGCAGCATGACAAATTGGATTCCGGTGCTCCGAAAATTTGTCATGCGCCGCTTGGAAATTGGTCTTCCAACTGGTATCCATTTCATGCATGACAAACCATTTCAACGCATGTCGATTTCAAACCTGACGCCTCCATAAGCCGAGTCTGGAGCAAGTCTTCCTTAGGTTCGCCAAAGTACAGGAAGAGATGGACGCGGAGAAAGAGTTGTTGGCGAACTTCGAAGGGACGCTGTATTACAACCCGTTTACGGAGAAGTATGGGATGGAACGAGTCGTGTTTGACCAGAAGAAGAACGAATGGTACGACATCGAAGCGAGGCAGTACTACGACCAGGACGCCCAGGCGTGGTACGAGCCGCTTTTTTCCAAAAGTCCCCAGTAGTTGTGGGGGGATGAAGATTTCTGAGTGCTGACTAAGTGGTCTACTCGGCAAGTGGAAAAAGCTTTTATAATCGAGGGAAACCCGAAACAAGATGAAGGAAGAGAACTTTGAAGGGAGTCGACGACGATTTTGCCGCCGTTAACCGCTTGAAGCGGTGTTGGCTAAGCCAAGCGGGGGCATTTTCTTCCCAAGTAGAATTAGATGGCAAAAGTGGTTTAAGTTAACTTTTAACTCATGAAAATCTGCCACTGGATCTCTTCAGAATCTTCTAAAACTGAAAACTGGTAGTGGATTCACGATTGTTGTAGTGAAACAACAAGAATGAATGCACTTCCACTTTAATTTGTCATCGCCTGGAGTTCAAGTTCGCACACGAACTTTTATTTTTGATGTTCTGGCTCAGGAAAGGAATGACATTAGGATGAGCTGGCTCCGCTTTTGCAAGCGGGTGCTATCCACTTCATCTTCAACACAAATAAGCAGAAGTCGTCGACATTGTGCGCAACACTTCTTCTACATAGTACGTGATAGTATCTGTGTTTTGATTGATCATATCAAAAGTCCGAGCGAGCTGTAGTTTGATTTTGATGCCAGTGAAGAAAGCATCAAGATTACGGAATCCGCTGCTACAGCTTGATTATTTTTTGGTTGAGTACCAGTCCCCTGTGTAAGTAAGTAAGTAAGTATGCGATCACAGTAGTTGCAATACGCTTTTTATGCAGTATGATCATGACGAGCCTATGCATTTTGCTTTTGGTGTGGTAGAGTGCAGCGGTGGTCATCCAGTACAAAAACCGTTCTAATAATCCATTCCTCGCTAGGATCTGAAAGGAGTAGACATCGAAGTAAAGCAAGCACATGATGCAGCTTTTCAGGTCCTAGCGAAGGAAATTGTTTTGGAGGATCATGGAAAGTAAAAAAGACCTGCATTAGCTTGCACTTAATGTGGTCGTGTTTTTCCGCCGGAAAGGAAAGTTGTGTTCGAATGGCGCGATGGTGATGGATTGGCTCAGAACGCAGCTGCTCAGACACCAGGCTAACCATAGAGAAATCGGCAAATTACAATCTGACTCCGAGTTGCCTCTTTGGGAATCATCTTGGTGTTACATTCATATCCATAAGAACCGGCGGCCAATTTCCTATTCGAGGTATGTCCGAGAAGTAGTATGCAACACACACAGAGGACACGGTCTGTGTCTAACAGTTGCCGTAGCATCGGTTTCGGTAGGTTCGAGAGGAAGAAAGAAAAAGAAATCGCGTTTTTGCAGCCGCGTTCACTGTGTATCAGAGCACACAACGCGATAATTTTGGAGCGATACACACCTTGCACAGCATTACTTCTAGTTCTACTAGGGGATGCATATTACTAACGTGCAACTGCAAGAGGGACGACAGAGACATACTGTAGAAGATACTTCTGAGCTGCATTTTTTGTGTCCCGTGGGAACCACGAGGGAGCAGAGTGCAGCTACGTGTGTTGTTTTTTCAGTTGAAGCCAACTACACTTCAACTTCTGACTGCACTGGCAGCACTATCTTCATATTCTCAGTGTCCAACAACCTGCATGTTTTGTTACCCTTACAACCTCCATGATCTTCGTCGCCCTCGCCTCATCTCAATCCCCTCTCATGGTACACCTCCTTGAATTGTATTCGTACCCCCACGCGCAAGAATAATATTGTAATTTATCACAACAAACGTTGTATCTATGTTGTAGGTTCTTTTTCTATGATCGACGCATTGACTACTGCAATGATGAAGATTACTCATGTTTTACAGTTGCTGTCCACCAGCAGTAGGACGAAGAAGATGTCTTGACGCAGGTAAGCACATACACAAGCAACCTAGGTATATGTTTTTCGTTTGAAAGGTATCAGTCCTGAAAGAACTCCCCATCTGACAGGATGTCCGCGTTCCTCACCTCCGCGTACACGGTGGTGTCCGCCAGTGCCAACCTGGTCATCGGCACCAAGCAGATGACGGACAAGGCTCGGCGGTTTTTACAGAACAGCAACGACCCCTACGATTTCTATGGAAGCAATTCCGCGAACAGCTTGTTCGGTTCGTTTGAGGTGCGCAAGCGGCTGTTTACCCTGCAAGCCCGCTTGAATTGCCTCGTCACGCCATTGTCTTTCCTGCTCCTCTGGTCGATGGACAAGGACTCGTGCATCCGCCAGCTCCTGTTAAACGCCATGAGCACGGTGGAAAACGTGGACTTGTTTCTCAACGGTTTGGGCTTCTGCGGGTACGGGCTGGGCAGCGGGGGAGGAGGTGCGACGAGGAACAGTAAATTATTGACCCCGCGCGGGGGCAGCGCGTTGCACAACAACTCAGCGGGAGGAGGAGGTGTGCCAGGTAATTATGGAGCTGGTTTTGCTGATGACAGAGACCACGGCGGTAGCGGCGGCAATATCAATCTGAATCCGATGGACCTGAACGCTCCCGGTGGACCACAGGTAGACCAGATGAACAAAACAGCGGGCGAAAGCGGCACCGGAGCAAATGCGAACTCCACGACATCCGAACAAGACATTCTGGACAGTTTGGATTTTCACATTCGCGAATTGGATTTTGCGCAGCAAAGTGTCACCATGGCACTCACCATGGTGAATACTCCTGGGTGTCTTGCGGCAGAAGGTGGAGGAACAACTGTCACTAGTAGTAAAACGCTCGCTCGTGTGAATTTAGACTGTGGCCAGAGCAGGACGTCGGGCGCCACAGGATCCTCTAACACGACCCATCATTCGGATGCTCCTCATCCACCACTACTACCCACCAGCGTTTCCCCCTCGGCCTTGCTGAAGGCCACCAAGCGCATTCAGGAGGTGGCCCTGGTGCCGGGTGGGGGCGAGTTGTGCGTGTGTGTGGGTCAACTTTCGGTCAACGGCGAAGCGTTTTTCCGTGCGCGGCTGAAGATTCTAATGCAGAACAAGTGCTTCCAGCTCCGGCTTGACCCCGTTTGGAACGTAGACGAGGAAGACCACGGAACTGTAAAAGACATAAATAGCGCCACAACCAGCAACATCGCCAGCACCCAATTTCCCATTTCTGTAGCGCTCGACTTTGAGCTCATGAATTACGAGAACAAGAATCACGGCGCGGCGCCAGCGGCTGCTTCGAACAACACGAAATCTTCCGATGTCGCCAGCACATCTAGAACCACAACAGCACATCACCATTGTGGAGGAAGTTCGGGGACCCCCGCTGCCCAGTCTACTCAGCAGGGACAACCAGCCCTCCCCTGTCTTGCGGTGAAATGGAGCGAGAGCGGCATGAGTTCGGTTATCGAGACGGGCGACTTTGTACATCTTGAGGACGACTTCATGGCGATTGATGCTCCCGAAGACGATGCGCTGTTTGCATCCACCAGCGCTGGAGCAGGCCCGGCAGGCGCGTCAACAATAAACAAGCTCGCACGAGGCATAGTCAACGGTGGAGTAAGTTGTAATGCATCAGGAGCGACGAGCAAATTACAGCCCCGAAACTCGTTGATCGCCGGCGGAGCTACGAGCTCGACGACCGCAAGAGCCGGCGTTGCCAGTCTGAATACTTACCACTTCCTGTTCGATTTGCTCGACGGAAACGCTTGCGCAACGGCACAAATTCCAGCTACTTCTTCCACGGGCAGCTCATCAACGACCGCCGGTGGTTTTTCTCGAGGGTCTACTGGTGCTAGAGGAGGTTTGATAGGCGGTGGTAGCACGACGACGAACACCACGACAATGACCCCTATCGAGTTCTTCTACACGGCGCGGCTGTGCACCGTGGCCGACCCCTCCGTCGCGTTTTCAGCGGGCGCGGGGAAGATGAGTCCGGCGTTGTTGAAGGCGTTTAGCATGATCAGTGCGGGCCGGAAATCGAGCGGTGGTAACGTGGAGGACGTGATTTTGTCTCTGCCGGACGAGACCATGCGAGAACTACTGCGGACCAAAGGCTTGACAAACCAGAGCGAGTTGTACGCGCAAAAATTGGCCGAACAAGAGAAAATCAAAAAAGCCGCTGCAGCCAGGGCCGCGTCCTCTAGTACGAGTGCAGGTGCAGCTACTGGAGGGGCGGGCGCGAAAAGCGGTAGTGCTGAGCGAGGTCCAAAACTAACAAGAAACGCGCCGAACCATGCAACTACAGCGAAGAGCTCGATCCTTTCGGGCAGCAGTTGCGACGAGGGCTATGCCGACGGAATCAAAACTTCAGACGCAGGCAGTTCTCATGGCGAAGATACAACCAGCAAGCACCTCTTTCGCCCAGATGAAAGACCCCCTGCCCCTTCTTCACAACGCGTAGCGGGCAGCGCCGACAATTCTGTCTCGAAGCTGCACGAAGACAAAATACTAGTGAATCCTGGAGGTGTAGGAGCCGGTGCTGTGGCAGGTAGTAGTTCCCTAGAAGCGCAAATAACGACGTCCACTAGCACGACATGTGCTCCCGTGGAACAAAATCTTCAGCCAGGAAGCAATAACATGAGCGCAGCTGCGACCTCAACGTCATCCAGTGAGAACGAAAGCAGTAGTGAGGTCTTAGCGTTAGGTGGGAGCTGCAAGAATGGTGCAAATTCTACTGCCGAGAAGCATGGAAGTGTCCTCCGAGCGGAGGCTTTTGACGGAGTTACGCCGACGTCGTCCAAAGAGCAAGCGGAGTCGTGCCAGGAGCACGAGGAAGAGTCGTTTCTGGATGCCTGTCAGTAACGAGGAGACCAGCGATTGGCCATAGGAACGCGCATGGCAGTGAAGCCATTCGAGATCGGAGGTCCCCGGTGCTCCACTGACTATTTTTTGCTCATGGGCCGGTAGTAGTTGGAAATTTCAATTTGACATGTCACTTGGGCTCACAACTGTTGGCAATGGCAATGCGATCTTCACGATAGTCGATGAAAAAGGACCATGCGCACTCTTCTTCACCTGCTGCAGAGCTATCCTGTACAAACTTTCGCGAGCGGTCTTTCATTCTGGTCGCTACGCGAAAATTAATTTCAGTGTAGACAGAGAGTAAAAAAAGCACACGATCACCTGTGTGCATCTGCATGCCATACGATTCCTTTGCCTGTTCAGAACCATGCGAAACTCCTAGATTCCTATTTCATTGCTTGAATGAGTATGAGCCGGTCGGTAGGAAACAGAAGTAGACACGAGTCGTCTGCATGTTTCAAAAAGCTAATCGGTTGCTTTGAACACTGTAAGCAAATCCAAATCGCGCGATTACGATTTGATATGAAGCAAATTAATCGTAGGGCACCATTTCGGTTTCTCCTCAAGATCGCTCATCCTTCTGATGAGTGCCTCAAGTACCTCATCTGGATCTGTCAGCAACATGCAGATTTGGTCCCTGGTGTTTCTACCTAGCGCCAATCGCAGTCTTCGGTCGTTTCACGTTCGGTTTGATTCGACGCAGCCTCGGTGGACCGCATATCATGCAAAGCACATGCACTGCTGATGTTGGAGTTGGACATTGTTTTTAAGTTTGATATTGATTATCATATTTTGCCGAATATTCGACTCCCAGGATGTGGTGTTTTGACCTTGAGTACGAGATTTCGCTTCGGCATTCCTTACAACGAAGACACACATTCCAAACCACTTTTCTGTGCTCGACGCGCTCCTTTCTCATGAAGTCATCTAATACTAATATTAAGCCCTCTTTGCCTTTCCTGCACCGATAACCACATTGCTCTTCGTGCACCAATATCCTCTACTGTACAGACCACAACCTTTAAATTTTATCCCTAGAATTTGTGCTCACGCACCAGCTTTGACTTTCTCTAACTACCGTGCGTTGCTATTCCTATTCCTATTGTGTTGAAAAAAAGTTACATGTTTTACGAACGAAGCCTGCTTTTTCTCTTGAACCACATCCATTCTATGCTCGCAGAGGTTGTTGACTTCTAGACTCTTTCCCGGGCCAGCAGTCCCTGAGAGGACCACAGCCACACCATCGTTATCTCACGGAAAATCAAAAACATGTCGTCAACTAGTACGACAAACACGCCGCCTTCTTCTTCCGGCACAGACACCAAAACCATGCTCCCGAAGCCGGGCACGGAAATCTGCCGCGAGACGCTCCACGTCTTGGATGCGAATTTGATCCGAATCCAGGAGCGCATGCTCAAGATTCGGTGCGGCTTTTCCGAGGCGCTGGCGGACGAGGCGGCGGCGCTGCTCACGCTGAGTGGCAACAGCGTGGATTTCAGCCACGACGGGGAGGCGGAAGACACCATCGTGGTGCGCCCGCAGGACTGGAAGCCGCGCGATGCGGCTGCACCAGGAGGGGAGATTTATGACGAAGGAGGTTTCGTCAGAGGTGCTCTAAGTAGCACGAGCAGCGCAAGCGCTGGTACAACCAGGTCCACTTCTTCTTCTTCAAATTCTACTACGGCGCAGAGGACTAGCGATGGGCACAGAAACACAACAAGCACAAGGGCTGGCGGGACGAGGAGCGGCTCTAGTACTACAAGCACTACCAGCACTACCACGACTTCACTTTCTGGAATTCCTCCTGCCAGCCGGACTCGAACCATGTTTCTGTTGGTGGAGCAGCAGAAGCTCCCACAATACAACTCGGCCGCCGTATTACAGTGAAAAGTGCCCCCCACCCCCAAAGTTGCAAAAATTTGTGATGCGAAGTTTCCAAATGAAAACTTTTTGTCATGCATCAAAGAAGTACGAATCTTTATCTTTCTGATGCAGAGTCTAGTCGTGTTTCGCATCGCTTGCATGACAAGCACCGCTCTTGCTGGGATCTTTTGCAATACAAATTTTCGCTATTTACCATCGGAAATCTGTGATGCTGATACATGCAAGAGGGCGAATGTTTCATTTGGAAAGGTTTGCAATACAAATGCTTTCAAGTTCGGGGGTGGGGGCATTTTTCATTGTAATACGCCGAAAACGCGACGGCGCTTCTGTCCGGGACCACGTCGAGAGTGGCGAGTCTGTATGGCGTTCTCAACTGTTACACTCTCAGCTGTTACATGGATTTGTGACGCAAGAATGGCAAAAGTGGAAGGGGTCACCTCGCGCGTCTTGCATGACAGATCTGGCAAAGATTTTCAGCCTGTTTGGCTCTTCGAGAATTTGTCATGCGAAGCAGCTCGATCGTGTCGATTCTGATTGTGGTTTTGCATTACAAATCATGTAACAGTTGAGAATGTAACATTTGAGAACGCCATAGCCTGATGAGCCGGCTTTTGTTCTCGTCCTCGTCTACTTCCGCCGCTCCTGCGACGACCGGCGCAAGAACCGGGGATGGCGCCGCGGAAGGAGGTGAAGGAGCCCAAGACAGCACGAACTCTTCCGCGAAGCAGGATAAAGATTCCCAGAAAGACCACAACAACGCGAAGCCCAAGGCGAGCTACAATTTCGCCTCAGCCGCATCGAGCTCGCAACTACACAACACCGAAATTATCCAGTTTGAGCCTGCCTGCGCAGCACGCGTGACTCTACACGGGTTTTTTGATCATCATGACCAACAACTCGGGGCTGCGGCGGGGCATAAGTCTTCTGCGGACGTGGGGCAAGTTTCTTCTGTTTCTTCTTCTTCCTTTGCAGCCTTTCCAGAGGCAGCTGCAACTATCGAGGAGGAGTGGGAGATTGTGAGCAAGGACGACGCTTTAGAGCAGTCGTCCTCTTCCTCATCCGCGTCTACCTCGGCCGTGAATATTCAAAAAGCGGAGAACTACTTCAACGCCTCGAGTCTGGAAGAAATCTTTCGTGACTACGAGTACGACTTTCCAAAGCCGGATCATGTTGTTGGCCAAACAACAATGACCACGGGCGGGACTAAAAGTGGCAAAAACGGCACGATCAACATGAACAAGTCTAGGACATCAAATGTGAAACAGCAGAAAACCATCATCCTCGAAGACATTTTCGTGCTGAAGCATCTGAAGCAGGTCGGGCTGGAATTCCGCCTGGTCAATTTCCTCCAGGATTTAGCGGAGGCGGAAAACGCAGATCTCTGGATGCTGTGCCGTTCGCAAACGGAGAAAGGGTATTGGAAGTGGAAACTGAACTGCGCCGACCAGCAATCGAATTATCACAACTCAGCGACATCTTCTTTTCGTGGCAAAAATGGTGCTCAACACATGACGAAGAGCCTGACACTGCAACAACGCCACCTGTCGTCGTCGACGACACAGGTGACTGCAAGCGGTTCGTCCGCAGCTGGTACTCCTGCTGCGCCTTCGAAAAGTTCCTTTAGCTTGAGCATCAACCTGCTAGGATCATCTTCAAACAACGGCCCAAGTGCGACTGCTGGTCGTGACGGAGCCTCTAGTACCCACGCTATGAAAAACGCCACTTTCCCCTCGATGCTCAACAGTATCATCGCGGAAAATAGCAACCACAGTGTGCACAGGGGCGGGGTGCTGGGGAACCATCAGAGCAGTGGTCTCACGCAAACAACGGTGACCGACCTCGTGGAATCGGAAATCCTGCAAAGTCGGCCATTTGCGCTGTGTATCCGCCGGCATGTGGAGGAAGACGAGCTGCAGTTCGGCGCCTTTTGCAGTGCCACATCGACCTCCTTCGCAGGCACTGGCTCATGTGCGGTTGCGACTAATGGAACAGCTTCTAGTACTCCAGGAGGCTCTCTGCATTCCAGTGGCCGGAGTGCGGCTACAACTACTTCAAGCAGCTCTAACAGCACTTCTTCTATCACCAGCTGGATGAAGCAGACAAGCGCAAGTAGCACGGGCGGAAAAGCGAATTCGAATTCCCTGGGTTCAGCGCCACCTCTAGTGCCAACCACAACAATCACGGCCACCGCATCCTCCGGCATCGCGGCGAACAGCAGCATTCGAAAGGTGGTGACTTTTCCGAACAAGAAGGAAAATTATACATCCAATGCTGGTCATCTAGCGCAAGTTTCGAACACCGCCTCCCGGACAGCAGCACCCGGACTGCACCAGCCCACGCAGAACAGCATGCACATCAACCAGGTTGCAATGTTGAGCAGCAATTTAGTTTCAGGAGCCCCCGCAGCTCCAGGAACGAAGAAGAACAACGTGGAGTTCGAAATGAAGCCACTATTTGGCAAGGCAACAACACCAACTGGTGCTCCATCAGCATCGGGCTCTTGTTCTTCATCCTCAGACTCTTCTTCCTGGCCGCTGGATCTGATGAGCTCTTCTATGTTTTTCGCGCCGAGATTGCGTGCGGGATGTGGAGTTGCAGCAGGAGCAAATACTCCCACGACAGCACCAGCCGGTCTCCAGCACCAGGAGGTAGGGGGTGGAAGCTCCCGGGTCGGGAACACGACGACCAACGGGAGTACTGTCAGCACGAAGAAGGAGGACAAGACTCTGGCCCAACTGTTTTCGGAAGCTGGCGATGTTGGCACCGAAAACTTTTTGAATTTCGGCAGTTCATCTTCTGTGAAGAAGCAGGATAGTACAGCAGCTGATGTTAATACCAGGCAGCTGCAGGAGCGCATCAACCCGAGGAACAACTTGGTCAACCTGATCCTCCGCAGCTCCGACAACACGCCCCTGCTGACGTCCGCTACAACTTCTACAACAGGCGTAACTAAAAATTCTGGTCGTGGGGGTGCAACGGATCGCATCCTTTTTCCGGCGCCCGCGAACAAAATTGGAACGGCGGGACAAGCTGCTGCTGGACCAAGCAGCCAAGTTCATCTCGGGGCAGCAGCTACAGTACCGGCAACGCAGCAGCAACACACGCCCCCGCTTTTCCCGACAACGGCTGTCCTCGGCGTGGATCTGGTTCCCGTGCTGACAGCCGCGGCGGCGTCCGCGGCAACGACAGCACGCCGAGACTGCAACGCATCTCAATCTGGGGCAGACCAGCAGGACAAGAAAAAAACTGCTGCGGTTTCATCTACAGGGGGGAAAAACAAAACCAAGACCGACTCGGAGACTGAGGTCGAGGAGCTGATGACGGCGGTTGCCGCAAGCCTGTCGACGGCGGAACAAGAAGACGAAGAGCTGGCCGAGGCCATTCGACTGAGCCTTCAAATCAAGGACTCCATTGTCTAAGTAGCTACTTCTACGCGGCTGCAGAAGTAACGCTCGTCTTCACGGCCTGTGCGCGCACAGTTATGAATTGCAATCCTTCAAATTCAAAGAGATTGCGATAAAATTCACTTGATAATTATTGTCAATTCCTTTATAGATTTCTTTTTCGCCATGAGTTGAACTTTGAAGAACGAGTTAAACTGATAGCAAAATCTGTAGAACCTTCGAATTCATTGCCTCATATTGCAACTTTTTATTCTGCACAGAAACGTTTACTCATCTAGACCTGTGTTATTGATTCAGATTCACAACTTATTACATACATACTTTCAATCGGTTGTAGCAATCCAATAATTATTGCACCATCGTGACACTGTAACAAAAAATGAAGAGGTTTAGAACCTAAAAATCGAGATCCGATCGACGTCTACTCTATGCTTTTTCATGAGAAGTTTTCCTAACGTAATTGAACGAACAACATTTTTTTAGTTGACAAATTCACATTGAATGCGCCCGCACGCTCGTATAAGTAGTATCATGGAAATTTCAAGTATTCATTTGAGCAGCAGCACTACATTTGCCCGTAATGGATATTCCACGGAACAGATCAGCTCTCAATTTTGTATGCAACCGTTTGCAAAAAATTAATCGAAAACTTGATATTGTCTCCTCCGGTGCCACGTAGACTCTCAGGTTGTGTCTGACCAAGCATGCCAATGCCTGGCGCTAATCTCTCTGTTTTCATTTCTCCTACTCGAAGTCGGCTTCTATTTGTAATTTGCATTTCGCTATGTCTATGCCAAGTGACCGCTTTCTTTCCCTGCGCTTGACGTTGATGGTGGGTGGTTTTCTTGGTCACGTTTTGCTTTAAAACCTTTGTGCACGCTCTCATGTCTCGAGGATCTCCATCTTTGCGTCTTGGTCGTTCTTGTCTGGTACGAGCCGTAGCACCACAAACACAAACACTACGTAGATCCAGCACTATAGATTAAGTATCATTTTTTCGTTTTTGATTCTCTTTTATCTGCCATACTAGTGGGCTCAGATGACCGGCGTGCATTGTGCAAGGGGAAAGTCCCCAACAAAAGAAGTAGGTTGTCCGTGGTTCCTTGGACGTATTGTCGTGAAAAACGATATGCGTGCACTATCAGTGGCAGAGCGTGCCTAGATGATAATAACGGTGGTTGAAAATGAAATAAAATGACTCAATTGCAGCATCAGGCGGGAGCACCGCCATTGCCGCAGGGACTTCGATGTTCTCGTTATGCTCTTTATTTCTTCTCCCGATGGCTGCAGTGCTTGTTCCTCACCTTTCTCAGCACCTCCTTCTGCTCGGCGCCAACAAGATTCTTGGTTCACGGTTTGAACTGGCTTTCCTTGCCCGATTTTGATTGCCGGGAGAATAACGGAGACTTTGACTACCTCGACTTCACCAACAAGCACGGTGCGGTCGGCACCAAGTTTAGCCTGTTGTGGGAGCAGGCAGGGGAGAGCGAGAAGCTGGTGAGAGTGAGAGAGGAGCAGGAAGCCTCTCCTTTCTCTTCTGAACAAGATTCCGCACGACCGCCAACGGACCGGGTCGCGATTTTCGCGAAACTTCTGCGGGAAAAGGTGCTCGTCCCAGCGTCCGAATCGCTGCGCCTGTTCGACCCGGAGTACAACAAAAAACAGCTCTGGCGGCAATGCCCATACGCGGTTTTGCTGCAGGAATTTGCGCAGCGGATTTTCTGCCTGGCGCTGCTGGAAGATCGTTCTGGAGGTGGAACAGGAAGAGGAGCAGCCGCTGCGCTACAAGACGCTACTGGTAAAAATGCAGACCCGGCACACCTTTCGAATGAAGTCGCGCAATTGAGACGGAAGTGCCAGTCCCCTGAAACCAAGTTGCAGGGCTTCTTCGAAGAACTCCTTCAGAAATACACGCTGCCTCCCTTGCTAAACAGTGAGTACATGCACTTGCTCAATGTTTACGCGGCTTTCGGACGGGTAATTGGCAAGTATGCCGTATTCCACATAAAATTTCATTTACCAGCACCATACATTGGTGATGGTGCCCATGCACATATAGTTTTTAGTACTCATAGCTACAGGTTGAACAGGACTGCAAAGTACATGGAAGTCGCACGACAGCATCCGGTCGTGCAGTTGCAGACGCAAAAAGAATTCTTTGCGTCTTTTCCCAAGCTCCAGCATGCAGCGCATGAATATTGGCATTGGATGAGGCTGATGGTGCTGGTATCCTTTCCAAGAGGATAGCCCAGGCCACGAATGGATAGGACAGAGCTGGTAGGACGGCAATCAGATGAAGACGAAAACAGTATTGATGCCGCCCCGTCGTCCCCTCTCGCAGCTGCTGCTGGAGCTTCTCCCGCGAATTTCGACATAGATCGCGTCCTGGATTGCAAGAACATCCCACACAGCGAGCAGCTCTTTGACTGGGAGGATTTCTTAAAAGGTATACGTCACTTTTTTCGTTTACTTGCATGCATTCCACCATGGAATCGAGCCACCATCTTCTAAACAACACTGCTACAGTTGTTGGTCAGTGTCGCGTGCTCCTGTTCTTCTTCTTGAAAAGAGATCAAACAAAACAGAGGTTTTTCGTCCGGCAAAGATTTCGTCCGCGGAACGCAGAAGTACGTCTGGCGCTCGGTGTTCAAAGACCTCGAGCAGTATTATTTCCAGTGTCCGCTTGGGCTACTGACGTTGCTGCTCGTGCGGATGATGGTCGCGTCCAAAGCCACCTCAGACCAGTACCTGCTGTTCGAGTCCCTGCTGCTGTTCTACCTGAAACGCCTACCGGAGCAGCTGGAAGCGCTCGTGGATTCTCGTGCTAGTACGTCAGCGCAGGTAGAAGGAAGATCACACCAACGTCATGAAGATGAACAATCGACGCACGTGGGGGATAGGGATAGCACCACCGGCGAAAACCGGCACCAGCTGACCGACGTGCAACATGAAAGGACAATACAAAATACTTCTGGAGTAGATCTGATTCCCGACCTGCTCACAATCCTGTTTATCACTGAGTGGGTTCCGCTGGACGTTTTGACTCTCATCGGCCGCCACACCAGTCAGCGCACGGCCGACGGGAAAATTACGTACCAGAACAAGCCGTACTCCTTGGACTTCCACCGAAAAGAGTTCTTGCTGTACTACGACAACGAGGAGGCTGAGGAGGAGGATGGAGAGTCGAAGGAAATAACCGGGTGGAGGGACTGGTTTCACTTCCGCCTCGACGACGGGACGGACCCGTCGACGAGGACGTCAACATTCGGAATCTCCGGCGAAGATGCAGGAGTGGTCGGCCAAAATTTGCAACTGACGGACGAGCAAGCTGTCGCTGAATTCGAAGAGGAAATCGTGTTTGTTTCGAAGAACGTCCTAGTGGTTCCTGATGACTTTTCTCGACGACCGGTTCCAGCTGGTGGACTGAGACAAGAAGTAGATCAAAGCAGCGGTAGCACGACCTCCGCTCGTCTATCATCTTCACATCTGCAAGACGGCTCGCCCTCTAGATCGAAAGGGGGAGATCTAGATCCAGGACCTGCGCTCTCTCCATCCTCCTTCGAAGAGGCTCTAGCGACCGCCTTTCCGCTGCAGCACCAGGAAACACCAGAGCGAGGTGACCCGAAAAAATTCAAGCACCATACACGCATCTACTCGACGAGCTACAATCCACTGGTCATGCCTGGAGAGGAGCAGGCCGCTGCTTCTAGGGATTTTTCTGAGGACACACTGGAGCAGGACGTCGTATCTGACACCGATGCTGGTCCGCGAACCTCTCCGCTACTTTCCACCTCTTGCGCTAACTCACAGTCTGTGTCTGGCAGTGCAGCCACTGAATCTGTCTGCAGCAACGCGGAGAGCGTTCGGGGCTCCTTCGTGGTAGAGCCAGCTGGGGGATTCTACGGCAAGGAGCTGGTGGTGCTGGGTGCCGCTGAACAAGATCCAGTGGCTGAAAGAGAACTTCAACAGGAAGAGTTTCCTCTTGAACGCCTTCGAGAAAAAAAATTAGCACCCGGCACCACGCACTTTTTCAACCTTTCCTGGCGACAGCATTTTCAGCTGCTGCAGCAGTACGCCAAGAATATTCAAAAATCCCTCGCCTTGTACAATTACACGTTTTTCTCCCTGCTTGCAGGCCTGCAGCTCATCTTGGAATTGTACCAACTGAAGGAAGAGGAACAATTGTTTGGGACAGTAGGGGAAGATGAGGAGGCAACAACTTCAGCCGGGGTAGTTGCTCAAGCGGAAGCCGAACAAACACCAGCAGAACCAGAAGGGCCAGAAGCAGGACAGAAACAGGACATAGGCGATTCGCAAGTAGAGGTAGATGTAGATAAACTTCAACACGCGAGGAAGACCATGACGCACAGCAACTATGCCAGCAACACTGCTGGCCACTTCGAGAACGATCAGTTACTGGAAGCTCTTTTCGAGGACGATAGCGGAAGTGCATCTTCAACCGCAGCATCCTTTTCCTTGTCAAAGCAACGCGTCGATGAAAAAATAAAAATCGAAGATGAGGTAACGAGCAACAAGAAGAGAACCACCACCACGCCGAGGAGAACTACCAAGCGAACACCTGACTCAACACCACCACCCGCGCGTCCGAAGCGCCGCCTGATCCCCCGGGTCCACGTGACGATTCTGTGGGGGGAGCGATTGTCGAAGTACTTAAAGAATTTCCTGAAGCGCGCCAAGGCCTTCGACCTGGACTGGCGGTTCTTCGTGTTTGCGCTCGACGAAGTGGCCTACGAGAGCTGCAAAGTGGCTCGCAGTTCGGGCGACGTCTTCGATAGTCGGATCAACCAAAATCTGCTCTGCATCGAGGGCTCGCGAAAGACGATCTACAACAAGTACGTCATCTCTTCCGTAATCAACCGGCTCGGCTTTGACGTGGTCTACCAGGATTTTGACACTGTGTTCCTGAAAGACCCGAATCCGCTTTTTGACCGGTACCACTTCGATCCCTCCATCGACATCGTCACGGGCCGTGACTTCGGGGTGAACTGCGCGAACACCGGGGTTCTGCTGTTCAAGGCCACGCCGGCCACACAGCTGTTTCTGCAAAATTGGCTGGTCTGGACCTGGTGGCACCCCTACGAGTTCTCCCAAAAAACCTTCTCGTCCTTTTTCGACATCGAGAAGACGGCGATGCGCAACCGCAGCCCCCCGGGACCGGGGTTCTATCCGGATACCGCGGTGCGGAAACCCCGCCTGAAGTTTTTCGAGTCCATCAACACGGTGGTGACACAGCTGGTCTACGGGGACGCGGAGGGCTGGTATGGGGCGATCGAGAATATTGTCATCTTCCACTTCGTCGACGGCACCGGTGGCGTGGACGAGACTCTCGCGGTGCAGGGCCGGTACGTCAACGCCTTTGACGTGTTTTACGACAACGAAAACTTGGACCTACTCGACCCGCAGACGCCCCTGCACGTGCAGGACCAGTCCGGCGGTCTGGCGCAATTTCTCCTGCGCAGTCGGCACGCAAAGCCGCCGGAACGACCGCTGAAACAGTGCGTGCTCTACATCAGCACGGAAGATCCGTAGAGGTGCGCATGCTGGTGGTCGAAGTTCGTTGCGTTACAGTCTGTAGTTGTTACTGCAGAGGAAAAGTTGAAGAACTATCGGAGAATGCAGGAACCATGAGAGGATAGAAACATGTCTGTCATAAAGTGATCTGCATCCGCATATAATGCAGCTTGCTCGCCCCTGTCGAGCGGCAGCGATTGCAGTGTCCTCCGTTGTTCGTCGTGTTATTTTTTGTTTTCACTCTTTCCTTGCTACGTGCACTTCGACTTTGCACTACACCTTGGGACTGGCACCGTGACGCAATTTGAGGGGCGGGCGAAAGACCCCATCTATGAGTCGCAGCTCCATGATATTCAGTTTCTGAAACTTCTTCACGAGAGCCAGTGGTCCCCAGGAAAAAGAATCTACTAGGCATCGTTCCTCCGGTGCCACGACTTGCGAGGAAATTATGAGCACCCGTGCAAAAGTTAATACGGTACTACTAGGAGGTAGCGATTTTTAAACGAATTTGCGCAAGACCCTTTTGGTACTTCTAGCAGCAATGTAGGATTTGAAAATTATCTAATATGCTACTCCATCTATTTCTACCAATCTCTTCATTGCTCTATTGTGTTTGGTAAAAAGACGCGCACTTATTCTTGCGACGCGCATGCTCCCTCCGAGGCTGCTTGTGCATAAGTTGACGCGAAGCCATCATGGTCGGGAAATTTGCCGGCGGCACTCGAACGAGCACACCGACGTTCCGCATAAATCTCGCAGCGGACGACGAACAGGATTCGGACGTGCAAAACCAAGACCACCAGGAAGCTGCTGACTACAGCCGCGTTATCGACACGGCCCCTACTTCATCAGATGTTGATGCAAACGTTGACATCCGGCACCGTGCGGAAGTGCAAGTACTACCGCGCGGAGTTTCACGCACACGTATGTCGCAGGAAAGAACAAATCTTGATTATCAACAAGTTGAATCGGAAGCGCCGGATCGCGAAGCTTACGTCGAGCACTCCTACCCCCGCCGGATCGGGTCGGAAAAGGATTCGTCCCTTTCAGATTCAGACTTTGCAGAAGAAGACTTTCAGGATGAAGTAGAGGTAGGCGCTCCGATTATTAGCGTACTTCAAGAGTTCTCTGAACTGAGTCGCCGTCAACAAGCTCGCGGAAGAAGGCACGAGGAACCGGCTCCACGAAGCAAACACCCATCTTCCGTTGCACCAGACGCACAGCTTGCGCTTGGTCTGCCTGTCGCGCCCGTGTCTGCCGTCGACCTCTTTGACGATATTGAACAACCGAGTGCGCCCAGTACTAGCCTTGGGAAAGCTGATGTGATCTGCGCAGCGCGGGCGAATGGCGACGATGAGGCGGTCGATATTTTTTCATCTTCGTCCTCATCAACTCAAGTACATGATAAAGTCAAACACTGCGCCGTCGCTAGTAGAGGAGCTGCTGGCCCCGCCCCGGCGACTGCTTTTACCACCAGAACAAGTTCGGCTCAACTCATTTGGAAGAGGATTGCGATTGACAAGCACAAAAGAAACCGGGAAGATCGAAAAAGGGCAGGCGGTGGTAGAGAAAACATCAACGAGAAAAATCTTCCCAGCAATGAACGACAAGTACTGGCCTCGCGAGGACACTCGTTTCTCGATCGGTCTCCGGACAATTTTGGATCGTGCCAGGACGAACAGCGCCGGAACTGTCGCCATCTTGATTCTCCCTCACCCTGCTCCACAGCAAAAACTACATCTCGTGCCAAAACTAAGCACCTGTCCCTTTCCAGCTGGGAGCAGCGCTTACAGAAGAAAGAAGCGGAACTGCAAGCCCGCGAACGGGCATTCGACCAGCGGGTGGCGAGGGAGCAAGGGGTGGTGGTGGCGCACGACTGTACATCCAACACTAACCCTGCGCAGCGAGAGCCCAGTCCGCCGAAGCAACTGGTGGGGCGTCGGGTTCCAAAAAAAATGCCGGTAGGTAGTTCGTCTCGTAGACCCGCTTTCTCCACGGTTTCCTCCCCCACAACCTCCACCTTGACCAGCTCCTGGTCGTACTCGTCTACTCCCTCGATCGGGGACCAGAATGCCCAGGCCGCCCTCCGATTGTTGAAGAAAACGTACCAAAGCAGTAGTCCTCGACTAGTACACCAACGTCTTGAAGAGCAGACTGCGCCAAGAGTAAGGGAAAGGGCTGCAGCCGCTGCACCAGACACACTGCACAACAAGGCGAAGCATTCGACAGCGCAAACCCAAAGTAGCACCAGAGTCAAATATGTCGATCCAGCGGCTCCAGCTGGATGGCGACCAGCAGTTGCGCCTAGTAGTTCCTCTTCCGTGGGAAATGAACGAACCACGCGACAAGTTCCAGGAGAACGACCTTTCGTTTTCAACCCAGACACCCGGACGGGGTTTGCGGGGGAGTATGGCGTTGCTCTTGCTGTGCCGACTGCTGTATCAAAGAGAATGACCGGACCCGCTGAAAAAAAGAGCTGCTCGCAGATGAACCACACCGGGACTAGCAGTAGCAGCGCAAGGGTACAGCTGCTGCAGCAGAGGCCACCAAGACCACAGCGAGCGCATCGCTCGGCACAGAGTCGCACCGCAGGTACGTGGTCAGAACAAGGGAAGAATGCCAATACAGTGCTTCATGCGGGCTGTACAACTCAAGCGGCGCCATCGCCAAATAGCACCAGCACTACGACCAGGATAGTGCTCCATTCACCACTGTCGTCGAATGGGAATGCTGCAGGTAATAAAAACGCCACTGATACTACTGCTGCTGCTGCCCCATCATCAGCAACACGGCAGCGGCAAAACGAAGAGGAAGTACGACCACCAGCAGACTCATTACCTACCCGACCTGCAAAGACCATACCGAGAGCTTCTGCCGTCCTGCGACGAGCGGCGTTGGAAGAGTTTCGAAAAGACTGTCGACCCGACACGGACGCCGCACCATGGGAACAAAGCGGAGAAAAAGTAGAATCCTGGTGCTCATCAACATTAACCGCATCTTCGTCAGCAACATCCTCTGGCGTAGCTGCTCCGATTGGAGGTACGTCTGCTCGGATGAACCTAGAGAAGTTGGCACCGTCAGTTCTGGACGGCAACGGCATAAAGAGCTACATGCACTTCGAAAAGGACAACAGGAGCTGCAACCGTAGCCGCAGCGCCGTCGGAACTGAAAAAGAAAAAATCACAACAATAACTTCCGCATCTTTTCAATTGTCCCTCGCTAACGAGAAGACAGCAGTAGGCCCGAGGACTACAAGTGAAAAAACCAACGCCCTGGGGAAACTACATCACCCGCGGACCATGACGGCATATCTGATGCAGAAGCTGCTCGACCAAAGATTGTCCAACGAGGTCGACAAGCAGACTTTGATCGTGAGTAAACGCATCAAGTCCACCTACGCGCGACAGCGCATGCTGACGACGGCCTACAGGAAGCATCCTTGTGCGGTGGGCGTGGCGCTGGCGGCGACAGGTAAAACTGGCCAAGAACAAAGAAGCGTCCGACGCAACACAGACACGCACGCACCAACATGGAATCCGAAGCGCGAGAAGTTCAGCGTGGACATCAATGCGGCCAGCAACAGCACAAGGCCCAGTAGAAATTCGCGGGGTTCTACTGGAAAAGCTCCGCGCGCCTCGCCAATCACGTTAGATCTCTGCAGCGAGGCCGAGGTAGAAGATCTTCACGGCGCTGGGGACGGTATAATAAAGGAAGAGCGCAAAAAAAAAGCAGGAACAGCCTTTGCTTTTGGATTGAAAGACAGGGCGGGGGGCGCGCAGCAGGCACGAGAAAAGAGTGTCCGAACTAGCGCAATAAGCGCTTCTACGAAGATGAAAACAAGTAATACGCAGGGCAATTACCTGCAGCAGATGGAAGATGCCCTGCTGCGGCGACGTTTCAAAAGAAAATAAAGTTTCACATCAATCACATCGTTTCGACATTTGAATGATGCTTTTTCGCGAAGTGGTTGAAAGTTTCAAGGTACAGCTAATTCCCCCAGTACTGCAGTCTGTGTGGATCCATATCCATCTGGATACAAAGATACAGTTTTGAAAGATCAAGCATAGAGTCTGGACGCCGGCACCTCCCTTGAGAAAGTTGAATAAACCGAAACACTCTTTGAGATCCATTTTGCACGAGGTGTTGTCCTCGAAGACGATGCGTTACTAGTCAGTGTTCCTTGCTGTCCGCGCAGGATTTGTTTGCATGTATTTTCTCGAACTCGAATGCTAACTACTGGTAATGACAGTTGCAATTCTAGTTAACTTACTCCGACGCTTGATTCCTCGAGCCACGCGCACCTGTTTACTCAGACACTGCCAAAGCTTCGCTACGCATCACCGCACGACTTCTTCGACGAACAATCCTTGATCTTGATAGATTCTACAATGTGCGACTACTTGCCGAGTCCTTTGATAGGCGATCCAAATCTATCACCACAATTTGTAGTTTGATGATGATGACGTTGGTCTTGACGTCGAAGTGTTTTTGTTCACATAAGCGATACTAAATAGAGAACTAAAAGACGACTCGACTTGTGTTTGCAGGGCTAGATGACGACAACACCTTTTTTACTCCATATTCATCCTATTTTTACCATTGTAATTCCCTGACCTCGTTGCGACGTAAGTATAGAACAAGTAGCGAAGCCTAAGTAGCGAAGTCATGGCTTCTAATCATGATCATGATCTTCCCTTTCAAAATAAAAAGCACGTGAGTATTCGCTTAGAGAGGTTACACTCGTAGTTCCCCGAGATCGGCACCATAAAGATTTTTTTTAGCCATGAGTATCATTACCAAGTCTTGTCCCGCCTCCAACAATTTGTTTCACCCGCGGACCACAGAGTAGTTGTCACCACGTGAACCCCCGCTTTGGACGACGAAAAGAGACGACCACTGGGCGACCGGGCAACGCCAGCGCTCAAAACAGCCACTTCCCAGCAACGACTGATCGCAGTACTGACGAACGGCGACAGTGCGTGCGACGCAAGAACAGTCCCATACTGAAAAATACATTACCCGTCGCCAGAACTAGGGAGCCTGGAGCTCGAGCGACAACTTACCATCACGGCCAGTTCAGAAACAACAACGATTTAATCGGTCTTTTCCCCCCATCGCAGTGTTGGGACCGCAAGTTCAAGTGCTGGCAGAAAGCTACTATCCTGCTTGTCATCTTCACTGCTCTTTCTTCGCCTTCCACCCCGCGACTTGCTTTGTCCTCCGAACAGCAAGTTTAGAACGCGCAAAAGATTGCGCTCACCAGAGCAGATCAACGATTTCTCCTTCTCCAGGAAGAGAACCACCAGTATCACCAAGCGACGGTACCAGACGACACCGGAAAACGGCTAAAACCCGAAGTTTAATATCTTCCCCTTTCGTAGAGCAAAATGGACAGCGCAGGTAATGTGATAAAGAAGGGCCCGGCGGCCGAAGAGGACGAGCCGGAAGTGCAGCCTCTGGATGAAGACGACATTGAAATTCTCAGAAATTACGGCCTCGGCCCGTACACCGTACCAAACAAAAATGTGGAAGGTATAAAACATACATGCGAAGTTCATTTTGTTTCATTGGAGGTTCGAGATAGTTTGCTTTTGCTCGATGCATGAAACCAAATTTGGATCGAAGCTTCAATCTGTGAATTGCCCCGCCCGCTTTGATCTCTTTTGTCTACTTCCTCTTGAAGTCCATTCGTACATACGTGTTGCATTTTCAGAAAAAAAATTACCATCAAACTTTGATTAACATTGACGCAACAGGTGGCGTGAAAGACTACCTGAAGAGGATAAACAAAATTATCGGCATCCGCGAGTCCGACACCGGATTGTGCCCCCCAAGTCAGTGGGATTTGGCCGGCGATCAGCAGATGATGAAGCAGGAGCAGGCACTGCAAGTTGCAAGGTGTACCAAAATTATCGACGCCGGGACAGACGACGCGAGGTACTATCTACTCATGAATGACAATTTTATCAGATTCTTTAGCAGGTCGCGCCTTAGTGACTCTGCATGCAAAATTTGAATTTCGCACACAAACAGAAAAAACAAAACATTCACACCAATTGCAAACCCTGATTAATATTGAATGCCCGTGGTCGACAGGTATATGATTAAGATCCGGGAGTTTGCGAAGTTTGTGGTCGGGCTGGGCGAAAAACTCTCTGCCGCGGACGTCGAGGAAGGAATGCGGGTTGGTGTGGACACTAGTCACGGCGGCAAATACCGGATTCAAATCCCGCTACCCCCAAAAATTGATCCCACGGTCACCATGATGACGGTGGAAGAAAAGCCCGACGTCACCTACGCAGACATAGGCGGGTGCAAAGAACAGCTGGAAAAACTGCGAGAGGTAATTATAACCCATCTACTTCTCATGATAAGCAGCAGCATCGTTGGCGTGCTAAATGCTATCTCATTTCAGCGCTTTTCTTGGCACCGTGCACGTGAAAATCATCGTCAGTGGCCAACAAAGAAGCTGATCAAGTTCGAGAATTGTTCCTGCAAAAATGAAAGTGTATCTTGATCTTCCAAATTGACGCATGAGATAAACCCTCTCTTCACAGGTAGTTGAAATGCCTCTGCTGTCACCCGAACGCTTCGTGGCATTGGGTATTGATCCGCCAAAGGGGGTGCTGCTGTGGGGCCCGCCCGGCACGGGGAAGACCCTGACCGCGCGAGCCGTGGCCAACAGAACAGACGCCTGCTTCATCTGCGTCATCGGTTCCGAGTTAGTCCAAAGGTATTTTTATCGTGTTAGAACAATGATTTTTTTAAACCAGGTTTCTTTGCATAGCTGCTGCTGCAGGCTCAGACGATTATGAGCGAAGATGACAGTCATACCTACGGATGATGTCCGCATTATAGCATCCGCATCGCCTCCGGACGAAACATAAACAAACTCCCTGCACAGGTACGTCGGTGAGGGTGCGCGCATGGTGCGCGAGCTGTTTGCGCTGGCGAAATCGAAGAAAGCGTGCATTCTTTTCATCGACGAGGTCGACGCGATCGGCGGCTCGCGCGACGAGGGTGGCGACAACGAGGTGTCACGAACAATGTTGGAAATCGTGAACCAACTGGACGGCTTTGAGTCCCGCGGCAACGTGAAAGTCCTGATGGCGACCAACCGACCGGATACTCTGGATCCCGCGCTGCTGCGACCGGGCCGACTGGACCGCAAGGTCGAGTTCGCCGTGCCGGACCTCGAGGGCCGCTATCAGAGTGCACAACTCTTCCTTCGTTTCGTTTGTCATGTGAAATATGCACTACTTTTGGATTTGGAACTTTGCGCATGAAAACATTCACAAGCAGGACCAGGATGTCAAAGACGACTGAAGTCCACTCTCTTGCTCGGATTCGTTGCGCAATACGACCACTACCAGCACTAGAAACTCAAACTCCTGCTTGTATGAAGGATTTATCGTCGGCGCATCTGTTGCTGCGGCAGTTATACAGGACAATTGAACGGAGCGCGGGGGTTGTGCACTCTCATAGCCGGGCTCACATTTTCAAAATCCACGCGCGCACCATGAGCATGGAAAAGAACATCCGTTTCGAGCTCCTGGCAAGGCTCTGCCCAAACGCAAGTGGCGCAGAACTGAGAAGTGTCTGCACGGAAGGTAATAATACAGGCCCTTTTGCTCGCCGATTTTCATCGTGGCTATTTTATTTGTGCAGCAACAGATAGATGATCATCTTCGGATTTTTCCCTGCTCTATTCGAATTCATCTCGTTGCACTGCATATTTTGTTGGAGCATCACCTTTTCGTTTTCTTCTCTCGGGGTGGAGGACGAGTGTTTTTGGGATACAACACTACACACAACCGAAAACGAAAAATCACATCAACAGCTGGTATGTACGCGATCCGAGCTAGAAGGAAGATGATCAGCGAGAAGGACATGATTTATCCAGCCGAAAAGTGCGCAGTGTCATTTGACGTACGTTACAGGAATTGCATAAATGTTTTGCAGTGCTGTTTAAGTTTATACTTCCAGAGGATTCTGATTCAAGTTCAACCGAAACAAATGAACCACGCACCGGCTGCGCGATCTCTTGCTCACACTGCAAATATGCGCACGCACTGTCGAAAACTTGAAGATTTTTTATGTTGCATCAAAAGCAGAAACTTACAAATAGCACGAGCACTTTTTGGCCTGATATGCTCGAGGCGATCAACAAGGTGATCAAGGGGTACGCGAAGTTTTCCGCCAATGCCAAGTACATGGTCTACAACTAGTGGAATTGAAACACGAAGGTGGAAGCGACAACATCAACATTTTTTCAATCACCTCTACTGTGGAAGAACTTCTAGCTTGTTTTCATCGCCGTCATCAGTCGTTCGGCTTCTGGCAGACGAGGACACGTGTGGGTGATCAGATCTGTCCTCCATGACAGGATGCGGCTATTGTGCTGCCGCTGGACGGAAGAAAACAGAATCTGATGATCAACTGGTTGATAATATCCCTCTTGATGAAGATGATTTTTCCACCACCTGAATACACAAGCTAAGCAACTCAACAATAAATGCAAAAGCCTGAGTGGTCGTCCAGCTTCGAGAAGCCCAAACGCAAACAAGCACATGCGTTTATCTGCTTGATGTTCGGCGCCGCATGTTCTTGTACAAAAACAATTTCAATTTCTAAGATTGTAAGATCTTGCGCTGTGTTACATTTATTTTCATCGAGTGGATTCTTCACTTTCACTTTCAACATGAGAGAAAGATTATACCTGTAGTTTCAGTGTGTGTTTGTGATCCGTTCAATATCGACGCAGATCAGATTGAATGGATGCAACATCGATCAATATGGATTATGGTTGGGTGGTTGGGATTTTTTTTAAAGAACCTAGAGTTGTCATTCCAGAAAATAAGATGATGATGATGATGATGGATCGAAATTGATTGATTCTTATTTTTTTGATTGTGGATTGTGTTTGTGATTGGTCAATATTATTATTAAAGGAAAAAAAATCTCAGAAAGTTGGTTGTTGATTTCATGTCATTCTCCGATCAGGATATAGATGTCATGAGGTCAATCCATCCGATCAATAGTTTTGATGTATTTGCAAGAAAAATATGCCATTGATTTGGATTCAATTCATTGATTAGAAATTTCAATTAGGTATTTCTATCAATCTGGAATGAAAAGTTCGAAAATAAATAGGTTGGTGAAAAATTTTCGTAGGGTATAGTATAGGATCCAGCGTATGCAGATCGCAAGGCCGGTGATCTTGGGGTGGTAGGTTGGAAATCGGCCGGTGATCTTGGGATATGAGAAATGATGATATTCGCAGGCAACTAGTGTTCAATCAAGATACCGGTGCGGTTGTGGTTTGAGATGAGGTTGAAGTTGAGAAGATCAAAGTTTTCGTCGTTGGTTTTGAAAGTCACTTTTGACTCTCGACTTGTGTCTCGAGCCTACAAGCTACAAAACATGATGTGAAACAACTCAAGACAAGAGCCGGGAGGACACTGGACAGTGTCGCGACGTCTCTGAAATCGAGACGTCAACGTAGCGGATCAGCCGCCAACTAAACTGTATTGTCACAACTTTGAACTTGAAATGTACTGGGAACTTGCAACAACAAATAAATAAAAATAAAACGAAACGACACGCCCTCGCTCTTGGCACGAGCTTGTCCGTGTGCTTGCACAGGAGGTGCGAGCCCGCAAGAGCTTCTCCGCTTGTTTTGATCAACGTTTGCTCAGTCGTCGTTATCGCTGCTGTTGTCGCAACTAAATCAGCTTACAACTGTGCGATCCCTCCTCACCAGTTAGACCCACAAAAATCCCTAAGTGGTGGAGTGTATGGGCACGGGTGCAACTGGACAACAAATCACTGAACCTCTTCTACATCCCCTCACAACAAACAGAACAGCAGCGAATATTTGGAAACCAAACGCAGTTCCAGTTGGTGTTGCGCGAGGAGCTCGAAATTCCCCGGATTTAAAGCAAAGAGAGGCACACTAGGTGCTTCCGATAGTACTTCTCAAACCCGGTGGACTTCGAGGCAAGAGAGGCCATTACATTAGGCCGGACGTAGTAGATTTGTTAAAAGAATAACAGAGCTGACACCAAGTAAGTAGGTAGACAAACCAAAACCAAGCAGGCCTTGGTTCTATAGGATCTATCGTAAATTCGTTTTGGCAGTGCAGCTTGGAGAGCCAACCTGAACCACGAAGATCCTCGCAGAGCTTAAGTTTAAACGAACGATAACCATAGAAGCTAACACCTCTTGTCCTAAGCAGCGTAAAAGGTTACAAGACGTTCGCTTCAGCAGCGTTACGAGATCTGATCTCTCCTTGTCACATTAGTTATCGCTTCATTCTTATCCCGTAACGTGAATAAAAGTTGCCTGGACTTCAACTTTAAGGTGTTTCGGTTGCCAAGGTTGCATACAACGCACGCAATTTCCAAAATCTCAAACCGAACAGGGCTCGACGGATGCAAATCCACGAGAACAAAGTTGACATGTTTTACAATTTTAAATAAGTAGTATCAATCTTTAAGCATACTTTCGAGTTCAAATTTAAGCAGAGTAAGTCCAGACATTCAATACTTCCTTTGGAAATAACCCTTAGCAGTAATTCAACAGTCCTTTTCGATACCTCGTTTCGGAGTTACAAAACATCGCATCGCTAAGACTTCAGAATTCCGTCCTTTTATACAAGAATACTAGTGCACTAAATTCTAACACTCGCAACATCATACTAAACACGGTTGGCTAGCCCACCCGAAAACCAGATCAGGATGCCAGGTCCAGGGATCAAAGACGACAAACTTGTAGCTGGGGAGTTGATCCAAATCAAGGGCAAACACTATCGGTGTGTCTCGTACAAGGCGCAGAGTCGGATTCTCTGGTCATACCAAGACCAAGAGTTCCAGCGGCTCACTCGCCACTCGCAGCACCTGCTCGAGAAGGAGAAACCCCCGACCAAAGTTTACAAACTGATCAACGACCCTTACAAGTACACTGGGCCTACGGACCTGCACGCCGTGCTCGCCGCGCACCCCGTGCATGGAGCTAAAAACGGATTCCCGGTTCGCCACCTGTGCGATGTCGTGCGAGGATGGAACGTGCGTGACGCTTGCCCGCCCACTTCCGCTGGGAACACGCCCGTTGTCACGCCGCGCTTCCAACCGACGGAGATAGAGGTCAAACGACAGGGACCCGACTTTCCTTCTTTGGTCGACGACGGTAGCTTCCCCGTGCTAGCCACGGGTACCAAAAAGGTAGACGCCAATCCCAGCCCGGCGACAACGACGGGTGTCTCTTATGCGCGGCAGGCGGAGTTGTTGGCGTTGGATGGAGACTGCCCGGCAGAGAAATTGCAGGACAAGGTGATCTTCGAAGGACCCCGCAACGCCACACAGGTCATCTCTGTCTCCAACCTGGGAACGCAGGAGATCTATTCTTCGAAACTCCTGATCAACGCGCGGGATTTGTCGAAAGAACCCGAGGAGCGGTCATCCGGCCTGTCGTCGTCCAAGAACGAAGAATGGGTTGCGGTGCCCGCCGGAAGTGGGTTGCTTGCATCCCCTTTCTCGTTGAGTGGAGGCGGATCAGGGCTCGCTTCTCTGCGTACCAGTCCCAGCACGCTCGAGGAGGAGATCCAAAAGGGGAGGATCGAATCGCCGACGCTTGTGAAAGGCCAGGTGAAGGACTCCTGGGTCGACCACTATTCGCGGTTGAAAGGAGGCGTCAAGCGACATTTCGAGGAAGGGGTGTTACCGGCAGTAGCGAGAGAACGTAAGAGGTCTTGCACACCTCAGGGCCGCTCCTCAATCACGCAGCAGCAAAACATCTCGTACCAGCCCATCCCGTTCCTGCACACCGCCTCCGGAAGTGGCGGAAACATCCCGAAGAGAAAAAAGAAGGTGCGGTCCGCCAAAGCTAAGAAGAAGAAGTGCACTCAGTACAAGGGCTCTAGTCGCCGCGGAAGCAAGTCCCCTTTCTCCGCAAGCAGCATCGCTTCGGGAGCCATGAAAGATGTGGACAGTGACGATCGCATGGAGGACGCTTCTAGTCCAACGGTGTCCGAGGAGAATTCAGACACCAGTATTGTCACGCCGGCCTTGCTACAAGAGGAATCCACTCACCTGAAGAAGACCGTAGTGCAGGACTTACGCAGTTCGAGCCCTTCGCAGGTGGTTCTGCAGAACACCAAAAGCGGAAATCCGCCCGCAGCTCCCGAAACTTCATCCAAGATCCGTTATCGGGACGATTTCCTTTCGTCTGATACGGATGGCGATATTCCCGCAAGAGGTCGTAGTGCTACGACCAAGACTGTCATTGGCAGCGGAATCGAGACGACCCACGCAGGCACGCTCCTCGGGGCCGGCGCAACTGGAAAGGCCACGATGCAAGGTGCAAATCTAACTCTCCCGCCCAAAATGGAGAAACCACAGCAGCCTCCGCGTTCAGGTTCCCTGAAGTGGCAAGAAACTCCCTGGCCGGTGATTAGCGGAACGCATACACCGATGAGCCCTCCAAGAGGAGGCGTGGAGAATGGTGGGGTGCCCGCAGCAGGCTCGGCTGCCGGTGCGGACACCGAAGACAGCATTAGTAGCGGTCTCACCATACCGCGCGGCACTATTAGGGAAGAGGAGGACAATGAAGAAGATGTCGAAATTCGCAGCGAGAACACGCTCTTCTACGAAATAGGGACGCCAAAGGGAGGTAGTACACCCGCACCTCAGAGAGGAGGGACCGAAGACAAAAACAGGTTCACCGGCAACGTTACCGGCGCCTTCAGTGCCTTTGCTGGGGGAACGACACGCCAACCTTCCCCTGGACGACAGGAAGAGCAGCCTCGCACAACCTCGACTCCTGTGGTTGGCACGTTGGAGTACTACAAAGATATGGTCGCACGCTTACAAAGCGAGCTTAGTGGTTGCAGTACATCTCGTCGAAAGCTGGAAGCTGAGCTTGCCTCTGCGAGTGAACACATACAAGAAGCAGAAGCTGCGTGGTCTCGCGCAGAGCAGAAGGCGGAGCAAGCGGGTCTCACCGAGGACGTTGGCGGAAACATCCTCGAGCACTTCAACGACGAAGCCCTTGCGGAACTCGCTCGTACCACCTTGTTACGGTACGAATCTAGGTTGAGCGAGGAGAGCAAAAGAGCCGAACCAGGAGAGGACGCGGATGTCCTCCAGGATGTGATCGAGAGCAGTCTCTGGTGGCTCCGGATGAAGTGCGACAACATTTCGGGGACGGAGCTGAAGCGAATTACCAAAAAGCTGTCCGATGCCCATGGTGCCTCGGAGACGAGCGTTGAGCAGGCACAGCGAGATCTGCGAACCAGTCAGCAGGAGTTGGAGGTAGTTCAGGCCGAGCTTCAAGACACTGGTTGCAACTTTGCTAACTTCCGCCTAACGTCGTCCAGCGAACAACAGCAACTGAAGGACAAGATCAAGGTCCTTGAGGACGAGCGAAGTGAAGACTACCTCAAACTCGAAGGAGACTTCTCATCCTTGAAGTTAGAACTGGACGCATCCCAGCAAGCAACGGCTGCTCTCAAGACTTCGCTGCAGGAATCCGAGAACAAACTTAAAGAGGCGGAGTTGAAACTTGTCTCAAA